GGCATTGCACAGATTGTTTGAATATCAGAGCGGCAGGTGCTTATTTCTTAAGCTGGTAAAAAGGTGAAGCAGTTCTGCTGTCTTTATATAGCTTTTCTTCTTGAACTAGACAGTCGTAAAAGTGAACATGTAAAAGGTTAACCATTTCATAACTTCATCCTCCCTCAGTCAGCGTATTTCCTAAGAGCACCTGGCATGATGGTGTGACTTGATTAAGGAGAAAGACAGCACTTTTTAAATGTGTTATTTCACAAGTACTTTTTCTCCTGATGCTAACAGGGTTCAGTTACACGAACATACGTTGCACAGTATAATAGTTTGCCAGAACTTGATCCGTACTCATCCTGGAGAGGAAACGCAGTCTCCCATTCTAAGGGGCCATTTAAATCCTTTAAATCCTTTTAATCTCACTCAGGTTAAGGTCTTGAAAGTTGTCCAGGTTTATAGTTCCACTTCTTGGAATAGGGTCTTGCTTGCAGCGAAAGACAAACTTTAGAAGGTTGATACTTAATAAGAATAAAATGACATATGTTGATCAAGATGTCACCCAGATAGCTACAGGATAATTTTTCTTCCAGGCAGGCTCTTAATGTGTAATGTTTAGGATTTCTTAAACAGAGAGAATAATCCAAATAAAGTTATTTATCTCCAATTTCTGAACTATATATCAGATTGAGAATGAGACAGTAAAGTACCACCATATTAATGTAATTGTGATTATTTATAATGCAGGTAAAGGTTTATCATTGCTTGCTATTATTCATGAAATGGAAGTCTGCAGTGAGTAGTTGTTTGTGCACTTTAAACAATGTACCATGATTGAATTTTCCCTGTAATAGAAATATAGTAGCCCTTGATTTACAACCACAACTGGGACCAGAATTTCCATCGCTAAACAATGTGGTCATAAAGCGAGATGCCGTGTAACTGTGATGGCATTTAGTGATGGCAATCCCAGCATTCCTATACTGGTCAACATAGGAATCCAGATCAAACAATCCTTACATCCTCTGATTGAATACATCAAGCAAAAGGGAACTCATGGTCTCCCTGGAGAATTGGCTTCACTGTGGAACATAGGTTTTTTTTTCTAATATTCAATTAAAATGTAATCATTAATCTATGTCTTTCATTCTGGAATGATAAACAGGTCTTGATTTTTTCTGTAGGACATCCTTTTAGATTTCTGAAAAGTGCTATTATATTACTCTTCAGTATTTGCTTCTTTAGGCCAACATGCTCAGTTATAGTCCTTCAGGTCCTTTTCTCAGGTTCTTTGTTTGTCTGAATCCATATTCAAGCGTGTTATCCAGAATTGGATGGTCAGTCAATCTGTTCGTCTGTCTGTCTAAAGTAGAGTATTAAAGCACAAACCAATGAAATGATTACTCTTTGCAATCTGAATACTGCATTTGCCTTTCAGCTGCCATATTATTCTGTTGACTCATACTTGGTTTGTAATCAACTATCATTCTACTATCTTTTTTCCACAACAACCATTATCAAGCCAGGTATCCAGTAGCCCACATCTGGGATCTGGTTTTCTTATGTGAAGAACTTGGAATTTTTCTTAGTAAATTTCAATTTAGCCCACTTTTCTAACATATTCAGGTCATGTTTAATTTTATTTGTTCTGTCCTACCCAATTGCATCATTTTCAGATTTGAAAAGCAATCTTTTCTTTTCAAACTTTTTCATCTAGGTCATAAATAAAAACGTTGAAAAATATAGATTCCTGCACTGAACTTTTTGCTACTTCACTATCTTTTTCTACCTTTGCTATCTTTTTTCAGTTTAATGAGTTATCTTTCCACATTATAACTGCTGATAATCTACATTAATCTGTTAAAAAAACTCAAAACAATATACTATTTCAACACTAGAGGGCTGTTTTGCACAGGTTAACAATTCAGTGCTATCTGTAATTAGCTCAGATCATAAATAAAATGGACACTTAAAAAAATAAAGTTACATTCCAAACTGTCATTTATTAAACAGTTGTATTTTACCTAGAATATTAATGGGGAATATCTCTACAAGTGAAGATTTTGCAGGAAATATTTTAAACGGTGCCCTTCAAAACTGATTTTCTCCCTGAGAAATGCTTTCCTCCTAATGAACTTTCCTTCACACTTGAAATAGCTCTTTTATAATCAGATCCTGAAGTGTGAAATTGTGATGCTTTTCCTTTCTCGTCCTCTGAGGCTGAAATCCCTCCCACCTGATCTTAGATGCAGATGGTCTGAGAAGTGATTCATGATTCAAACTGATTCCCAAATTTGGGTATCCTGTATGGCTGACTGATGCGTTATGAAAGTTGTGTGACTGGCTCAATGCCTTATTCTGATTGAATATCCAGGCTGCAATATAATCACAGCATGTGTTTTTCTTGGAAAAGCTGTGTTCATTCTAATCAGAACTATATTTTATTTAGTTGTGGAATCTTTCTTAAATATCAAACTCTTTATGTTACAAATGTACAAATATAATTTAACATAAACTCTAGCCTTTTTAAATCTTATCTTCAAATCAATTATCTTTTACAGAAGAAAGTTAGAAACTGTCAGTTTGTTAGTTTTTCTTTGCATATAATGTATTTCAATGTTTTTTTTAAAAAAACTGTCAGGTATATATTGATCAACCTTCATGTAACTCAGTATAGTTAATTTGAAATTTCATAATCACCTCTTCAAGATCCATTTGCATCCTAGCTATTTTCCATAACAGCATTTTAAAGGGGCAAAAAGCCACTGACATACTTGAAATTGCAAGCACAAAAGAAAAATGCCTCTTCTACATCTGCCTCCCGTTTCACCTTTGCCACTGATTTACTCTTTGCCAATCATGAATATACTTTCAAAGAATCCTATCCAAGGCAAATCTATTGCATAACAACCTTTGACAATAGTTAAACCTAAAATTGGCATCAGAAACCCTCATTTGTGATTTCAGAGGTTGTCATTCTAGCATTCCAGGTATTTAGAGATGTAGCCTAAAGTAGCTGGGTATAAGAGGCACATCTTTATTAGTAACAGTTCTGAAATTATATACTTAACAAAAATAGAGGAATTTGTTTTTTCCTCTACTTTTAGGCAGCCAGTGGCCTGATTCTCACATGCTAAACTGTAACCTTGTTTATATTTGTTTTTCAATGCAATGGTGTGCAAACCAGATCACTATCCACTAGAGATTAGCGTTAATATGAATTTACTTTTATTTCACATATGGGTTTTCTTTTATTTGCCCTGGTGCTTTAAGAAGCTTATAGTATTTTAAAGCTGTTTTATATATTATTTTAATGTTGATTTAAACATTTTTATATCTCTTTGGGTATGATACATAAATGGAATTAAAATTAAAATGACAGAATTTTAAAACTGATTAAGTAATATTCATATTGATAATACTTATATTAAGACAAAAAAGAAAATATTACATTTAAAAAAAAACACTTGAATTCAATACTTGAATTTTTCTAGCCAGATTTTCTTTACACTATTTTATTGCACACGCTTAATTCTACTTCAACAATATCATGACATAACAATCTATGCATTTTTATATATTTAAGTATTTAAACGTAGAATGAGGCAAAAATATATTTGTAAAGATCAGAGATTCCTGCAATGAATGACAGTCAAACACATTTATTTTTACTATGTACAAATGTGGTAGTTTAAAATAGTACTTTATTCACCCGGTTGAAATGACACACAGTCTATGTATAGATAATGGTTTTGACACAGCAAGCTATACTGATCTGACAAAAATGCTTCAGAGTTTTCTTACTCTGAACAAGTCATTATCAAAATCAAACCAGTTTGGTATTTTCCCATTGCTTGTTCTTTATCTCCTTCACATCTTTTTAAAAACCTCTGAAGATGAGAAGAAAAATTTTCAAGATCTAAGGTGCTGATTAATATCCCTTGGACTAATACTACAAACATCAAAGAAAAGGTAAATGTTTTTTTTTTCAGATTGCTTGTTTCTTCTGTACTGAAATAGTATTAGACCTCACTGTAACAGACAAAAGTCTATTCAACTTAACACTAGAGAAGCTTGAGACCATATAATTTTAATAGTAGTCAAGTGGAACTTTTATTGTAGCTGATATAATTAATTAATTATAATATAATTATAATTGAGTACAGTTCTAAAACAACTTAGTAAAAAGAGATAGACACAAGTTAAAATTAGTTTTATTTCTCTATTTCATGACATACTAAGAATTGTTCTAATTCTTTATGTTGGAAGTATTTTTGTTGGAAGAAGAATATTCATATGGAGCCCCACTCTTTTTTAAAAAATAAAAGGAAAGGAAAGGATGGGTAACCCTCTTTAAATGTTTTTGTATACAATACAAATAATGTTTCATAAATTGGAAAAAAGTGCTTTTTAAAAATTACCAGTAAAAATAGAAGTCATTTGAAATTCCTAATGTCTTATTAAGATTAAATTCAGTCTTTTTTTGCCCATTGAAATATTATCTAGGTAATATTCTTAAAATACTGTTCTAGCAATAAAAGGTGCTTTCCATGTAGCTCTCCTTCATTTTGATCATCCAAAAACCAATCATCTTTTAAAACTATTACATGGATTAATCCCTCTTACACACTTACATATTCCTTAACTAGAAGTATAAGAATTTCCATATGCTTTCTCTTCATTTTGGGATGTCTGGGAAAGTTGAGTGGCAGATGCTGTTAATGCTGCTACTTCTGTTACCAATGGCATTCAGACTGACAGCTCTTCATGCCAAACTAACAACTGTACTTCATAGCTCAGGAATAAGACACTGGCAGCAGCGGCAGTTACCAGCACCCCCATCTCCACAGAGACAACAGCAGCCACCCAGCCTATCAAGCAACTCTCCAAGGTCTACAGCTAAACCTCAAGAAACAAAATTAGGAACCACTGGGGAACACGTGTGTATATGTGTGTGTGTCTCTCTTGCTTGACTTTGGTCCTGGGTCCCTTCAATCAGCTTGAAAGCGTTCACCATGGAAGTGTTTACAGAACTGCCTGCTGAAGAGACAGTTATTCAAAAAGAGAATGCTGGAAAAAGCAACAGCCAAATGATCACGTGTCATCCTCAAGAGCCATCAATTTCCTCAGCTGAGGAATCAAAATATGTGGAGATTTACGATTACCCTGGAGGGACAGGAGAGAATCCCCAGACTCTAAAGCTGAATCTAGAACGGAATGGAAGTAAAGTGCCCTTTATCAGAACTAAAAATGGACCTTGCGAGATCAGTGAGATTAACAGATTGGCTAACAAAATCTTGGCAGACAAATATGCAAATCAAGAATCTCTGGATTATACTTCTAAAATGGAAGGCACTCTTTCCCCCATGGGGATGAAAGCTGATGAGGTTGGGGAAAGGATCTCTGGCATCAGTTCAGAAGGGTCTGAGAACACTCTGTCCCCTAGTATCTCCAATGTTCAGCTTTATACACATGGCTGCCCAGAATCATCATCATCATCTTGTCCTTCACCAATACAAAATACAAGGAATTTTCCAAAAATGGATGACTTAGAAAGAGGGGGAAAAACCTCATCTTCGTTTGGGTATGACAGCGATGAAGATGATGAAGCAGACTGCAAAGAAATCTGTCTGAGCAATGAGAGAGGAAGAGGCAGGCATGCTTCACAGCTATTGCAACCACAACCCAGCTATGCCAGTGAAAGCAACAATAGTAATAATGATGAAGCACATTATATTACCACCCATGAAATACAGCTTAGTGAAGTAGATCATGACATGGATTTTGACTATGGATTAGCTTCTCGATGGGACTTTGAGGATAACAATGTTATTTATTCCTTTGTGGATTATGCTTCCTTTGGGAGCGAAGAAACGCTTGCAGACACACAAACAGAAGAGGATAATAGCTGTTATCTCAGCACAACCACCAGTGATCCTAATAATCAGACAGACAGTATTGATAATACCAGCAGTACAGAGATAGTCAGCATTAATTCTGAAAATGATACTCCAAGCACAGACAAATGCGCCAGCTCGGAAGAAAGTCAGTCCAAGAACCTCTGCAACATGAGTGAGAATTCTGCAGGCCAGATACTCCTATCAATCAAACCAACTTCCAGGGCTATAAATGAGCCTAGCAACCAGCATGAAAAGCAAAACATTATTTATGCTGCCAAGCATGAAGGCGACATGAGCCTCTGTGTCTCCACAGCTCATGAACGAAATTCAAGTTTCAAACAAGATGTGTTTCATGACTATGCAAAAAAGTTTATTGCAGTTCCTGCACATTTGCAAACAAGGTGTGCAGCTATAAAAGCAAGAGAATTGGGTGGATATTCAAGTGGTGCCTCCAGTGTGGTAAGTGAGTTGGATGATGCAGATAAAGAAGTAAGAAGCCTGACAGCAAGGGCATTTCGGAGCTTAGCTTATCCCTACTTTGATACCCTGAACTTGAGTTCCAGTGAGTCTTCCACATCTCTTTCAGATCACAATCTAGGAATCAACCGATGGTCAACTTACTTGGATTTAAAGTGCAGCAGTCTTGGACAGAAAGCAGAGCAGAATCTTTTCAAAAGCAGCGCTGCATCTGCTGGATGGAAAAGAAACTCTGGGACTAAAACAGCCAGTGACCATTTCTACATTCACTCCAATAAATCACAGACTAAAGCATTGGAATTTGTTGTCAGTAAACTTGATGGAGAAATAACGCATGTTGAAACACCACGTTGCTTTGAAAAACAGGTCCAGGCAGGCTCCCGAGTTGTTACTTTGCTGGAGACTTTGAATTTCAGCAGCAATATTAATGCGGGTGTCCCCAGACCTGCTAAACCTTCTGAAAATGTTGCTGTTGGGTCAAGTTGCACAGATGAAGTTACAGAAACACTGCCAAAGGAGCAGAGCAATGAAATCTGCAAACAAACTGGAGTCGTTGCAGAAACCATGGAAGGAACGCAGAAGTCAAAATTTGCATCTAGCCTCCTCAAAAATGTTATTTCAAAGAAGATGCAACAGGAACATGAGTTCAAAATGGAAAGGGGACAGATCACAGACACCACATACTCTGGTATGTCAAATTCCTCATCTTCTAAAGAGGTAGATAGCACCGCCAAGGAGAAATTAAAGAACGGGGGATTGCAGAGACAAAATTCAAGATATTCAGAAGGCAGCTCTGATTGCACTATTGTAACAGCAGATGATTTGGGGGAATTTTTTGATAGCAAGTCACCAACCTCCAAGCCCTCTACTCCACGGGAAGCCACTATTAGCCTAAATCGAAGCCTTTCAGAAACATTTTTAGAAGAGGCATGTAAAATAAAACAAAGTGCCTCTGAAACACTCAAGGCAACTTTCCTCCGTAGCCAGAATAGTGCATTTAGAACATGGAAAGAAAAAGAAGCAGAGAAAAAAGAGGAAAAAGTTCCTGTGGGAAAACTGAAAACAGGATTTAAAGGGGATTGGAAGACCGATATGGGAGAAATCACAGCTAATAAAGCAACTAAAATGTCTCGTCTTTTTGTTCCAAATATTCAACAAACAGTCAAAGATAATAATAACTTGCATGTGACAAAATACTCTACAGCGACAACTGCAGCAGCTCAGACTGCTATTGCCACCACAGTGATAAAGCCTAAACCTCCAGAGATCAAGATAAGCTTGGGAAGTGTGGAGCAGAACAAAGATAATCATTTCAATATTACTAAGCTTCTCAGCCCCAAGATACCTGGAAATGCCCCCAATTTTTTCAAGACAGCTGTTGATACCAGATGTCAACTGCAAAAGCAAATAAAAGGGGAGATTATGGACAAACTGCCTCAATTTCAGGTACGTGATGTAAGAGAAAATAAGTCTAAAGTCCAAGGGCCTATACATCAGGTGAGAGATGTCAGGAAATTAATCAAGAGTAGCTATGGTCTTGAGTCAGGGGATAACCACAGTGACAGAGGTAGTGTTAACTCTGACCAGGGAACCTTTGACCAGAAATCCAAACAGCTGATGTCAATAGGCATTCCCAGGTCTCTGTCTCCCATGATGATAACTTGTCAGGCAGTTAGTAACAGTAAGGAGGACAAGAAGCCCAACAAATTTCACGAGATGGCGCCCAGAATAAGTAATGGAGGCAAGATGCTACCTTCCAACCAAGAAGGAACTATCCTGGTACACAGGACCTCAGGAAGGCTGCCAGTAGCCACCATTGCTCCCAACAAGAGTGACCCTCGCCAGCCTGCTGTATTGAAGATAGTCTCCAAAACATCTGTGCCCTGGAGGCAGCAGTCACATCCACCACCACAGCAGCCAGCGACAACTGAGAAAAGCAATAAAGTGGGACCACTGGTGGTGGATGAAGAAGAACCTCTCAAAGAAGAAGAGGTGACCAAGGGATCTGTCTCAGCAAACCATAAGGCTCTGCAAAAACTCACAGCAGCAGTCCGGAGCATGGAAGAGCTATACAGTTTCAGTAAATATGAGTGGAAACGAAAGAGTGACCCATTACCGATAACCGACAGCCATGTCCTCTCCCTCATTGCCAGCGAAGAGCAAACCACGGGAGCCGTAAGCACCGCCAGGGAAGAATCGATGATGGTTGCCAAGACTGAGGACCAGGAGGGAGCTCAGACGGTGGGATTAACAATTTCTCCCAACAGATCCGCACCAGAACGCCATCCTCGTGGCAGATTCACCAACCCAACCAAGAATGTTGAGAAGGTCTCAGCCAAGACAGCGGCCTTTGAGAGCTTGAGCCGAGAGCGGGCCCGGGGTTCAGGCCTCTACGGCGAATCTGCCACAAGAAACACCGGGCCTCCTGAGAAGGAAAGAGTCCCTGTGGTCCCCAGGACCACCTTAACTTTTAACGCTCAGGCCCAGAAGGCCAAGCCTCAACCACCAGTGCTCTCGTCTCCTTCCCCGCCTCGAGGCCTCAAAGGCCAGGCCAGGCCTCGCGCCATCAAGTTATTTGGCAGCCGGCAAGGGAGCCTGGTGGAACCGGACAAGAACCGCAAGCCCGTCTTTCCCGACTGCGGGAACTACTTGGCCATTTCGCTCAAGGAGCCGTCCGCGGAGCAACCGGGACCGGTGGCTTTAGGCCCAGGAGGAGGAGAAGGAGGAGCAGCAGCAGCAACAGCAGCAGGAGGCAGCAACCGCGGAGGCCTCGTCGCCACTGCTTCACCCGCTGCTGCCCAGCCTCTCAACCTGGCCCGGTCCGTGGCAGGCTCCAACCCCACTCAGGCGACCCAGCAGCAGCCCGCGGAGGAGCACGCTGGCCCCACCGCAGCCACCACTCAGCCTCAGCCTCCGGCACCGCTGCTGCCGCCCTTGCCGCCGCCGCAGCAACAGCAGCAACTCCAGGCGGCGGTGGCGGCGGCTCCACCGTTGGAAATGTCTCCTGCGCACATTTTCCCTCAGGCTCTGTCCCTCGCAGCGGCGGCGGCCGCCCTGACAGGCGCGACTCAGCCGGCGACGCCTTTGCTTTGCTTCTCGCCGCCCGCTGAGCCCGCCGCCTTCCCGCCGACGCAGCGCAAGGTGCTGCTGGACCTCAGCACGGGCCAATGCTACTTAGTGGACGCCCCGCTGCAGCCCCAGCCGCAGCCCCAGAAGCGGCGCCTCTTTGACCCCGAAACAGGGCAGTACGTGGAAGTACCCTTGCCAGTCCCGGCGCCGCCGCCGCCACCGCAGCCGCCGGCCTTGGCCCCCATGACCATCCCCATGGCGCTGGGAGCGGCCGCTGGGACCTACAGCGCCCCGGCCGCAGCCTACATGTTCTACCCGGGCTTCCTGCCGGCGGTCCTGTCCGCCAGCGCACTGCAGAGCCAGCTCGCCCAGCAGCCCGGCGGTGAATTGGGGTCTGTGGCCGCCTCGTCCAGGAGCGCCGCCAGCTCCGCCGCGGAAAGCCCGTATTACATGCCCACGGGCACCCCGCAGCAGCCACCGTGCCCGCAAGCGGTTCCTGGCGACGGGAAAGCGCCGCTTATCAGCATCACCTCGCAGCCGCTGGGCCCCCGGATCATCGCGCCTCCCTCTTTCGACGGCACCACCATGCGCTTCGTCGTGGAGCACCGGTGATGGGGCGCCGGCCGGGAGAGATGCTGCTGCTGGAACGACGGGTGAGTTGCCTTCCTGTTAGGATTAATTATCACAACAAAGGTGGCGTTTCTGCGGAAAGGTCGCATCAGGAGAGGGGCATCGGGGTGAGGGAGAGGGGGAACAAGCCTTGCAAAACACACTAAGTGTTCAGTAGCCAGAACATTTAGTTTAGTTTAGTTTAGTTTAGTTTAGTTTAGTTTAGTTTAGTTTAGTTTAGTTTAGTTTAAATTAATTTAAATTAATTTAAATTAATTTAAATTAATTTAAATTAAACAGGACACAGCACTAAGGTTTGCAAGGAGTCAGCTATGGCCAGAGAGGGATATTTTGCCATTTACAGGTTATTTGGATAGGTAGCACAACCATTCCTAGCAATAGCAAAGAAGAAGAAAAAAAAATACAGTGTAATATCTACCTTCTTCTTGCTAAACAGATTTTTGTGGTAATAAAAAAGCTGGAATAGTATTGGAAGGGTTGTAGGTGAAAGATGATGATGTCTAGGCCACCAGCAATAAAGTCACCCCTTAATCTATTCTGTGAAGAGGAAGGGTCCAATGACTGTTTCTTGAGGAGAAAAAAAAATATTGAAGAACAATGGGAAACGGAGAGTAACTTAAAAAGGGAAAGTAAATTCTTCCCTGCCTCCTCTGGAATACTGTCTTGCAGATAAGGAATGCTTCCAGAGGAATTCAGCTTCTAAAGGCATTTATGCAGGGGTTTTTTTCTCTTTCCCTCCTATTGACCATATGGGAGGAAGAGAAGAAATGGGAACTATGCAATCCTTGCGTATACACACATTATCTTGGATTTTGTGAATGGGGCAAAGGAAATACATGTAACTTTAGGTCTCAAATACTTGCAGCTTGCTTACTGTAGTAATCAAGACATATTGGTCATTTTGTTTATCAAAACATAGCAAGAAATGATAAAACCTGGCCAAATTACAAATGAAAGACAAAGATATTTCCTTCCTTCCGTCTGTCCATCAGTTTTGACTCCTAGAAACTGCCTAGAAAAGTTTTCTTGGCAAGTTTTCTGCCACTGTCTTCTTCATAGGGCTAAGAGAGAATCACTGACCCAAGGTCACCCAGCTGGCTTTCTGCCTAGTGCAGAACTAGAAGTGATAGTCTCCCAGTTTCTAGTCAGGTGTCTTAAAAACCTTGTTGGCAGCATCCATGTTTATGGACACATTCTTTCTGTAACATACAGTATGATGTGCCAATAATAGAATAAAAGACATTAATCTTAACATCAGCATTAATATTCATCAATAGGCTTGCATTTAGGGCAAAAACAGAAGCAACCGGAAGAAGTAACATGTTCATGCACACATACATGATGGTGTTCATACAATTTATATATTTTCTACTCAGAATATATTCACAAATACAGCTGGGAAGCGACGTTTGGAGCACTCTGTGCTCACTGCAAAAATTAAAGCCAAACCATCCACGATTGTTCAAAAGTAGCCTCTGCTTTCAAAATAATCAATAGGTTTTATTTCTTAGTACTTTATAATCATTCTGACCTTCTTTTCACCAAGAGAACAGAAAGAGAGAGAAAGTGAACAATATTTTCAGGTTTCTGGTAAGAGGAAGACACTATACATCAGAAGAATTTTTGGAAAATAAGATGAACTTGATCAGTGGTCTTTTTCTGAAAGAAATTTACAGGAGACACAAGATGCATGTGAGAAAGAGAGAGGATGGGAATGCTTTGACATATCACAGAAATAGTGAGACTGCAGATCACCACCTGCTTCAAACTATACACTTCAAAGAAATGCTGCCAGCCACTGAGCCTGTTTCAACACTGATACATGAAACCATTCATTTCAATATTACAGTTCCAAGTTTTTTCTAGTAAGGCTTTAACAGACACTTAACAGAAACTCCATAGGTAAAGTTTTTCCCATTACGTACTGCAGATAAGAAGCTGAGCTCAACTTGTGTATTTCTTTATTAGAATATAATGTGTATTACACTGAATAGAATGTAATAGTATAAAGTATAATATCTCTAATATAAAATATAAGAATCCTACTTCCCCAAAAATAGTTTTAGTTTAAGGAACATTAGTAAATAGTTATGTCAAGCTATTTTCACATCAAGTCATTTTTAAGTGCTTTTAATTGCTGACTGGGTTATCTTGTTCTGCAATAACCTAGAGGGGATTTTCAGCAGAGGAAAGAGTTAACTTTTCCTCCTTTAGAACAGGATCATGATCTGGAGTGCAATCAGCTGTGCCTGCCAAATACTGTATTAAGACATGCTATTGAAATAATGTCAATTCTAGCCCTCACTTGATGGAACAGATTAGACATGGACTAGCAGTATACTAAATCCCTAGCAAAGGATTTCCTTGAACTGTATTGTGTTTTTCTTTTCTGAGATACACTTGTAAATCAGTGTAAAATCCTCAGCCTTTCTTAGAAAAAGTTCTAAGACTTTATGGAATAAAGTTTTCTATTAAATGAGAGGCACACACTACAGGTAGCTCTTGCCTTACAACCATTCATTTAGTAACTGTTTGAAGTTATAACAGCGCTGAAAAAAGTGACTCACAACCAATCCTTGCATTTATGACCATCTCACAACATCTCCACTGTCACATAATTAAAATTCGGGTGCTTTGGCAACCGACATCTCTTTAAGACCTGTTGCAATATCTCAGGGTCATAAAATCACCATTTGCCATCTTCCCAGCAGCTTCCAACCAACAAAGCCAATGTGGGAAGCCGGCTTTGCTTAATAACCTATGATTCGCTTAATAATTGTAGTGATTCGCTTAACAACCATGACAAAAAAGGTCATAAAAGCAAGTGAAATTCACTTAACAACTACCTTGCTTAGCAATAGATATTCTGCTCCCAATTGCGACTGTAAGTCAAGGACTATGTGCGCTCAGTATTTCTAATTAATAATTATTAAGTGCAGGAGTGCCATAATAGCAGAAAACAAAGTACATGGTGCACTGCCTCTCTGCTACCTCATGACATATAGTCCAGTACAAGGCTCTTTCACCATTTTTGGAGCACTTCGGGTGGGGGCGGGGGAGATACAAGGGGAAGTTCCTTGTTCATTTTAAATTGCATTCAGAATCCTCAGCCCAAATAAACAACTATAAACCGTCATTTCTCAGCTACCTAAAACTACTTTTCTTAAATGTGTTGGAGCATGCAAAATACTGGGGCATTGTGCCATAGTTACCATGTGTGCATGTTATGTGTATTTGATCAGCAAGTCTTACAAATAGAGGCAGAAATTGGAAGCAATGGTGTTAAATTTGTTTTAAGATTTATGGATTTGAGAAGCACTTTCATCTAACTGTTTAACAGAAAAGTTAAAATAAAGTTTTAAATTATATGATGATAGAGTTTGATGAAATTATTAGGTCAAGTATAAAAATTATAATACCAGGGATTTGCTTAAATTTTATATAGAAATTTTCTTCTGCAAAATAGCAACTGACAACTTTTAGCATAATATGAACCATTCTAAAGGTCATGAAGATAGAGTGAAGGTGAGGAAATTACTTAAAGTTTTAAATTCAAAGTTCAAGAAAGGTCATAGAACATCTCGCAATGATATAACAATTTTGTTAAATCAAACATTTAATGTTTGTTTATGCTTTATCCTACAGGCACAAAGAACAAGAATTTGTCTCCCTTAATTTGAAATGTATTTGGTAATTCTAAATTTTTGTTTAAATAGCTCTCCTCTAATGTATTTCTCATGCATTGCTTTGTGCAAAACATGTGTTACATTGTTTTCATGTTTGGATAAGCTGTTTCCTCATTTTTAACTATGTAGAAATTTAATTATTCAAATATAAATGATTGAATTGTGATATTTCCTGTAGGTTTTTAAATGTAGAAACTAGTAATTAGTATACTGTGCAATACACAGCTAACTACAAGTTACCTACAAATGCTTATATAGAAGCAGGAGCCCTTATTGCTTTTGAACAAAAAACAAGTTTGAGTGAAGAAATAAGATGCTGGTGTAGCTTTGCAGATACCTATTTGCAGGATTTTTTAAAAAGCTTGGAAAGCTTGAATTATTACTCCAATCTGTTTCTCTGTTTTAAAAAAAGTGGTTGTAGGGTTGTTTTTATACATAAATATATGTATGTGCAGTTTATTCTTAAAGTTATTTTAATCCATTTTTGATATCCCTCTATTATTTTGGAGAAAACATATCTAAAAATAAAAAGTAAAAATTTCTTTTTTCTTAGTTTTGCTAAAATATTCAAATATATTCAGAATTTGCCAATAATATCCAATTACGTTAGGTTTAAGTAGTTCCCATTGAAGTTAGTTTTAATTTAGGGTTAATCTTCAATAGCAACTGAATTAGGATCTCATTACATAATAGGTATGGAGTCAACTAGTTGAGTTTAGTTCAAACTAGCTAAACCCAGGTTGGTTAAATCCAATCAGCTATGAATAGCTGTAGAGCATCCATAGCTATCAAGCAAACATCAGCCCTACAACAGTGTATTTTAGTCCTCAAAAAAAGTTTTGAAAAATGCCCAAATCTTGCAAGTTCTGCGGAATTCCATGAAATTTCAGCACTATCATATGCGGGACTGCAAGATTATTCTGGCAAAAAAGAGTGTGCTAAATTTTAGAAATCTTCAGATCTTGCATGATTTCAGGCAATTTGGTGGGGGCAATGCCACCGCACAAAACTCTGATGAGGATATTTTAGGAACAAAAAAAGATTGGTGAATCCTGAGTTAAATGTATTGAAGATCCACTGAAAATTAGGTTATTTTATTTAAGTTCCTTTGAATATGAAGCCTAATTCTGTAGATGTTTACTTGGATTTAAATCCTATTTTTTTTATGGGGGCTAACTGCCAAATGCATGCATATGATTCAGTTCCTATTATTTATAGAAATAGAGTTAACAATGTATGTATTTTATTTAATGGCTTTCCCCTAAAACCAATTGTGAAAATAACTGAAGATATAGTTCTTTATAGTTCTTCTGTTTAAATGCTGCTTTAAATTATATTCAAAGGAATCCTTTAGCTGCACCTTTTTGTTTAAATATCAGAAATCTAGAAAAGTGATACAAGTTACTACACTTTCTTGGTGCCTTCAATAATTGTGGAGCAAGCAGTCATTCAACTGGTGAAGCATTTTTTTATTACTTCATCCCCATATAGAATAAACTGTGCTTGTGTGATTGTCATGCAGCTCCCCCCAAAACTGTTAACATTTCTATGTATGTGTCTTGTGTTTCGTTATTATTTCAAAGAAGAAAACACATTTTTTTCTTCTTTATATGAAGAATTAGTTTTAGGGAGGAAAGGTTTGCTTTCTTTTTTAGAAATGTGAATTTCAAAAAGTTATTTTAGAAAGTACTTTGAGATTTTAACTTAGCTATTTCCAATTAGTATTCTAATCCACTAATGAATATTTGGCATCAAGTTATAATTTAAAATATATATCTTGAAAGATTGAAAGGAAAAGAATGAACATTTAATAAGCTTTTAAAATGGAGAATTCTCATAGGAGATTTATTTGGTGCAGGTATGACAATCTTAACTACAATTAGGAAATCCTGAAGAAATGCAGAATACAAAAGGTACAAGTACCAAAATATATCTGGTACAATATGAAACATGGGGTGTACAAATCAAAGCAACAGAGCCACATAATGCCCCTAAATCTTGGGTGTGTCCCCAGAAGGGGAAACATAGTGAAAACTATGAAAACAATGTGTTGCATCTTAAGTTCTACATCTGATTACAGCTGTAAAGTATAGCTGAAGCAGGAATTTTTAATTTTACAAATCAAATGGAAAATGTATTTTCCATTTGATTTGTCAAATTTAAGAGATCCTTGGCCAAGCAGTAATGATTCCCTTTCAGTATTCTGTTTCTGGTTAGGTATGTTGCAAACACTGCTCTACCCACAACCATACCAGTGGGTGTTATGTGGCATATGATCCACATAGTATACAGATTCCAGTTAGCTTACAGTTTCCTGTGATTGGCAATTCATCAGTATAGTGCCATAGATTAGTAGATAAGATCCTTAGACTAAATAGTCAATAACTAAACCACGGAATAAATAAGCCACGGTAGAGCCAGAATAAATAAGCCACGGTATCCTAAGAATAAGTCTTATTTTTTTCTCCCATACTATTTTACTGAAAATTCTTTGTGATTTTGGGCCAGAAATCAGTACAGTGGGGCTTAATCACATATAGTAATAGTCTTGATTCTAGCCCTGTTTTAAAACAATGAGCTTAACTCAATGAGTTTTGAAAATGGAAGGCTAGATGGACCATCCTATTTTTTTTAAAACACATTTCTACTAAAGCTTTTACGCATACAAAAACCACTTAAGTCATTCCCATAGTTCTGATTCATTTGTAATTCCTTCATCCATATTATGATTTAAATCTTCTCCACGCTGATTTAAGCTCCGTTTGCTTAAAGAAGTGATGGTAAATGAAAGACCACTTATGTTTCTACTGAATAAAAATTAAGCATGCAATTCAGCTTAAAAATTGGATTCATGCACAGGGGGTTCCTTATAATTATTGCCATTTTAATGCATATATGGTACTTTCGGTGGAATGTATGGAAAAGCTCTAAGTATCTACAGGCTTATTAAATATGATGCTTATTCAGATCTCTTTAGAGGTGATTTAACATGGGCCTTTTCAATTTGTAGTAGCTTTATATGAAAAAAAATTATCTGAAGAATGAAATAATGTAATGCGAAAATAAGACAATTGTTTTGAGATTCACATGTTTATTTTTCTGGTTTGTATTTTGTTTTCAACTTAATTGCTTTTTAAGGAAAAACGAATATACAATATTGTTTTCATGGTACTGCTCAACTGCTCTGCTTTTGTTTCTCCTGAAATGTGTGTGTTGCATAAAAGATTTATGTAAGCAACTTCATGTACTATTTTTAGACTGCCAGGTAGTATGTGTGCAAAATTATCTCCGTTATATCCACATAGAAACACAAATAATAATAGCATGTTTTTTTCATTTTGGTGCTCACAATGAAGTTTCAATCTGTAGTTTACAAGATGTAACTTTTCATCCGCGTGTATATCTTAACACAAACATTTTAGTACACAATGAATGGTTTAATCTCCAATTGTATTGACAGATGCTCAGGGTTATATTTTTATCCAGTGTACTTGAAAATCAGAGTGAAATTACATTTTATTTGAAAAGAGGGCCATCACCAAAAGAGCAATTTGTGTCAGGTACTCCCTTTCCTTTCTCCATAATTTGTCATTCACATTTACCTCCTGTTTCACATGGTGCATTTTTTTCTCATCTTTCACTGTTTAGCAGGCAGCATTGTGGAATCAGTATGATAACAGGACTCAATAATCAAATAAGTGCTTTTTATAACATAAATTTATGTCTACTAAAAATGATGAAAAGGTATACACTATTTTTAAATTTTGAAGCGATATCTATAAAAATCTTTTCTCAGAGCAAAACTCTTCAGAACAGTGCCAAGAAGAAAGTGCTCCAGCATTTCAAATAAATCTCAGCTTATGTTACCTAATATGCAAATGAGTTCCTTATACATCAATTGTAGAATCAGTAATTATTTGCATCAATTATTATTAAAAACAAGTATTTTCATGATTTCAAAGAGAATTAATTCTATAAACTTCCACTAATTTAATAATTTTATTAAAGCTTACCATTGCAACAGTAAAACTAACACAAACTGAAAAATAGAAAAGTAAAAAAGAAAGAGTAAAAGGTGCTAAAAAGAAAGAAAAGAGAAGAAATAGGAAAAAAATGAGTATAGGAAAGAAAAAGAAATATATAAGGAAGTTGCTTACCACCTTCATAACAAGTATAAACAATTTAATAACTCACTACCTTCTTTTAAAATATAGCAAATTATTTATTCTTCCCAATCCCATTAATTTTCTATAGACAAATTTTAAAGCCTTATCATTACATCTTGATGTCAGCAAAAGTCCATTAACAGAGATAATAACATATTTGTTTTAATTTGACCAAGATTGATCAAATAAACCAACTTTATATTCCTTTTACTTCCAATAATCTTAATCTAGAGTCTCTTCAAATAATGTACTGGAAGTCGACTTCTTTTTATTTATTTTTCTTTGTCCCTTTTCACAAAATTCTTCAAAAATTTAGCAAGCTTGTTTTGATACAGAAAATTATCCAGGTCATTCCCTTGGTTTGTTGCTTGTATGTCTCTTTTAGTTATTAGGACATCAGCTGGTTTCTTTTGTATGCCCAGGGTAACATCTTTTCCATGCCATTCTTGTAGCCTTGTAGTCCATTTTCATCTCAGTCTTCACCTTATTAACTAGAACTTGTTCCTCTTGTATAATATCTTTTCAACATAGTCTTATTTCAAATTTATCCCAGTTGTAACTTTCTAAAATCATAGTTTTAATCATCTTTTTGATGTTTATTTTTAAAAATTTGTTTAAGTTCTTAAACTTGTAATTAAAACTTATTTCACTAAGAATTGACAGAAACTCATTTGTTGCAGTAAAACTTGTCAGTCCAAATGTTTCTAATAGCTGAATAGCAGTTAAGAAGCCATTTCCGATAATGTTTCAAAGACATCACCATAGTTTGAGTAAGATGGCTATTCCCTTGTCTCCCAAAGATCTAAACCCAAAGAAGATCACTATCTTATGGATTCCTTGTGATGAGCTGTCTGGAATACTTAGGGGCAGTCTCAAGCCCTTTCCTCATCCAAAAAGGTTTCAGAGACCTGGTCTTCATTCCATTGCAGTCATCAGTTCCTCTTTTTGCGGAAACATCTGCAGTACACAATTTCTTCCCTGGAGTGTGGGCTTATCTTATGTTAAAACCATAAGACCATTGAGATGGCATTCATCTGATAAGAAACATATTTTTAGTGTGATTTTTCGTTCACAAGTTTCCACCCTTTTCAGTGAAGGATAATTCCAACTATTTTACCTGAAGAAAACTTCATTCTCCCATTATTTATTTATATGCAGCTTTAAAAATCTGGGAGAAGATTGACTTCGGGTTGACCTGCTTGTAAATAAGATATTACTAAGGTACAGAATGTAATTTCATATACTATAGGATAAATTAATAATTCAGATGTATTAAATATATTTTGTTATCCAAGCTGTAAATTGGATGGAAAGAACTGTGAGAAAGTCACCAAAGCAATTCTGCAAATATTAATATTTGCTTGGTGCTATTATATGTAGGCTTTGTAGCAATTCGTAGGTATTGTCTTGTTCAATCTAGGTCATAAATACAACCAAATTTTAAAATCTTATTTTTCTTAATGTCTTGGCATCAACATAACATAAAGCAATATTTTCATAAAGAGACTATAGTCAGTTTTGGATTTGAGCATATAAATAAGTCAAATTAGGTTACAGTTCCTGTCCATAACTGTCTGTAGGATTAAGAAAATGACTTTTTCATATAACAGGTATTTTACATTGTTTGTTATTACAGAAACACAAAATCTCAATCATAATATTTAGGCATCAATTAAGTGTTAGGATCTTTTTCACAATATAGTCTAAAAAGAAGTTCTATCAATTTCACTGGCTTCTGTGTGGTCACGTAGTCCCCGACTTACGACCAGAACTGAGGTCAAAATTTCTGTTGCAAAGCAAGATAGTTCAGTCTTGTCCAATTTTATGATCTTTGCCATAGTTGTTAAGTGAATCGCTGAAATTGCTAAATTAGTAACACAGTTGTTAAGTGAATCTTACTTCCCTATTGACTTTGCTTGACATTAGATCGCAAAATGTGATCAAATGACTCCAAGACACTGCAACCGTCATAAATGCATATCTGTTGCCACGCGTCCAAATTTTTATCATGTGACTGTGCAAATGCTGCAACAGTCATGTGAAAAATGGTCATAAATTATTTTTTTAGTGCCACTGTAACTTTGAACAGTCAGTAAACATATAGTTGTAAGTTGAGGACTACCTGTATTGTAGTTTCAGACCTGAAATGTTTTGTTGAACATTTTTTTAAAAAAATTTGATTTATATGCTGCCCTTCTCCGGAGACTCAGGGTGGCTTACAATGCGTTAAGCAATAGCCTTCATACTTTTGTATATTTATACAAAGTCAGCTTATTGCCCCCACAAACTGGGTCCTCATTTCACCTACCTTAGAAAGGATGGAAGGCTGAGTCAAATTTGAGCCTGGTGAGATTCGAACTTACAGTAATTGCAGACAGCTGGTGTTAATCACAATGCTTTTAGTCTGCTGAGCCACAAGGCCCTTTCTACCCAAGATTGACTTTTATAGCATTATTTTTTCAAGTATTAAATTCTCCTTTGATAGTTACTTCAGAGAGCTGTGCTTTTGTATAGATTTAAAAATTCCTTTGCTGTATGAATTGGCTGACCAAGGTATTACTCCCTTTTCTGTTGCAATGGCACCAACATTTTGGCTGCCCAAGAGGTAAATTAGGTTATTAGAACTTAGTAATTCTAAAATGCTTTTTCAAACTGAATGAGGGTAGTGGTGTGGTTTTCTTCCTATTTCTGGATAAAAAGAGGATCAGTGTAAAGGAATTTAAGAATGGTAAGATAAAGAAAGAACAATGGTCATGAAAGAGACAGTTGGTTGGTTGGTTGGTTGAATGTCTGAAATGAATGCAGTTGAATAAAACGTGAAGGGCGGAAGATTGTTTTAATAAAATAGTGCTACTTGTGCAATGTCTAAGGAAAACTATCTGGAAGAAAATGACGATGCTGCTTTCAACATAGATGACTCTATAGCAAGTTCTTGACTGAAATCTGAAGTGATCCTCTTACAGACTGCTGGATTTGAAAGACAGCAAACCTAGCTAAGACGGTCTGGGAATTGCACTACATATGTATTGCACATAGCAAAGATATAATTGTATGAGGATTGCAAGAATATATAATAAACTGTCCTTTAGGAAGCAACCTTTTTAGGCAAATAAGCAAGAATTTGTATATTTTTTGAATGTTATAACAAATGAAATGTATTTTTCAGTAAATGATATTATAAACAACCTCTCAGTATTCTGCCTGGATTATTTAAAAATATTGAATTAGAAATTTATTAATTTGTAATGTAGGGAAAAAATTATAACAAAGATTGTTATGTAAAATAAAGAATAGACTCATATACAAATCAATTAAGATTCACCATCTCTTTGCCAAGGGGAACTAAAAAGACACTAACATTATTCCCCATTTCTTAAAATATTGACTATTTGTTAACCCAGTGCCATCCTCTAGGTTTTATACTGCCACACCCTTAATGAAGGCAGAATGGATAAAGAAAGCACAAAAGTGAGAAATGAGTGCCAAGGAATGATTATGAATTGTGTAATTATGAACTGTAATTTACTCTGTTTTCTGAAAAGAACACATAGTTGTTGCTTGTGCTATCCTTCCAAAGGGCAGTTGCACTAGGCTGGTGAGGTCTTTGGAGGTCTTGAACCTCCAAAGGTCTTAAGATCTTTTACAGGTCATTAAAAGGTATATGTTGCAATAATACAGGTGGTCACGTGGCTTATGGATAAACAAAGATTTGCAAAGGCTCTCTGTTGAACAGAAAACTAGCTGCAAAAATTGAACACTTGCCTCAAATTTAGAACAGGCTCCTTTTGAGCATCTTGGAAATACTTTGAGCTCAAAAAAGATGATCAAATGTAACTCTTACACACACTTAAAAATGCCCCACAGCTATTTTGCATTTACAAGAAGTATTTTTCATATTAAACGGGCATTTCACACTCAAAACTGGAGTTGTCACATTCAGTTTCTGTATCGCTAAGTAATGAATTAGCCACAAAGTTTTCTTTCTTTCTTTTTAAGTGGTAGATAGTAAGGGCAGCTCTTGCCTCTGATTTCCAGATTGTCCTTTCCTAGTATACTTACTGAAAAATAAACACAACATTAAACAAAACCTACACAAAATAATGAGAAACAAAAGGGTAACATTTTTCCTATTTATTTCATAGGTCCCAAATGAATAGAATACCTTGAAACAGATATCAAAAAGCATAAAATCATCAACCTGTTGAACTGACCTTTAGGCATGGTTAATGCCAATGCCCAAATTTAACAGCTCCATGCAGGCCTGTGTTACCAGTAGCATTAAGCCATCCATTGAGTGGTTTCATTTATTTCATTGCTTTATATTCAAGGAAATGCAGTAAAGCACAACATGAAATGAAGACCAACATTATTTTGATGCCTCTAAAATCACAGTAATATTTAGATGATCAATCAAGAGATAATGTGTTGCTCATATAACCAATAAAAAGTTTATACATAATACTATTGTTCTAACTTCTATGGTCCTTATCATCATAAGAACTCTGTAATGTTATCCTATATTACTTAGTGAACTTCGTCACTATGTGGAGATTAAACCCATCTCACTGATCAAGTCCAGTACTTTTATTTTTAAATAATCTGAAATCTTGTGGCCAACATATATAGCAAATATAAATAATGTAAATTAAATCACACTTACTAAATAAAAGCTTCAGTATTTTGGGTGGATCAGATATATATTTATTATTATTACACAGTAGCAATAAAAACATTTAGTCACTTCTGAATAATTTGGCCAGTGGAGTGTTTGATAATTATCTGGGAAGAAAATATCTAAGTTTGCTAAGAACAAATTATAAGCTTTGCTAATGCCTAGGTAGGAACTTTCAAAACCCTTATGTGAGAAATTTGTTTTCAAGAAGGTAAGACATAAGATGCAATCCTACAACCTTAACTAAATCCACCAAATGCATATGTAAACAGAGTGTAGATCTGCTTCTATTATTTCAATATTCTTTATTTACTATTTACCAAATAGGTAAACACAGCACCTGCAAAGAAGAGGCTATATACTGTATCGTTAACAAATGTTTTTTCTAGAATCTTTCCAATAACTATAACACTGATCATATGGTTTTAATGGCTAAAATGGAACAGACCTAATTGGAAGAAATGGCCAGATACTCTGGTAAGGTATGCCAACTAAAAGGTAAAGGTTCCCCTCGCACATATGTGCTAGTCATTCCTGACTCTAGGGGGTGGTGCTCATCTCCGTTTCAAAGCCGAAGAGCCAGCGCTGTCCGAAGACGTCTCCATGGTCATGTGGCTGGCATGACTAAACGCCAAAGACGCACGGAATGCTGTTACCTTCCCACCAAAGGTGGTCCCTATTTTTCTACTTGCATTTTTTATGTGCTTTCGAGCTGCTAGGTTGGCAGAAGCTGAGACAAGTAACAGGAGCTCACCCCGTTACACGGCACTAGAGATTTGAACCACTGAACTGCCAATCTTTTATCAACAAGCTCAGCGTTTTAGCTACTGAACCACCAAATCCCTCTTTAGATATGCCAACTACAGGCATGCAAAAATACTCAGTAGAACAGAAATGCTTAATAGTGGCTATGACTATGTCATACTGTCATATGTATATGCCAATACATATGTGGAAGGCCATTTCCCATGCCCTTTCTCAGCATCGACTTAAACTGACCTTCATAGCAGTACAGGGTTTTAAAACACAGTAGGAGGAAGCAATGTATGGTCTACAACCTGTTCATAACACTAAACCATTCTTTTCTGAGCACCTAAACTCTTTGAGATGAAAATTTGGCAGTTTCCAACTGAAACTAGCATAATTCTGTGTATAGGTATGAAACAGACTAAAATTACTGCTTACAGTTTGAGACTTTTATTATATGGTAAAATCTACAATAGTAAAAATTCTATCCTTTCTCCCCTCTTAAAAATCTACCAGTAGCCCTAATGCTTTACATGATGTTCTCTGCTCATTGTAGTCCTATCTATCAAAATCTCTCCTTTGCTACCTATGAAAGTTTGACTGCACCTGTTATAATGGGCAGTTTATAGGCTGGATCTGCTCAGCATGCTAATTTAGACTAAAAAGGGGTGATAGTTCGTAGGTCTACATGTTATAAGAAACTCATCAGTGACTTAACATTTGTATGAGCTGGACCATCATATTAAGCCATAATATGATTTAATTTGGAGAGGCATTATATAAACTGTTCTTTTGTTAATCTAGATCTAGAACATAGCTTGTTGTATGAACTCAGTTACAAAGCTTCGAAACCATTCAAGACTTTGGCAGAAAAACAGTAACAGCACTGATTCACATATTTTTTTTTAGTTACAAACAAACCAAAATAGTAAAACAGAAAATCTGTACTAAGACAATATATACACTGTATGGTCTCAGATGAGAGCATTGTTAGTGGGACCTAGTCATCCCTGAATGTCTAAGCAGTCCTCAATTCAGAGGCTCTCTTTTTTTTTTTACTCATTATACTATCTGTTTTGAAATGAGTATTTGAGGGCAATTCCACATAAGGTACTTTTATTAGAAAATGGGTGGGGGAAGGAAGCCACAACAATTTTTCCATTACATAGATGGATTAATTTAAAGCTAATTAAATTTTGTACTTCTCAAACGAGGGAGGGAATATTTTCCAGTCAAGTCAAAAAATTACAAGTCCTTACATCATACAGTGGTATAGGCATCAATTTCCAACCTAGCATATGGAAAAGATTACTATAAAGCCATAATAAACTGAGAAAGAGGGAAAAGAAACATTCTGTTCTTGATCTCTGATTTTCTCCTGGCTTCTGTTCCAGTTTTGTGATGAATGACCATCACATTGTTACTTGCAGCATATAAGATATTGACAAAGCACCATCTTGGACTATGTTTGTTTACACTAAAATCAGGTTTTGTCTTCTGATCCTCTTTTCAAATAGAACTAACATATGCATATAAAAGTTAAAATAAAGATAAATTATGAACACGAGTTGTTAACTTAAAACTTAGCTGCAATCTTAAAATGCATTTACTAATGAGCAAGATTAGATGAATACTTCTGAAAAATTATACACGATAATTATTCTTTAACAGGTAAATAGTATCTAAAACATATTCTAGTTAAAAAAAACATCTGGTGAAACATATCTACACACTGTATTAAGAACACATCTTCATTGGATTGTGCTAATGATTCTTCAAGCAATTTTAGCAAAGATGATTTTTATATAGATTTTTTTTTATCAGCAGCCACATTTTAATGGTTCCATTAAAGTTATGATTTCTCAACACTGAATGTAAAATAGCTGAGAAGGGCAACCTTAATATATGTTTAAATAGTGTTTGTTTTATTGAGTAATTTTCAAGAACTCTCATAATGAACATAGATTTTGTGTGGTTTAAGAAACAATACATGTTTGCTGTGTTTTGACTTGTAACACCAAATGATATTAATCTTAAAGAAAATAAATACGAGAAAAGGAAACGTCTGACTGGATTTATTGCAGCTTTTTTCTTTTGTTGTTTAAATATTTCAAATTTCAGTTTCCTTCTCATTATAAAAATCTGATAGCATTTTTTTCAGTTTCTGTTGTTATCAAAGTTGATAGTTATTTTTAAAATTTTACACTAAAATTTTCATTTTAATTTGTATGTATTTACAATGAAATGTAGTGCACATTTCCCCGGACATAATTTCCCTAGCATGGAAAATTAGAAAAATTTGCAGTCAAGAATTATATAAGCTCCGTAGTGAACCCTGTGACCCTAAGAGAAAATATACTAGCAGCTCTAAAATTACTGCTGTTAAGTCACTGAAATGGCTGTTGAAATCGCAGAGAGGTAAAACAAGACATACGGTATTAGGGGTTTTTTTCTGTCCAAGGCTAACAATTTTGAATGGGGTGTAAGGAGTGATTTTAAATTACAGAAGACAGTGAGGAACTGATTAAAACTTCAGTTCCATCAAGTATCTCACCAGCAGGTTATTTTTCCTCTTAAACAACAGAAAATGTTCTTAAGAGATTCAAGCAGAATTATGTCCTATCACCTCTAATGGTCTTCAATGAACATCTGGATTTGAAATAACTTGTATTCCTAACATGTTACAAACAAAACCCAAAATAAATCTTTTAAATATATGTAAATATGTAAACACAGTGCACAAGACTCAATCCTGGGCCTCTTAAAGTTCAATACAACAAAGTTCTCACAGACTTGTAAATTACAGGTTTAGGCCCTAAACGAAGGTAGCAAAACTGTGAAGCCAGAATCAGCTAGGTTTTTGGTGAAATGCAAGATCAGGTGCCTATTTCAAAACCAAGTTTCAGAAAAATCGTCTTCGTTACTGAAGACTTCCCTGCACATGTGGGAATTTTCTTGGTGAAGGGGATATTCAGAACCTGCCACCAAGCTCACTTTTCTTTTCCGAGAGATGTACGGCTTTCCAGAAGGAAGACTTTCATATTTTGTTAGATATTGCCTACAAAAAAAAATAGTAGTGATATGATTATATTGTATTACTTGAGCAACAGCATGTTATAATCCTAGGAATAATTCTTAATGACATACACAATTGAAAGTGTTTTAAGTTTTCCTTATCCATAATTTTCCAGAGCAAAGTTGAATAAAAATGAAACACTTCTTAAGGCTTTGAGACTCAATAATCTGGGCCCTGGTCTAATGTATAGATATACACATTTGAGGTCAATGGTACTTTTCCTTGAACACAATGTCAGATGCTGTTGCAAGCCAATCTTTGGGAAAACTTGATTACTGATAACTTCAGGAGGATGTCAGGAGGAATAGAAACAGTATTACTGGTGAAGGTGAGATTTTTAAAAATAACCCATGCTTGCATTCAAGCGATTGTATATCTATAGTGGTATTTTCCATATGAATGCATGAGGGCTGGAGAGTGATGTGTACATTTTGACTACTAGCTCAGAAGAATGCACTCTTTAACTAAAAAAAAAAATCCTCAAAAACTTTCCTCACAACAGAGAGTGGCAATATGGTTCCTACAGAAGGCAGGTATTATTTAATCTTAAAAGATTATGCAAACTATGTGCAAACTATGAAATCTCTTCTGTGAAGAAAACTCTCTTCTATAAAATAGCAGATGCCTCTCAAAATAAGTCTATAAACACGTGAGTTCATGAGATTTAGTGTCCTTTTGGAAGCAGTCATTTATTTATTTATTTATTTATTTATTTATTTATTTATTTATTTATTAAATTTCTATACCGCCCTTCTCCAATAGGACTCAGGGCGGTGCACAGCCAAGATAAAAACAAAGCATACAAAATTTAAGAACAGTATTAAAATAATTAAATATTTTGGCCGAAATTAAGATAACCCAATTTAAAATCAATTTAAAATTTAACTCAGGCCAGCCCAGCTTGTTGAAATAAATAGGTTTTCAGGGCCCGACGAAAAATCCGGAGGTCTGTTATTATACGTAACTCTGGGGAAAGGTTGTTCCAGAGGGTGGGCGCCGTCACAGAGAAGGCTCTCCCCCTGGGGGTCGCCAGCCGACATTGTCTGGCGGACGGCACCCTGAGGAGGCCCACTCTGTGCGAGCGTACTGGCCGGTGGGAGGCTATTTGGTGGCAGAAGGTGGTCTCGTAAATACCCCGGCTCTAAGCCATGGAGCGCTTTAAAGGTGGTCACCAACACCTTGAAGCGCACCCGGAAGACCACTGGGAGCCAGTGCAGCTCGCGCAGGAGAGATGTCACATGGGAGCGCCTCGTCGCCCCCATAATCCCCCGCGCGGCCGCGTTCTGGACCAGCTGGAGCCTCCGGGTGCACCCCAGGGGGAGCCCCATGTAGAGAGCGTTGCAGTAGTCCAGGCAGGAAATGACTAGTGCCTGAGTGACTGTGCGTAGAGAGTCCCGATCTAGAAAGGGGCGCAGCTGGCGTATCAGGCGAACCTGATAAAAAGCCCCCCTGGCCACGGCCGTCAAATGATCTTCTAAAGACAGCCGTGCGTCCAGGAGGACGCCCAAGTTGCGAGCCCTCTCCGTGGGGGCGAGTGATTCGCCCCCAATAGCCAGCGATGGCGTCAGCTGGCTATATCGGGACGCTGGAAGCCACAGCCACTCGGTCTTGGAGGGGTTGAGTCGGAGCCTGTTTCTCCCCATCCAGGCCCGCACGGCCTCCAGACACTGGGACATCACTTCAAGGGCATCGTTGGGGTGGCCTGGGGTGGAGATGTACAGCTGGGTGTCATCAGCGTACTGATGGAACTCCACCCCAAAGCCACGGATGATCTCACCCAGCGGCTTTACATAAATGTTGAACAGAAGGGGCGAGAGGACCGACCCTTGTGGCACCCCACAAGCAAGGTGCCTCGGGGTCGACCGCTGCCCCCCCGTCAACACAGATTGCGACCGGTCAGAGAGGTAGGAGGAGAACCACCGCAGAACGGTGCCCCCCACCCCCAACCCCGCCAACCGGTGCAACATGATACCATGGTCGATGGTATCAAAAGCCGCTGAGAGGTCTAAGGATACTTAGACCATTACAATGGTATCTGAATAATTTGCTGATCTGTGCTCTACAGATATAGATACTTCTCATTTAATGGTCACTTGTTCAGCAATAGTTCAAACTTGCAATGACGTTGAGTGAGTAGTTCTTATGACTAGCCCTCATAGTTCTGGTCATCGCAGCATCTCCAGACATACATGATAAGCATTTGTGACCTTTGTCAGCTTCTAACAAGCAAAGCCAATGGGAAAGCCATTCAATTCTCCTGAAATTAATTCCTTAAGTGGAATTAGCTACTATTTCCTTTTTTCCTTCCTTACAAGTTAAAGTTTACCATTAGCTTCCACCAGAAAATGGATGGTTCTAGTATAACCTGCATTATTCATCTTCTTGATATGTATTTGTCACATATCTTTGAAGTTCAATTGATCTTTAGCATCATACAGTACAGTGATAGCATTTAAATAGATATACTGTACAGTATGCTATATCTGTTTATATAAAGTTCCAGTTGTTTATTTATTTATTTATCATATTTAAGAACTGCCCATCTCCCTTAGAGAGGGACTCTGGGTGGTATACAATAAAATATCACTGAAGTATTCTGTGGAAAAGGCCAAAGAAAAAGTAGCTCAAATGATTTGGATCTATAGGAAGGAGTTAATGTGTTGTAGGAATTATAATTATAAATTATAAAGGAATTATAAAAAAGAAAACATTTGATTCAGTCAACTAATTCCAGAGTAGTCAGATTTAGTCTTAAACAGATTCCATTTTGCATAGAGTTAAACCAATTTCCTCAATTAATCTGTCTTTTCATGAAACTGATGACTTCAATTAACTAATCTATGCCTCTTGGAGATCAAAAATCCCACTAGAGCAGGGGTGTCAAACTCGATTTTATTGAGGACCACATCAGTGTTGTGTTTGATCTCAGGGGGCTGAAGTGGGTGTGGCCAGGGTGGTTGTGGCCAGCTCAACGTCACTTGTGTCGGGGCGGGGGCTGTCGTGGCCTGAGCACTCTGCCAGCAAAAATGGGCTCCTGAGCTCCGTTTTCAGCTGCCAAGGCCTCCTGCAACCCTCTATCAGTGAAAATGGAGCTTGAGGGGGCTGTGCCTTTCCAGGGCAGCCCAGCAGACCAGATCTAAGTACCCTGTGGGCCAGATAGGGCCCCTGGGCCTTGCGTTTGACACCCCTGCTCTAGACTATACCTCTAGGGATTCCCAGAAGTCACACCAAGGGTGGTGGTGAACTTTGGTGGAAGATTGAGATCTTTTTCTAAACTTGCCTCTCGCGTCACCAATCTTGATCATACCATATTTGCTTTTTCCCTCACTTTGACTTGGAGAAAAAAAAATGCAATCTCCTTTGCAATGCTGAAGGGGTTGTAAAAATTGCCACTGTGATATAGAGTAGCTATCCCTGATCATACACTGCTAGAATACAGTGATAGGTCTATTGGACAGAAAGTTGGGACCTGGATTGGTAATGAAATTAAGACAATCAACAACTATTGATTAGGGACTAATTTAAGGGCCATCCAACCTCCTATACAAATTGCACTCTAATATCTTATTTACTTAACACATAATGATCTTCTCCAGAATCAGAAAGTAGAAAGCTGCATTAAAATGCTAGGCAGATCAATAAACATTTCTAGTTGCTTCCTACCTAAATGGACTTTCGGTTTTATCCATCTGCATGCAGACCAAAAATGGGTATTGTGAAAATTTCACTGTGGTAACAAAATCCAACATTGCTTCAATTTCAGAAGTCGTTTCCAGGCCAGCCTTTACAAACATAGCATCCACAACGAAGTTACCAATCATAGCCCCAGCTCCCCTGAAATAAAACAGGAGTGGAAAAAAAACCAAGTTGTCAAAAATTGAATATTATATTGAAATAATATCTCCTCCAACTGATAACTTTTAGACAAACTGTTCTGTATAAAAATCTCATTTCACATTGGCTTTCCCGTCTGCACCTGTACATTACTGACTCTTCCTAGCAGTCAAACATTGATGTGGCTAAGGATAGGAGCAGAAAAAGAAAAGTGGCTAAACAGTTCAAACATTAATTCCTGATGTTTCAGGAATTCAAACCTTGGACAGGACAGGAATGATAAATCTGATTCCCTACATTTTGCTGAATGACAAATTGCAACATTCCTCACCCTAGCCTTCTGGTTGTGATCACTGAACATAGTAATCTGACAACTGGAAAAATATGGGCTCACCCCAAAAGTTCCCAAGTATTGTTCCACTAATTATTTTACTCAAAGCTGATAAGGGCAATACCCAAGTTTTATTCAACACCCGATAAAGGCAATACACAAGCTTTGAGCTACCAAAGATATAAGTAACAGTTTTTACTATTTTGTGGTTCAACTGATCCATGGAGAGCAAATGATGAAATATTGCCATACAAACCATATAAACATCAGTTGCGAGTTGACAATCGTATAGAGGACATGTTCACTTCACTTTCACATGACTATCAGCTTGCAACTGATGTTGGGATGCAAGTATACAATGCAGGATTTGTATCGTGTTTTTGCAATAGACACTTCATGTTTTCACTATCAGTTTGTACCAGATGTTTCGACTGTGGTTTTCAGAATCAGGTAGAAAAAGAATCTTCTGCAGAAATAGTAAAGTTATATTTTCTCTATTTTCCACATGTTTTCATATAACTATTCTTTCAACTAAGTAAGTTTTAAAAATGTTTTAAAATTGTATACACTAACTAAATTTAAAATCCCTCATGTTGATGATGAAATTTAATATCTCCATCAAGAACAACTGAGATGTCTCACCGATTTTTAACTTTTGTTTTGGATTCTCTGTACCAAAGGCTGAACTCCATTCCTCCAGATGCATCGATAGTCATACCTCCCTTGAATTCGGCATTGCAAATCAGCCCAGATTGCAGCTGGATAACCTAAATAAATAAATAAAAAAGAACACATATAATATTTCTTGCTTATCTAGTATATGTTCAGATTAGTAATGTTTTAGGAGGACAGAAATACTTCCTGTCTCTACTTCTCAGTCTCCCTTTTTGAGTTTTCCATTTGGTGCAAAGAAAAATCTCTCCACTCCATGCAACTGGGCTACATAACCAGCTGAGAACAGAAGATCCATGGGTGAAGCTTACAGTATAGGGCAGCTACACAGAGAGACACTTTTTAGTAACAAAAATTGTTCTTGAGTTGTTTCATGTTGAACAGAAATGAAACATCTATCCCTCAGCACTATTCACGCAACTTTCTTTTTGATAGTTTTGGTCTAGACCAGTGGTTCTCAAAGTGTCTTCAGGAGGTCCACTAAGTCAAATAAATATTTCCAATAATAAATATTTTAAATTTTTACAGACTTAATTTGTAATGCAGTAAATATCAGTAGAGATCATCCACATAAACCAAAGCTCTTTAGGATTCTCAATAATTTTTAAGATTGTTAAAAGGTCCTGTGACCAAAATGTTTGAGAAGTCCTGGTCTAGACAATACGAAAATATGAAAAAAATAACATAATATTTAAAATTAGGATCACTAAGCTCATTTCATATGTGATCTCCAAACGACTAAACTGGCTAGTAATAAAAAGCCTTAAAGGTAAAGATTCCCCTCGCACATATGTGCTAGTTGTTCCCAACTCTAGGGGGCGGTGCTCATCTCCATTTCAAAGCCGAAGAGCCAGCGCTGTCCGAAGACGTCTCTGTGGTCATGTGGCCGGCATAACTAAACGCTAAAGGCACACGGAACGCTCTTACCTTCCCACCAAAGGTGGTCCCTATTTTTTCTACTTGCATTTTTTACGGGCTTTCGAACTGCTAGGTTGGCAGAAGCTGGAACAAGTAACGGGAGTTCACCCCGTTACACGGCACTAGGGATTCAAACCGCTGAACTGCCGACCTTTCGATCGACAAGCTCAGCGTCTTAGCCACTGAGCTAAGACTTACATTACTATAAAAAAGGCTTACATTAGATTAGATTAGATTAGATTAGATTAGATTAGATTAGATTAGATTAGATTAGATTACATAGCAATTGTATAATAAAGCTGTTGAATAAAGGGGCAAATGGTTTTCCATATAATTCAGCGAGAGACATAGCTGTTTGGATAAAGTAGCTTTCTGCCAAGGCTGGCCCTCTCAGCTGTCAAAAACTTACAGCTGGATTGGGACTCCATTGCATAGAGTTCATTTGGGAACAGTCAAAACAGAAAGCAATTCAGAGTCACAGCAAGTCATTTCAGTTGCATGCTGACCGACAGTCAACATTTTAAGGTTCACATGGCTTGGAACATATTAAATATGTTTATATTCTTCCTACAGTGTATAAAACAAAGTATGATGCAGCTTCTGGTAGGTGCATATTTATTCAGAAGTCTGTCCTGCTGAACTCAAAATAGTTTACTCTCCAGAAATTGTGCGGAGGGATTCAGCTGGTACATAGTTATTAATAATCCCTCCCCCTATTTTCAATCCACTTAAGCAATATATGAAAGTCCATTGTTTTTTTCTGGCTATGCCCAAGAAAAACATAGAAAAAATGGGGAAATTGGAAACAACAAACCTGCAACATTCTTTTTTGAAAGAAATATCCATAGGTACTATCTGCCATTATAACTCAGCCTGGCTTCCTATGTCAAAATAGCTAGGTTCTACTGAGATCAAGAACTCTGAAGAACCTGACAACAGTGTTGTTTCACAAAAATTCAGTCCTTGCTATAATCTTCTGAAAATTGTGATGATTATCTATGACCATGCATTTTATGGCTAGAAACAAACATGACCTATGGATATCCCACCAAACTGTGTTGGTCAACATTCAAATGTACTTGGAAGAAAGTAAGAATTTATCTTAAGTATGAGGTGGGCTGTGATAATTATTTAACAAGCCTATTCCTGTCTTATCACTTACACTTGGTAGGTGCCATTTAAAAAAAATAATAATCTTGTAATAGGTTATTTAGTTCAAAGATTCAGATTTATTCTTCTTGCTCGGATATTATTTATGTTATTATGATTTTGTCTTGACTTCATCCAAAGGACTCACTTTGTGGCAAATAGGATCCACCTTTGATCTGATTTTCACAGGGTTTTGTAAAATAGGTTAATCTGGGGAAAAGCTAATAGATTTGACTCAACATTACTGAATAACCTTCAAGGCTGAAAGGAGGTGTGAGTATCTGTAATGCTGCAATATTTAGCTGACAATAGGCAAACCTTCAGATTTTGGATTATGATGCCAATATTTTGCCACTGGCCATCCTGTTTTGGAGTTATACAAGATGAAGCCCAAAACATTGAAGGGCAACAGACTGCAGTTCCTCACAACACAAATTTATGAGTTGTGTTCCAATTTTTACATAATAACATAAATAACCTAAATATTATTTTAAAAAATATAATAAGTTTGTTTCCTGGTCCATCTAATTGTAAATAGGTTATTTGTGGACAAGTTGTCAACACTGAAAAAACAAAGATTAGAAGATTGTTTGCCATGCATTCAGTTGGTATGCTACAGCAGGCATCCACCATATAGCTCCCTCCAAATATGTTGGGATTATAAAATCTGGAATTCCCAGCCAGTAGAGCTTTGTGTTGCTGAAACTGTCTACAACCGGAGTCTCCAACCTCGGCAACTTTAAGCTTGGTGGACTTCAACTCAAAGCAAAGCTGGCTGGGGAATTCTGGGAGTTGAAGTCCGCCAGGCTTAAAGTTGCCAAGGTTGGAAACCCCTGGTCTACAACATCCCTTAACTAAGAGAGCAATTGGCCAAAAGTCATCTAGAAATTTCACAGCTAATGAACAGGAACTTCTCAATTCAAGCTTCCTCTTTGGTCAATCTATTCCATTAGTATGCAATTCTTTTTCAAATTCCACCCATAAACTTGGGAAAGGTATTAAGGGACAAAAGTGAAAATGGACACAATAAAAGTAAAAAATGGAGTTTCCAAAGACGGGGAAAAGCATTTTCAAAAAATTAAAAATCCATTAAACACTTCACCCAGTCAATATGTTAATGTTATTTTTTTAACCATTCATTTATTTGTATAATTTATGAGTTCCATGCATAATACCTACAGTACATAAAATATATAATTGCAAGTGTGAATAAATACTATGCAACCATCCAGCTAATCATCTATTTATTACTGAACTATAGCTTCTTTTTACAATAAGATTATGCAAATTGGCATTATCAGCCTCCATGCTTCAAAAACATTATTACTAAAAGCATAAATTTGGAGTAAAAATGTCATATACAACTAGAATATTAGGTTTCCAGTACATACATTTCACAGTACATACCTGTGAGAAATCCAACAGAAGGATGAGCCCTTTTACTACATTAATGGGGTCTCCAGTGGCTGAGAACATTTTAGACATTAAATCACTATATCCTTGGAAAAAGGTAACTGGCCGGAGTTGAACATCAAGCATGATTGCTGACAAACCAGCAAAGGAGTCAAGATTTTCTTCTCCTTCATCTGCAGATGCAGCTATAATAGATTCCAGACCTTGAGCTTCAATTACCACCTAAAAGAACGCAACAACACATAGCACACGGGAAAATGAATGTGTGCATGCAAGGACATTTTGTTCTAAATTCAACAAGATTGTTATATTATTCAACTCTTATCCACACCTTCTTACAAATGAGAAGCAGCATAAGGCTCTTCTAGATAACTATTACATTGAAATGGAAAAGAGACATGACAACTACCATCAAAGGGCAGAACTGGGGATGGGGAGTGGGGAGAATAGGTGAAAGCTCCAGAAGGGCAGATTTTGATCAATGTAGAGAAATTTTATGGAAGCTCTTGTTTGACAAGGAAGTAGACTTTCTTAGATGTCCTATAAATCCATTGGAGGGATTTATGCAAATTATTTTATTCATGCATCAAGTACTACAGAGTCTTTAATGACAAGGGTTGAGAGTAAATGATCTCCAGAATCCAGATCCTTTCTCATTCTAGGATTCTATCAAAGTTTGATAGACTTAGTCGGGCATTTCAGGTAGTAAAAACTGCAGCTACTCAACTTCTCATAATTATGAAAGATGTGGAAACATTTTTTTTTTCATCTGGCCAATTAACGGTATTTTAAATTTTAAAAGTAGGGAATAGAAAATGATGGAGTTGCTGTTACAATAAACTCTAAGCCATGCCATCAAAAGAAATTTAGAGCACACAGATTCAGGTTCAATCTGAAACATCACCACTCAAACATCTGGATGATGAGCAGGACCTTTATCACGTAATGAATTAAGAGGACAACAGTAAACTGTTCATCTTCCAAACTGCTTTCATGACAATTATGCTTGTGCGTGCATAAGGTTTAAAGCAATTCTGAACCATATGCACAAAAAGCATGGTCCTAAACAATAGTTTGATCTGATTTAACTTGATTCCATGATCAAGTTGTAATGACTCAAGCTGCATGCTAGGCTCTTTTCTGATGTTTTTATTTTAATAGTGCATGACACATACCTGGCTGGCATGAAGTTGAGCAAATTTACTGAAAAGAAAGATATTCATGTTGCTTCTTCTTAAGATACCGGAACCAGAGTACAGTATATCAAGGCTATATGTAGATGATAGAACTTGGCCACCTTAATTAAACAGAGTTACGTGTTGTAGTTACAATTTTGGCAAAACAATCAAGAAATGCAAATATAATCTGATATTAATTTTGATCATCACATACGTGTTAGGTAACCAGAGAAGGCCGAAGAAGAACCCATTTTTGAAAATCGGTCATAATTATGAATCAATATATCCTTCAGGACTTTACGGATCATTTTGCTGAAAAACAAACATTTTATTTCTATTGGAGAAGAAAACATTTTCCCTCTACAATAAAATACCAAAAAGATCCATTGTAGTAATAGCATTCCATACATTATGATCTGACCTGAAATCCATACTAAGAACTTTCTTTGGAGATAAAGATACTAATTTATTTAAGAAAATCTGATTAAAGGGGTATGGTTATTTGCTGAAAGGTACAGTAAAATAATCTCATTCTTACAAACTCCTACTTTTCTATGTACATCATTATGTCACCAATTGCTGGTTCAAATTCTATAGTTCAGCCTATACGAGAATTGTATTTACATTTGAGTAATTCTTCTGTCGCGTAAATCTGTTTTCTCTGTTACCACAAATGTATACAGTCTGTGTTCACAATGAAACACAAACTTGCCAAACACATTTAGACAAATGTATTGTCAAATGTATATTATTTTGTTACTATCATGTAAAACACTGGAAATTTTCAAGATGTTGGATAACTATTTGTCTGAAGTGGTGTAGAGTTCCCTGCCTAAGCATGGGGTTGGACTAGAAGACCTCCAAGGTCCCTTCCAATTCTTTTATTCTATTCTATTCTAACCTCCCCCCCCAAATTGGTTAATTTTTAAAACCCATCATAGTAAGCATACTATGCTAACACAATCATTCTATCAGAGAACTGAGTTAGCATTCTGCTGGCCTTAATGTGGATGTCCTGATTTTAAAAAAATTCTGATGAGTAAAGCTATCTTAACTTTTGTATACCGTAGTTATATTCCTCCCACTACTACTACTACTACTACTACTACTACTACTACTACTATGGTACTACTACTACTATATCAAAACAAGTTTTAAAGTGTTAAATCATTCCAAAATAAGATAAAGATCTCCTGCTTGAGCAGGGAACTGCTAGCGAGTGCAATTTTAAGCTCTCACTGTGATCTTTAAAAAAAACTATGCTTTTTATCCCAATATAAATGTAGCGAAGGTGGTGTGAATCCCATTGTACAAGAGTAATATTTGTGGAGCAGTTCTATCACAGCATGGTTACACAAATAACAATGATACTTGATATACCTGGCAGGCATTTCAAAACGTAGTATGTCCTGGACTAGTGAAAGCATGTACTTATTCATTTCCAGTGGCAGCTCTCCAATAGAGAGGAGGAGGTTTTTAACTTCCATGAAGGAAGGGTTGCTGTTGAAGATAATAGCAGCAGCTGTGGTTCGTACAGTCTTCTCATGAACTTTATAATTCTGGTGGTAAATCCTGTTCATGGTTTTTTTCACCTGGTGGAAATATAATCTGATTCAATTCCACTGAACAGTTGATAGAAGAAGAGAAGAAAGGTAAGAAAGTCTATCACCAATAAATGAGACCAGATAGATTTCTTTTAACTTCAGGCTATACCTTGTGTACTGAGATGGTATCAAAATTCAAATGATTGTGTCAGGATTAATAACTACCAAGGAATTTGACCTATTTGTCCCAGTTCTCTCAAATTGGAGAATAAATAGTGAATTTTGGTTAACATGTAACTTACTAGGTGGTGGTAGAAAATATCAAGATATTATAGGTCATGCATCAAACTTAAAAGTTATAGGATTAATTGCCAGACAACGTAGCAAAATGAGTCCCAAATCTCATTTCTTTTTCACCTTTCTATATATTGAATTTCACCTTGGATCATACAATATGTTCATATTTGTTGTGAGATACATGGAAAGACCAAAACATAGTTCTTATCCCAAAATATTAAATATATTTCTGCCCATATCCAGAGCAATCTATGAGACACTCTTTTATAACCTTAAAGCAGTGGTGAAATCCAAGTTTTTTTACTACCAGTTCTGTCGATGTGGCTTGGTAGGCGTGGTGTGGCTTGGTGGGCATGGCTTGGTGGGCGTGGCAGGGGAAGGATACTGAAAAATCCCCATTCCCTCCCCATTCCTGGGGGAAGGATATCACAAAATCTCCATTCCCACCCCACTCTAGGGCCAGCCAGAGGTGGTATTTGCAGGTACTCCAAACTACTCAAAATTTCCGCTACTGGTTCTCCAAAACCTGTCAGAACTTACTGGATTTCACCCCTGCCTTAAAGATATATTGGACAACAACTCCCCCTATGTTCTAGCTAATGGAATTTGTAGCTCAACACATCTAGAATGTATATGAGAGTTACTTCCCACCATGATAAAAGTGATTTCAGTTATAAAAACAGTGAATATATAGAAACTACTCCTTTGTCCCAAAAGAGGAAGGCATCCATACCTTTTCAGAGAAAATGCGGAAATGGACAAGAATTGAATAATTTAAATTTGCCTATATATAGATTTAAAATCTATATATAGATTTTTCATAATCATTACTGGAATTCTATTTTTCTCCTCCTGATAAATGCTTCTTTTACCTTCTGTTTAATAAATGTTTACCTTCCTTCTAATAGGGAGAATTATCAGAGATTTTTGATTTTTAGTCTTTGGATAAAATGTTTCCATCAAGATTACAAGAATGAAAATCTGAAAGTAAGGAGGCTGTCCAAGGATTACCTTGCCTGCAGCTTTTCCAAATTTAGATTTAGAAAATTTTAAAACAAGAGTTGGCAATATGGGACTTGCAATAAGCCAGACAGCGTATGTAAATTGCTCAAGTTCCATTAAAATTACATTTTTAATTGTAAGAATTTTTAACTCTCACATGAGATCACCAAAATTCCATAAGGTTTCATAGCTCAAGAATTTAACATTTTAAAGATTTGATGATCTAGCCAAATTTTCTGGAAGGGCAGAATGACAGCTGGTGCTTAAAATGGTTGCTGATGTAAAAAAACCCATAAAGGTATACTCATCAGTCTCTTGATTTTTGCATGAGAACTCAATAATCTTTGTGGCTTCTTCGGTAAAATACATATATGCATTTACAACTTCTCTCTCTAAATGAAGGACCATCATTATCCAACACTCCCATCTTATTGTTCCTATTACCCATCTCCTCCCACTTATGACTGCATGACGGTAACTTTGTTGCTTGTATCTTTATGATTTATATTGATTGTTTCCTAGTATGATTTGATTACTTATTTGTACCCTATGACTATCATTAAGTGTTGTACCTTATGATTCTTGATGAATGTATCTTGTCTTTTTATGTACACTGAGAACATATGCACCAAAGACAAATTCCTTGTGTTTCCAATCACACTTGGCCAATAAAGAATTCTATTCTATTCTATTCTATTCTATTCTATTCTATTCTATTCTATTCTATTCTATTCTATCCTATCCTATCCTATCCTATCCTATCCTATCCTATCCTATCCTATCCTATCCTATCCTATTCTATCCTATCCTATCCTATTCTACTGTGTGTACTTTTTATTTACCTCAGCAGTTATGGATGAATGATCATATCGCTGTAGAGCAGTAACAGCAATGTTGCTGATAGGTCCTTCTCCTGACTCAGCGAATTTCAGCAGCACAGGAACAGCTTCTGGCAAAAGGGCATTTTTCAGTGCCAAAAGGAACATCTTCACATCATCAGCTTTATCTGCTCTGTTCAAGCCTTGGAATATCAGTTTCTTGGCTTCCACAACAGCCTGGAAAGAATCCACCCCACTATATTAATAGTGCACCAAAGAGAATTTAGGGGAACCTACTGTAGTAAAATGAAGAGAAATTTTTAAAGAAAACTATGAATCAAGAACAATATACAGGTAGTCCTTGACTTATGATCACAATTGAGCCCAAAATTTCGGTTGCTAAGCAAGACCCTTGTTAAGTGACTTTTAAGGCTTTTCTTGCCACAATTGTTAAGTGAATCGGGCTTCCCCATTGACTTTGCTTGTCAGAAGGTCGCAAAGGGGGATCGTGTGACCGTGGGGTCACTGCAACAGCTGCAAGTGTGAAAAACAGTTATGTCACTTTTTTCAGCGTCAGTTTCATTTTGAATGGTCACTGAAGGAATGGTCATAAGTCAAGGACTACCTATATTACACTTTATTACAAGTCATCCATTGGGCTTTCTTCTTGGATTTGATGAATCTAATAAAGCAGAGGTGTCAAACTCGCATCAGGGTTGTGCTTGACCTTGGGGGCCCAGGGTGTGCGTGACATGGCTGGGCGTGTCCATGGTGGGCGTGTCCAGCTTGATGTCACTCTGCCAGATGCGGCCTCCCCAGGCTCTGTTTTTGCTGGCAGAGGGCTGCAGAAGGCCATCGCAGCCGAAAACGGAGCCTGGGCTGGCCATATGCGGACTCCCTGAGCTATGTATGTATGTATGTATGTATGTATGTATGTATGTATGTATGTATTTATTTATTTATTTATTCATTAAATTTTTATACCGCCCCCTCTCCCGAAGGACTCGGGGCGGTGAATTAAAATACATTAAAACGAAATTAAATTATCTTTGACTTCTCCAATTTAAAACCCCTTGCCCATAAAATTCCCCAATTAAAAGATTTTTAACCCAGCCCGGCTTGCTGAAATAAAAAAGTCTCCAGGGCCCGGCGGAAGGTACGGAGGTCTGGGATCAGTCGTATCCCTGGGGGTAGCTCATTCCAGAGGGCGGGTGCTGGCAGAGGCACCGTGGGCCAGTCCTTTGCTGTTTCCAGGGCGGCCCCACAGGCCAGATCTAAGCACCCCACAGGTCAGATTTGGCCCGTGGGCCTTGAGTTTGACACTCCTGTAATAAAGTATTCAATCAAAATATTATGTATATGAAATTAATTATGATTTAAGCCTTTGGGCAGGAGTTCACTGAAAAGTATCATATTGGTCTATTCTTCAGGGCTTTATGGGCAAATCTGTTCATGTTAAGGACTGTATTTCCTCAGGAGTCTTTGGTAAGGACCTACATAATGGGGAGAGAGGTGTAATAATATGTGGAAATGCCATTAGGAGAAAGGGGAAGAGCTTCATCTCTTATTCTCTTTCTAACAATTCCTTCTCTTTTCCAAGTAGCAACCAATGGGAAAAGGGCAAAAATCTCTTTTTTTGAAGTGATTTTGTGCAGTGGGTTTTGGAAATTAGTACAAGAGCCACATGTGGCTTGCAGATTGTCTAGATCTAATTTGGGATGGGAGTAGGGGAGGTGAAGCAAGCATCTGTGAGCTATTTTAAGAGCAAAATACTATTGTGGCTGCTACTATGGGCCTTTTATATATAGCCTAGATAGCATACCATTGTACTCTGCAGTATATGGAAGTGACACACTCCCTCACCCCCCAGTGACCATGCTATCCTTTCCTGGCTGGATAACATTACAGCAGTAGCCAAGCAAAGAAAACAGAAAGCAGAAAGAGGCTAATACAAGTAGAAGAGAATAAGGATGAGAGATAATAAAGGAGTGGGGAAAACAACGTAAGAATTATTTGGAAGGTAGTCCTTAAGGGGCAGAAATTGAATAAAGGAAAGGGAAATTGTCAGAGGCACAGAGAAGGGAAGGTTTTTTTCAAGCAAACGGGAACTTAATAATTGGAGTCAGTAATAGTCAGAGGAACTTAAATGAAGTTTCATATTTGCATTAAGTGCATACAGGTAGTCTTCAACTTACACCCATAATGGAACCTGCTCATTCTCAGTTATAAGTCGTGACAGTCATAAAATTTTATTATCTTTTTTGTGGCAGTCTTTAAACAAACCAATGGTCTGCTATGAGCATATTTCTGCCAAAAACTGGAAGTAAATGCTGGTTTTTAGCAAAACCGTTGTAAAATAGTTGTGATTGTGGGATGCCTAAACCAGCCATAAATGTGGCCTGATTGCCAAGATCTTGAAATTCAGTCATGTGTACACAGGGGGTTGTCCATCAGAACTTTGAACCTGGATTGTAAGCAGCCTCCAGGAAGGTCCATTGTAACCTCTAACAGTTGCTAAGTATTGCATTGTTTTCTCCCGAACTCTTGTAGGAAACTAGAAAACACTTACAGGCAGTTTGCAGCCTCCCACGTTGCACAGTTTTCTGATGAGTGCGCCGGCAATAATAATAACCATTTCTCTGATTTCATTATTACCAATTGGACTCCTGTATTTATTCTGTTGTATTAAAAAAAAAGTCAACAGTGTTAAATCTAACATTTAAAAATATCTACTATGATCCCTTTGGGTGATTTGGCACAAACATTTTTCTGAAATTTGGCTTACACAAAGCTAGCATGACCTAACCCTACTGGTTTTCTCTAAAGCTTTAAAGATTTGATTGTGCCAAATCTGCCAAACTTGGGACCTGAGTATGTGGTTGAACCCATATCATGGCTGATTACGCTGTTTGCTTGGTTTTATCTAAGTTGCTATATTATTTCTTATTTGTTATCTTTTGATTTTGTTTTGATTTTTTTTAAAAAAAAATTGATTTATATGCCGCCCTTCTCCGGAGACTCAGGGCGGCTTACAATGCATTAAGCAATAGCCTTCATACTTTTGTATATTTATACAAAGTCAGCTTATTGCCCCCACAAACTGGGTCCTCAATTTACCCACCTTAGAAAGGATGGAAGGCTGAGTCAACCTTGAGCCTGATGAGAATTGAACTCCAGTAATTGCAGGCAGCTGGATGTTAAATGCTGCCTTAGGAGGCATTAGCCTCCTACGCCACTCAGGCTCTTCAGATTTCCTGGAAGCCACCAAGAGACATATCTGGGATGGGTGTTCATATAAATTGAATCAATTAATAAAATAAATAAATGACCCCAATCCTCTCAAGGAACTGTTCTGTTTAATGACTGGAGGGAATAATACTCCTTATTCAAGAAGGACCAGCCTACCTACCAATGTGCTGTGCAACAGACAATATTTTATAAAATATAAAATAGCCAGTGATTTGGAAAAAAAATATTCTCATGAAGAATTGGAGCAGTTCTGCTGAATGGGAAAGGATCAACGACGGACTGATATTCATCTCATCACGAGGAAACTACAGATCTGCTGCTCTATAGAGCAGCTTCTGGCTATCAGTTTTAAAATGAGGTTTTTAATTAAGAATCAGGAGAGAAAAAAACAATCCGTATTGCAGTATGAAAGGTGGGGAAATTTAAACTTACCCTTCCCATTCATAACTTCGAATAAGCATCTCTTTTCTCTCCACATTAAAATTAGCAGAGGAGAGGAGAAAAGTCCCATTAAATAGCACCCCCAAATATTTTTCTTAGCGATAATTGCATGCCAGGAAGGAGAGGAATTTTAACCACATTTTTTGTGCATTTTCCTTAATAGTACTGATTTTTTTGAATTCCAAGCACTTATTTAGCTTTAGTCATAAGGCCTTTGTTTTTACTTTATTATTTTTACCATGTTGCTAATGGCACTACTGTAAGTGCAACCCAAACCAAAGGCTGTATCAAAAGCTAATCTCATTTGTTTCAAAGAAGCTCATTTCCAGGTGACTTTCAAAAGCTCATGTTCAACTCTCCAGAAAAGGGTGTTTCTCAAGGAAAAAAAATATATGTTCTTAAATACTGCTATAGTCACGTTTCCTTGACTGCCACGGGTAACTTACAATTAAAGATCTGAGTAATAACTCATTGGGATGAGAAGTGAAACCCGAAGCATAGAGGAACCGTTCCTGAAGGAGAGATCCACTCTTGTTCTTGAAATCCAGAAAATCCAACATCGCTTCCAGAGAGGCTGAAGTATGTGTGGACGCCACCACATCAACTAGTTGGGGACTGTTTGGAGGCCAAGCAGAGAAAATAAAAAGTTGATAATTATTTATTTTAAAACACATTGCTGTTGCTGTGTCTTCCTGCATTTTTAATAAATGTATTGGATTACAGGTAGTCCTTGCTTACTGACTATAGTTACAACAGCATTAAATAAGGAGATTGGTCCTTGTGGTTGTGCCTGTTGCAGCCCCTTCCCCACCCCTACACACCATTATGGGATCCCAGTTTAGATGCTCGGCAACTATCTGGTAATTACAATGGTTGCTGTGTTCTACTGTCACAATTGTCATTTTCCATCTTCCTGCCGGTTTCTGTCAAACAAATTCAATGGGAAAACTGGCAGGAGTTGCAAACGTTGATTGTGTGGCATCCACATGACGGACTGATAGAGTTGCCAGTCCCAATTGCCCTTTTTATGCCAGGACTACCTGCAGAATGTTTTATGTTACTACTGTTCAGTTTGAACAGCTACACAACAGGTTTGGGCAACGCTAACTTCCATAACAAAAATTCCAGACAACGATGGCTGGCAGCAAAAGGTTATTGTTGTTCTATGTCTCTTTTCTGCCATCTACTGATTTTGGATAATTTTTGCAATTCAAAACTACTTGAGGCTAAAGTTAGATCTGAAAGCAGGATAATAAGGCCTGAGTAACAAGGAAATTGTTTGATGATAATAATAATAATAATAATAATAATAATAATAATAATAATAATAATAATAACTGACCTGCTAGTGATTGGCTTATGGCTTACACAGGAAAAAACATAGGGACCTCTGATCTAGTTCATAGTGGCTTGAAAACAGTGCATATTGAGCTAACAAGCAAGAACCACAACACTGCTTTGGTATTAAATTCATATTGACCCTAATAATCTTATATAAGATATATAAGATAGGAGCCTTGATGGAGCAGCGGACTAAAGTGCTGTTAAATAGCACTTAGCTGCCAGCTGCCTGCAATTACTGCGAGTTCAAATCTCACCAGGTTCGAGTTTGACTCAGCCTTCCATCCTTCCAAGGTAGGTAAAATGAGGACCCGGATTATGGAGACAATAAGATGATTTTATATAAAAAAGAACACCGCTTGGGGGGGCCGAAAGCCCTACTAAGCAGGTATATACAAAAGTATGAAGGCTATTGCTTAACGCATTGTAAGCCGCCCTGAGTCTCCGGAGAAGGGCGGCATAATAAATAAATAAATAAATAAATAAATAAATAAATAAATAAATAAATAAATAAATAAATCTAATCTTATATAATTTTACAAAATACAATAAATCTTTTTCCAACGCTTACTGAAATTTAAAATGGGGCTGTTACTCCAGAAAGCGTAAAACCCATTCCCAGTAACTCACAGTATTTCTGTATTATTTTCATTTCTCAGTAGCTGTAAGATTTCTTCTTTTGTTGCTTTCTTCAGGCTCTCGATAAATGACAAAAATCCTTTTGCGGCATCGGCTTTTGAAAGATTATCTGGTTCAAGCTGTTTTCGGATGACCATCCACTGCTGAAACAGCTGCCAGAAAAATACACAGTTTGAACCTTTGCACCTTAAAAAGTTTGTCCTCTGTGTGTTGCTTGTAACTGGTCTGGTGTATTACCTACTCTCTTCTGATAAGAGCTGAAAGGCCAAAGCTTCTCCAGCTTTAGCCTGGTTTTTTAAAGAGGGCCTGAGCTTTTGATCCCATCAGGCTTTTTCATTTTTTTCAGAGAAATCAGAAAGGGAATGAGAAAGTAAACCTGAGGTGATCAGAAAAACATTTGTGAGGAAGAGGAAATACAGTATGTTGACCAATAGATTTTATAAAATAGCTAACCTAGTTCATACCTTTACAGAATTTTAAATGTAATAATCAATACTTGATATGTCATCCAAAAAGAAACTGAGACCCAGTGCCATTAAAAACCACAGAGTTGGCTCTGCAAATGCCAAGGTTGTTAACCAAATTAACAGCCAATTAAGTTCAGGAAGACCAGGTAAGAAGCTTAACGTTGACTTGCCTTGACTTTCTTTGGTTTAGGAACAAATGAAAGGGAAATACAGTATTTGAAGACTGAGTTATTATAGCCGATATAAACAAAGTAGAGTTTTAATATTTCGTATAAAGTCTGAATTGATTTTCCTCAAGGGCTGACAATAATGTTAGTAGCAGAGGCGTCATTGATTCTGGATTCTGAGTTCTAGGTTGTATATTAGCCAAAGCTAGTAAAAGACCTGGCTGTTTACCGTAGGGTAATCAATCACGTAAGATCCAGAATCACTCCCAAACTTTCAAGTATGGCACTCTTCTGCCCACTCCACAAGTACACCTGAATCATCTGGATTCAGCTTTAATTTACTGTACTTCATTCAACCCAATATTGACTTAAGGAAAGCAACACCTTCACATATAAGAATTCCAGTAGCGTACTGCTCAAAATCCTCTAATGAACTGCCCCATCTATTTCATATGGGTACTGAATGCATATATCCAGTGGTGGGATTCAGCCAGTTCGCACCACTTTGGGAGAACCGGTTGTTAACTTTCTGGGCAGTTTGGCAAACTGGTTGTTGAAAGAAATCATTAGGGCAGAGAACCAGTTGTCAAATTACTTGAATTCCACCACTGCATATATCCATACTGAAGATAGAATGGAACCGTAAAATAACTCTTGATTTGAGGATCTATTTTTCCACTTGACACCATTTGATTATCAAGCATATTACATATTCACACTCTTCTGGATAAAAAAACAAATGCTATACGCTTCACTAAGAATAAATCCCATAACATTCCATAAAATCTTATTTTGAATAGATATACATAAACCCACAATATTGGTGCCGGACCAGTATTATTTTAAATCTTCAGATGCCTCATTTCAAAAGTCTGATTTTTATGTTGAAATGTCTTGTGAAGTTTTGTCATGTGAAAAAAAAATGTTTGAATGTTCAAACAACTTCCAGTACAGAGCTGAGTGAATATTTTGACCACTGCTACCATATACAGCCACTTCTGTTATCCAGTATTATCTCTGGCATTCTTTAGAGCAAGCTCAGCTGTTTCTTCCAGCAATGTTTATTACAGCTCTCCTAACTAGGAAATTAGGAGCTCAGTTCAGCCTTTGCTAAAATACCTTATCTCTTATTGGGCCAGAGTTATTAAGCAATAGTAGCAGATGCTAATTCCAAATAGCACTACTATAATTTCAGCAGTACAAGTTCACCTTACCTGAATTGTAATTAAACATACAGAAGCAATGATGAGTGAGATAGAAGCTATTTCTGGAGCCTTAATGAATGGGAAGGGAGTACTAATAGCTCAGGACACAGCTGGAGATTATAAACTTCAACTGAGCATCCCTATATATCCTATGCTAAATATTGCTTTATAGCCAAGAATGTATGACCCAAGGCCTTGGGATTGTATGTGGCCCACATTTTCAAAATCTTGTGTGTGATGCTTACAGCTCCTCTGAAAGTTGTGTTGAATGAAATATTTGGCAACGAAAAATATTGTAAATATATGAGGGGTGATTGGGACATGGTGGCTCAGTGGCTAAGACGCTGAGCTTGTTGATCGAAAGGCAGTTCAGCAGTTCGAATCCTGAGTGCTGCGTAACAGGGTGAGCTCCTGTTACTTGTCTCAGCTTCTGCCAATCTAGCAGTTCGAAAGCACATAAAAAATGCAAGTAGAAAAAAAGGGACCACCTTTGGTGGGAAGGTAACAGTGTTCCGTGTGCCTTTGGCATTTAGTCATGCTGACCACAAGACCACGGAGATGTCTTCAGACAGAGCTGGTTCTTCAGCTTTGAAATGGAGATGAGCACTGCCCCCTAGTGTCGGGAACGACTAGCACATATGTGCGAGGGGAACTTTTACCGTTACCTTATGAGGTGTGATTATGTTAATTATTAAATATATTTTCATTTTAAAATTTAAAAGTAAAGTTAAAATGTTTGTGTTAAACCCCCAATTTTTGGAGTCTGTCCCCAATATGCCATTTAAAAGCAAAGTGTAACTTTAACCCCAAAAGTTGCCTCCTCCTCCTCATTTATGGACATTTAGTCTCTACAATCATACTGAGGAAGGATGGATGAATAATAAATAAACTTTCTATTGGTGAGGTTTCCCTGAGATGGTCCAAGCAATGTTGCATGATAGAATTCTCAGTTGTACAATTACTGGAGAAGAATAGGGCACTATGGGATAAGGCCTTCAAAACTATTCACATACAGTTCAAAATCTTGGAATTAGGCTCAGAAGCATAACTACAGTAGCAGTGAATATATTTCCCAGATAAAATAATCTCAAATTCTTTAATTCCTTCCAGTACCTCTTCAGCTATGGCCATTTCAATAGTACATAACTATTATATTTCTTTTCATATATTTCTTTATGACTTACTGATGGACAACTTTTGCATTCATCAGAGACAGGATCTGCCATCAAAGAAATTGCCACATAATTTGAATCCAGAGCCTTTATAATGCTGGCAACTTGCTTCCCAGCCTTCATTCTTGGACCAGCTTCAGTGGACTTCAGTTCCAGTTTCTGCCTGTATGTATACATAAGCAAGCAGTTCAACAAGACTGCCTCCTCTAACACAAACAGTTTAAAATGGCTACATGTGTTGGCAAGGACCACAAGACATATATATTCTGAGATATATATAACTGAGTAATGGTTATAATCAAGGGTATATCTATTTCTGGTAAAATTCATGCAAATAAGGAATCAGATATTGTGTAGAGCTGCAGCATTTTTTAAAAAGAAAAGATTTGTTTAGATTTGACAGATCATCTGTAGACTTTGGTATTCCTGAGAACAACAGGAAAAAGTCAGGCTCTGTGAAGCATTCGGATGAAGAGCCTCTCTTCGGATTATTAAAGCAGTTGTATCATTTGCAGAATTTGTTTGGCTGTTTTGAAAGCCATCCTTGGCTGTTTAGATGAGTGGTTGGGGCTAAAAAATATATCTATATGCATTCACCCCAATTAGGGAGAAATTTCCAGGTAGCTATTCAAGATTTTTAATGATGCATCTGTTTTAATGTGTTGAGGAGATATGCTTTGCTTATATGTTTGCAAAGCACTTCTTCCAAGCCTAATTAATGCAAAACAACGATAGCAATAATAAACACATTAAGCTTCTTGAATTATATATACAAAAATATTGTTTTCAAAATGTTTTCCCATTGCTTTTAAATTATAGTACTTGGGATATCAATAAAGGTAAAGGTTAAAAGCTTTATTAATTGGATTTGACCATTGGAAATTTTCTGAAAAATAGACAAAGAAACCACCTTACTTGGAAATAACTTTTGCATCAATAAGTTGCAGAGATTTCAAATTAAAAATATGATTTTCTTCAGCCCGCACAGATTTAATGAAGCTGTCCTCCAGTACATAAATTACAGCGGAAGTGGATTTTTTCTTCACCTCGAAGAGCTGAAAAATGATTTTATATAAATAAAAATACATAAATAAATAAAATTAGAAACTAATTCTCCAAATTACATCAACCTTTTTTTCTAATACTGTTTGCCAGATATAAACTTACTTGAATTTATCTTGTTCTAAATTATAATATGGAATCATCAATTAATAGTGGTAAACAAAAGAAAGCAAATCAAGTAGAATCAATTGCCACAATTTAGGATGATATATCCCGATTTTTAAAAAATCAATAAAAGATTAAGAAATTTGAAAAAGTACTTATTGAACCATACTAGCTTTCATTGTCCCCAAACCATGTTTTCTTTACTCAGTATTATTTGAACCTTTGGGGATTTTTTGTCTGATGCAAAAAAAAAAAAAATTTAATTGTCATAGTTCTGAAAGTATCTAAGTGACTAGAGTTTTACTGAAGAAAGTAATTCAGGATGGGGACCACAAGATTAAAAGCCAAGAATTAGCCAAGTTGTAGAAAAGTTGTGTACCCTACTGTACCTGATTGCGGTTGGTTACACTTGGCTGTTCTAACTGGCAAGAGTTCAAGGCTTTCACTTTAGTGATCTGATTCTGCCGAGCTTGATAAGTCACATTGCATTTTCCACAGATATCGATCTAGAGAACAGATGAAATAAACATGTTGGTGTATCAAAGACTTGCTGACCAACTTTTTTTTTTTTTTTTTTTACAAAATAGTCTTTGCTTTTCATTATAAATATTGTCAAAGTACTAGCACAACTAATAAAATCATGTAACTGCAGCAATAAAGCAACTCGGTTTCTACCCAAGGCAAATTTTACCTCAGTAAAAGAATTTTCTTTTTTTTTTTTTAAAGTTTTTTTATTAATAATTCAAATTTAAAAAACAATGGACATGGTTTGACATCTTCAGTTTCTAACATTTCCGTCTAATTCAGATTAATAAATAATATATTCCTTAATCTATACACAAATTTACATATATCTTACTTCTTACATGCCAAGCATACTACATAGTTCCTCCTAAACAACTATATCCATATCCAATCAACTTATATTACACACACAAGTTCAGTATACATTGACATATATATTTCTAGACATTCACTACACCTTCTTCTTGGCATTCTTTCTCTTGTCTAACCATTCATAAAATTTAGTCCAGATTTCATAATATGTTGATTCACTTTTATTTTTGAGTTCCAATGTGAGTCTGTCCATTTTTGCACAATTGAAGATTTTACATAACACTTCTTCTAATGAAGGAATTTTCTTTAAGACTATAGCTGGTGAAGGAAAGATTTGTAGCCCCAATAGTTCTAACTCCCACTAGAGCAGTGTTTCTCAACCTTGGCCGCTGGACGATGTGTGGGCTTCAACTCCCAGAATTCCCCAGCCAGCTCTGCTAGCTGGGGAATTCTGGGAGTTGAAGTCCACACATCGTCCAGCGGCCAAGGTTGAAAAACACTGCACTAGAGTGATAATTTTTAAAATCCATAGGATAATTACAAAGAAGTGTTTAATATTAATTAAAACCTAGTTCATGTATTACATTAAGGCATTATTTGCTTAACTACGTTCTGTTGATTAAGCCACAACTTGATGTGTGTTCATATACTACACTATGCCACGAAGCATGGCTCAGAAACCAGACAGAGTGGATCCACTTGTTCACAAGAAACAAAACTGACTAATTTGTGTCAACATTCTTCACGCTAACATTACAACTCTAAATATTTGCTCAGGATTTGACTATTCATTTTTCTTTCTGACATCAAAGAGGAGACAAGAAGAGGTCCAAATTTTCTCTATAAGTCTTTTATTGTTATACTGTCTTAATCTAACCTTTACTCTGGATTTCCAAATAAATTGATGTCTGCACAAGGAGGAGAGGCAGGGCAAATGATGTCACATGTACCATAATGGCATTGGACACAATGACATCAGAACACATAAGTTGACATTGGAGCCTTAGAGGTAATTGGCCATCAAGAGGCCTTTATTCAAACACTCAAGTGAATCAGATAGTTCTGTTTAATTTACAACTGATATTTGTGTGGAAACTTTACAAACCAAGCACCAAATATTAAATGTATTTGTATCCCAACGAGTCATGGTTTGTCAACTATGGTTTCATCAAATAAATTATAGTTGAGTAGAACCAAACAAAACTATATTCCTATCTTAGATTCCCCAGTTTTCTTCAGGTGAATTTACAATAGGCTGAGATGAGAAACGGTGGCAAACATGTTGAAACAAAGGGTTTAGCGAAAGGGAATGAGCATTTCACAGATTCACTGAATGGTTTTCAACATAGGATACATGTGCAGCAAATACATTCATTTTTTGTAACAATCATTTTTATTTATCTATTAAATTTATTTTCTGCCAATCTTACTGTGGGGCTACTCTGGGTGGCTTACAATAATAAAAAGGAAGAAAATGAAAGAAGTATAAATAGAAGTAAAATATTAGAACAATAGAATAAACAATGAAAAAGAACACAATGAGAATGCATCAAAAAAGACGAATGGGTGGAGAGCACAGCGTAAGGTGGGAGGTGGAGTCTGCCATCAATCTAGCTGCTACCTACAGCATCAAAGTCCACCATTTGGTTCCCAAGCCAACTTCCAAAACCAGGTCTTTAGGCTCTTATATTTATACTTATATATATATATATATATAGATGTAATGTAATAGAATGTAACGTAATATATTTACATTTATACTGTTAATATAGCACTCCATGGTTGTGACTTCATTTGGTCTTGGTCTTAACCCTTACTTTGAGGGCAATAATACTTCAGCAGATTTATCAATGTCATTACTGGTGGTGTTTTAATTAAATTACAAGCTTCTTATATAACATGCATAAGACATACTCATTTATGTTTTGCTCTTTAAAACTTTGTCCTCAACATTGTAAGAGGGTGGCACTCACTGCAATAATTTCTGCCCAAATGTGAACATATACCTAAAAAAGACTTGTATATTTTTTACAAAAATCTATATCCCCTTTTCTCTTCTTTTTTAATGATGTATCTTGTCTTCAAGAGTAATATCCTATCTGTTCCTGTTCTTTATTCTTTATTCTCTTTATTCCTTTGTTTTTATAATTTTATTGTATCTTTCTATGCTGTTTGGTTATAGTATACACCATCCAGAGTCAATTTGGAAGTGCATGGTGCTAAATTAAATAAATTTAATATGTTAAGTATTCTCCTATTAAAATCACAAAGAAACACATTTAGCATGCATGACAGAATAGAGTACCTCGCTTGTAGTTCCAGAGTTTAGCTGTATTTGAAACAAGCTAGCCAGGCCTCTCTTAAGATTCTTGATAATAGAAGGTTCATCTTCATAACCGTAGAAATTTTTAACCTAGAATGTGTGGTGGAGAGAGAAAGAGAGAATTTGTAATAAGAATACATTTTAATTTAAAAACTATCCTCCAAAATTCCAGTCATTATTTATTATTAATTTATCAGTTATTAATATTAGAAGATGAGTCAGTATTTTATTCTACACACATATGTCCCAAAGCAGATCCAGGCTGTCATCTTTCCAGCTGACAAACTCAGCATCTTTAATCACTGAGCTATTGCACCCTTTTTCCAGGTCTGATATCGAACACTGATTTTTAATGAGAAAATGAGAAGGTTTTATCCAGCTTTTCACAATCTGGCAACCTCCAAATTATTGTAAATCAATTTCCAGAATTTCTCATGTCTACATATCCTAAAGTGAGTTCCTGGCATCTTCAATTTTAAAAAAGATCAGAAGGTGAAACCCTAGCTACTCAAAACCCTGGAGAACCACTACCAGACTAGATTACTGGTAGCTAAAAGTTACATTCTATCCCATTTTTAAAAAAAATAGCTATAGTCCATCCCTTACTGAAATTGGGCAACAATACAGTAAAATATTGGGAGAGATGGAGAGATGTCTATGGTGATTCTCAAGCATCCAGATCATGGCTATTCCAAAAGTGCTTTTTCCAAAAGGCAGCTGGACTATGATGCTTTTTTTCCTTGAAAACATTTTGCTTCTCACCAAGAACTGAAAAAGCCTTTTGGAAAAGCACCTTTGGGAGAGATGGAGAAGATATTAAATTTTGAGACACATCAGAAATCTTCTAGATGACATGAATGCCTCCAGAGGGTGCATGTTGTGTTTTTCTGGGAACTCATAATCTAAACAATATATGGGTTTTTTTTCATATTCCTCAAAGCATAAATATTTTTGCACTCATCCTGCAGAGCACAGACAATGGCTAAAATGATGATGATGATGATGATGATGATGATGATGATGATGATGATGATGACAACGACGACATTCTCATGATGTTTTCTTTACCATCCCCAGCCCATAACAGTATTAAAATAGTATTTATTGTTTCTCTTATGGAGATTCTCAGTTATCCAGGTCATGGTCGTCCCAAAGGTGCTTTTTCAAGAGACAACTGGACTTTCTTGCTTTTTTTTGAAGACATTTCACTTCTCATCCAAGAAGCTTCTCCAGTTCTTAATACGATTTCTCTTAATACAATCTTTACCATAGAGATTGCACAAGATGCTTGTGTTGGTATCATGGCCTGGGACCAATCTTCATACCACCATGTATTCTCAGAAACTGAGAAAAAGTGTCCCAAAATGATTGCCTCCCCTAATTAAGTGAAAATAAATGAATCTCTCTCTCTCTCTGGGATGGCAGGAGGAAACTACTAATGTTAGTTCTATTTGACAGTAGTCATGGACACCGATTTAACGTCAAGATATGATAAGAAATTTACTTAATACGCTCACCTTTCATAGTAACCCCTTTTTTGCCACCCCAGCAGAAATTTTGAGATAACATATATCTTGGCCCTTATTCTAAGCTATGTAATCAGTCAAAAATGAACTATAGCGAAATTAATAACACAAGGACGTGTCAGACGCAGAGTGATCTTTGCACTGGCTGCTGCATCTGAATTTAAACCACAAGACTTTGTCCTTTCAGCTAGCACTCGAGCAGTTATAACTTGCTGAGCTCCTGCCCATTCTGCATACATTTATAAGGGTTACACAATAAATATGTTATCTCTTAATGGCACTCCATTGATACATTTTGGCATCCCTTTGAGAGCAGTATTCTATTTCCATGATAAAGGCAGAACATTTTCAAGCCACGTAGGTGAATCTTATTTGAAGTCCTTCTCATTCACCCTCGAAATGCCATTTTTCCATCTTCAGATCATAAAGCTTTCACCAGTGGGATCATAGCATGGGATCTGATACAGAGTGGGCTCACCAGCCTTTTTATCCTGTGCTCTTTGTTAAATGCAAAAGAGGCCCAGGAGGTTTAGTGTAGCCCACACAATTCAAATTGCTTTTCTATGATGCATTCTGACTCTCCCTGGCATTAAACTGGAATGGAGAATCCAAGATATGAATGGATGTGTGGGGATGGATTACCCACAAGCTAACCCACTCATGAAACCCTTTCATCATGTGATCTAATACAGCTTCTCCACCCAAAAACACTGTCCACCCTCGACATTTTATTTTGATTGCTCTGGCAGAGAGTGAAGGCAAAAAGCCAATCTGTCCACTCCACAACTAGCATAATATGCTCAAAGCAGTCATGATGATGTAGGTGTGTGTGGTTTTTTTTAATGCTGGGATTTAGTACATTGGCCATGTAGATTCTATCAGGGCTGTGCTGAGATCTGGATTTCAAGCGATTCAGAGAACATGTGGGTGTGCATGTAACACTTGTTGGGATCACCTTAAAGCAGCTGCAGCTGACACACAATCCTGGAAAAGACACATTGGTTGTATAGTGTTCCCCACAGTTGCTACATGCGTGCCTCCAAGGGCAACCACTGGTGGGGGAGGGGCTCAAAATGTAAGGATGGCAGCCATTAATGCCCAAGTGAAGCCCAACCCCGTTCTACGTGTGTCGTGGCATGCAGAAAGAAAGAACTGAACTTTTGATTGTGCAAATTTTTGTGCTCTTTGCCCTCTCCTGACACTCAATGCCATTGCAAGTTCTTAATCGCAGTGTATGCTTAGAATGTGGATCTTTGCCCAGCCATATTAGCTATCAGAGATTTACTAAATCTTCTCCTGCTATTGATTGCATGGAACTAACAAGGCAGCTTCTGAGCATGTGCTGGTCATATAATACATGGTGACTGGGTTACATATCATTTAGCCACCGATAGATAGATAGATAAATAGATAGATAGATAGATAGATAGATGAGTAAAACCTTTAAAATGAACCTTTCTATTTATTCTCTTACCTTTCCACGAATCCAGTGCAGAAATACAGGCCTTTTTAAAGCAGCAAGATGCTCTTCTTCATATAGTTTATTGGTGTTTTTCTGCTGAAAAATGTCTTTTGCTACAGGACGCTCATTCACATTTTCAAGTGATACATCTGTAATCTGGAAAGGTAAAAAAACCCAATAAAATAAAATGGGACAAAATCAACTAATTTTCAGTGGGAGTTTATTTCCCCAGAGTTAATTTCTCCTTTCTTCAATTATTTTTTAAAATGTATTTTGTATTTTATCTGAATACTGGTTGTATATTTCAAAATGGCTTTTCAAAAACCAATGTGTAACCTGCGATTTCTATTGTGATTATTGCAAAGCAATCAGTCTTATACAGATTGGCCAAAGACAATGAATTCACATAGCACACTAACTCATAATGTGATTTGTTTTTGATTTACTATAATGTGATTTTATAAATCTGGCTTTTGTTCTATTAAATGAGAGTTTACATAAGCATCCTGAAATGATTAAACTCTATATAATTGATAGGTCTTCCCCAATGAGTCTTAAATACTGGAAAATTCTAAGTAGAATCTCTATATTTCTCATTTGGTTTCAATTCACTAACTTGCTAACTTTGAGCCTGATAGCTCCTTATGTTGAAACCTGCATCTCACCATTTAACATTGAACATCGTGGGCTATACTTTCTAAGTAAACAATGCAATATTAAATGCCTTCAATTTCAAAACACATTCTATATTTTCTATAAATAGAATTTAATCACATTTTACATCTTGACTTACATTAACTAAACTTGCATTACCCAAATTATCAGAAAATGTTTTTATAACATTATGTTACAATAATTGCCTACCACAATTTTGATCAACTGGTCATCGTCATTGTTGGGATTTCTCCATATTAAGTTGACATCCACTCCAGAGGAAATTCGATAGCCCACACTCTCGTGGGGTAAACCTCTCACTCTGTCGATAAGAACTTGGGTGGAATAGGCAAATTTATATAATTTGTCATTGTTTATTCGAGGACCAGTATTGTGGCCTATATGAAGAAAAAAATAATTGCAGAAAGTGTTGCATCAGCGGTAAGCTAAAGTACAAAGAGGCCATCATATTATATTCCTATCTCCAAAGCATATGACAGATTCAAGACAACTCTTAAACTTACCTCTGATCAGATTCACCACAAAGGTTCCTCATATTGAACCTTAAGAGTCTTTCTAGAATGATGCTTTTTAATAAACTTTTGTGAATCATATTTGCACTAAAACTCTATTTAAAACTAGTCACTTTTAATGAAAGAGTAACGGAGTAGCATACCCAAACCATCATTCCAGGATTAAAAACAGGAACAGTCTTATATAGGAAAGCCCTACGGAAATATAGGAAAATATATAAATAAAAATAAATGTCTATCTATCTATCTATCTATCTATCTATCTATCTATCTATCTACCTACCTATCTATCTATCTATCTATCTATCTATCTATCTATCTATCTGTTTGTGTGTGTGTGTATTTATATATGTATGTATATATACACTATGTGTGTGTATATATGTATGTGTGTGTGTGGGTGGGTGTATATGTATACACACACACACACACACAAAATCTTTCCTACTGGTAGCATTCTATAATAACCTACTGTGCTGCAAATAATTTTTCAATGCTATTATTTCAACAAAATTTTCAACAGGTGACTGGCAGGGTCAGGGTTTATAAGGAAAGTAATGTGTCTCTGTATCATATCCATCCATTTCAAGGCCATCCCTACTATTAGACGTAGTAAGGCTGTTGGCTGAGGTTGTAGCTATTGGGATGAATGGTGTAGCAGCAAAATACTGAACTGCACTCCCGAACTGGGTATATCATTTAATTTGACCTTCAACTTTTCACTCATTTATTAGAAACTTTGCATTAAGATATCTTCTTGTAATTGCTTCCCAGCCTTTGGCTAAGATCAAATGTATTTCATTTGTTAGAAATATATGCATATATCTATTTTCCTCTCTGCTTCCCATGCTTTTTTATTTTCATATCCATGTATTAAATTATATGTCAGTATTCTACATTTGAAACTATCTTGGGTATTTTTGCAGAAGCAGCGCATAAAAACCACAGAAATAATAAATAAAACACAGACTTTAAAAAAATTCTTAATACATCCTGGGTTAGAAAAATTCTAATATGTTTAGCCTGTTAATTTATTTTTAAATTTGATTTATCTTTTTTAGAATTTCCTGTTTGCTATGTCTGATCTATTGGCTTAGAGTACCTTACAATAATTTGATACATTTTACCTGATGATAAACTGTGACAAATAATAGTTTTAAATGCTAATGCACAATTAAACGTGATTGTTTAATTAATAAGTATCTATTTGCATCTGCACCACTTTAATGTACATTGCTTTCCATTGAATATTATTCTCCTTCTGATACATTTGCAGAGTTTATTCATGTAAATGTAGATTTCCCTAAATAGTACTAGATATACGTTTTAATGCAGTATGTTGAGATTCTCACGTAAGGCAGGAGGGCCTCTGTTATCTACACATGTTGCAGAGAGAAACGAGTACATGCAACTTGAATAACTATTTTAGTGGCTGTCATTACAACTTTCTATAATTAACTCCTGGTGCTGTATAATAGAGAAAACTATGCTGCCTGAGCTGAGACAGCTGTCAGGGACAGTACCTTTTATTAGTACTCCTGGCATAGACAACACATGCAGTTTTAACCATTAGCTGGCTCTAAGTTTACACTTGCTGTGTCTTACAGCATTAGTTCACTATTTATACCCAAAAACAGCAAGCAGTTTGGAGAAAATATTAAGCTATAGCATTACACATGTATTTTCTGCTGTAATCTGACTGAATCCCTCTGAAAAGTATTATTTATTTACATAGAAATATACTTTTAATATAGAAATATTTTACATACATAAACAATCAAAATATGATAATTAAAATCAGTTTTATTACAAAAGCATCTGTGTTGTTTCAATTGTGATTCTAGGCAGTTGCAACAAAATATCAATACTATCAAAATAAATTTAACACAACTCCAATATTGTCACAGAAAGCATCCCAACTTATAAGCATCCCAACTTATAAGCATCCCAACTTATATGACCACCAAGTGGTCATGATAAATTTGGGTTCACTTTTGCCAATTATCTGATCATTCTAATGCACAAACATATTCTTTTATAATAAATTACTAAAATGGAGTGAAGGCAATATTACCAGTAGATATCTATATACTCAGGCTAATTTAATGTTCTACATTTATCGTTATCGGATCACAGAGCCTTTAAAAAAATCTTCCATGAAGACAGACTTTAAGTCCTGCTATAGTCCAAAGGTCGCAATTGTACAATGGATGTTATAATTGCAGAGATAACACAAATATAATTAAGGGAATACCGTTCAATGCAGATTAATAGAAAAAAAATGGAGACTTTTCCATGCTTCCATATAATTGCATATTGCTGAATTAAACATTATGTTTATGACATTTTTGAAAATGCTTAACGCTGTTAGTGTTCTTTAAAAAGAAAAGCGGCTGTTTAGAACCCCAATCTGCTGCTGTAATCCAGATTTGGAGCAGAGCCCACATCAGTTTGCCACTCAAAATCCACGTTCCCACCTGCTATTTGCCCTTTAGCTTTTCTGCACTTCCCCTTGGCTAATGTACAAATTATCCTAAATAGCAAGGATAGGATATTAGTAATTTCTGTGAGATATATATATATATATATATATATATATATATATATATATATATACCAAATTTATATTTCGCTGATATAATTTGGTATAAAATTTGGTATAAAATGGTTTGTCGTGAATGCGACTGTTTGAGGGCTCTTGGATTGGAGTTCAAAGGCGAAAGGGATGCAGTATGCTCCCTCCCACATGCTGAGGTAGACCAGGTGCCTCGATAGATATATATTAATGTATATGTATATGTATATGTATATATGATATGCATATACATATACATATACACACACATGCACACATACAGGACATTATAGACATGTACAGAAAAGTATGTCAGAAATACATGTGTGCGTATATCTCACATATTTGTCTATCCACTTTTGGTCAAAAACTAAGGAAAGTAGATGTAATAAAATATTAAAAATAAGAAATGGTGTACGGTCTCTTGCTTGGGTGGGGGGTTGGACTAGATGACCTACAAGGTCCCTTCCAACTCTGTTATGCTGTTATTTCAATGGAACAGAAAACACTTTATTCTGCTTAAAAGCAGAAAAGCGCCCCCCCCAATTAAAAACCTCGTATCTCAACTAATTCTACTCAGTGAACACATTATTTTTCCCAAAGTTGTCCATCCTAGATATACAGCACAATAGTAACTTTTCGTCACTATGGGGTTCTCTCTGTGACTAGACGATCTGTTCTCCAGACACTGGCTTCTATTTTAGCATCACTGCTTGTCTTGTATTTGTTTAAATTGGGCTGCCTCCAACTGAAGAAAAACACACTGACAAGAGAGGTACTTCTTGGAAAAGCAAAAGGCCACCCTACACTTCTCATCTGGGTCAGGAAATTAAGGAATACATTGCTTAGAATGTGTTAGCTTACGTTTTTCCTCCCACAGTAAGCAACGAATGGCTCCAACACAAACTCAAAAAAAAAAAAAAAAAGGTGGGAGTGTTTTCAGTGTATTATTCATAATTCTTTTTTTTTTTAATAGCATGAATGAAATGCAACACATTTTCAAAACTGCCTTCAATAGGAATTTAGTCTATGGTACATATATGTGTGTGTGTGTGTGAACAGGCTAAACAGAATTCATTTCCAGGGGGACATGGCCATTATGAGGGCACGAATAAATTCCCAATCTTTTTAATGTGCAAAAAATAGCTCAGAGCTTCAGCCATGGACACATTTTTTTTTATTTGCCACCCCCCAAGTAGCCACTATCCATTCATTAATTTAGTTATATAAATTGCATTTCCTTCCTAATTTTTTAAATTATTCAGATTTCTAACTACCCGCTAAAATACGTTCGCCCAGAAATATGTAGGCTAGAATAATAAAAAAAAAAAAACTCCACGCATTTCAATGAAAGGACATTAAAATGCAACTACACCCAACAATATATATATAACCGTATGTCAAAATAAAAATGACAGAAGACAAATAAGAGAGAAGAAACCACATTTAAAAACAGAGACAACAAGGCATGCCGTTGAAGCAAGGTCCAAGATAAATTGGCTTTAGGAAAAAAAATTTAAAAAAACGATTAGGATGTTTTTGGAGAGGACGTCCACAGCGAGGAGCCCCTCACCTTGCTGTCACTCAGCAGGAACACTCAGAAAAGGTCAATGGAAGATTATGCCAGCATTTGAGTAGGCACATGTATCTAGAAGCAATTCTTCAGTAAATCCTCACACTATGAAAGGTTTTGAAAGGACTGAACTTTAAGACTTAGGCAGAAAGCTCAGTTGTCACTCAGCTGAGTGAAAAGGATGGACACCACACACGGGCAGGGTTTGTTGATCACATCTTAAAGCAAGTAAGCTAAGCACATTGTAATTTAAAGGTGGGGCACTCAACTCCCCAAATATATTGCCCATGTTTCCATTTGTTCCCTGAAATCATACTATGCAACAGTGATGAAATCCAATTTTTTTTACTACTGGTTCTGTGGGCATGGCTTGGTGGGCGTAGTGTGGTGTGGTGTGGCTTGGTGGGTGTGGCAGGGGAAGGATATTGCAAAAACTCCATTCCCTCCCCACTCCTGGGGGAAGGATATTGCAAAATCCCCATTCCCTTCCCACTCTGGGGCCAGCCAGAGGTGGTATTTGCTGGTTCTCCGAACTACTCAAAATTTCCGCTACCGGTTCTCCAGAATCTGTCAGAACCTGCTGGATTTCACCCCTGCTATGCAAGCAATTGGATCTAAAAGTTGCTTAAAAGACAATGAGGATGTCAAGGTACTCTCTCATATCTCTCTCCTTGCAGGTTTCCCTGCAAGCAGGTGCCAAACTCCATTCAAAAATGATCTAGAAAATGCATTTCACCTGAGAGTACCCGCACTTGGTTAGCAGCCAAGTTACCTGACCGCCTTGCTCAGAACATAGTTCAATATGCCTTCCTTATCACCTCTTTTAATGAACTGATAAATCTTTATCAATGAGGACCAGACCATCTGCAAGACTCCACCTATTATTCCTTGCTAGGTGTAGTAAGCAAGGAGCCATTGTGCTTAATTACACACCTTCTTGTTCACATCCACCCTTACTCCTAAAATTTGATCAGTTACATGACAATGTGATTAAATAAAATATAAAAATAAAAAATATAGATATTAAAAAACATATAGATTTTTAAAATTGACTAATCTACTTTCATTATAATACCCAGTCATTATGAGAAGCCTTGTCCTTAAAACCTTTTGCAAATGTGGCTCAGTGTGCTGCAAGATATTCCACTATATTTTTGTTAAGCAACTTTGGAAAAAACCATGGAAAAACTCTGCCAAATGAAACTGTAAGTATATAGTCCCTTACTACAATCCCTGCACAGGGTAAGCTAGATAATTCCTTGCTTGTGGTTTCTTCTGTATTTGCATTTCAATGGAATATAACCATCACATCTTGTCACAGATTGTAATAAAGTAATTGGAATGAAACATTCAATCATTTCTTCTATTCTGCTATTTAAATTATCAGCCAAGGTCATTTTCGATCTGATCACTGAACAGAGGCAGGCAGTTCTATAAATTGGCTTTCCATACTAGCATATATTTTTAAATCTCTTGGAAATGTTGTAGTTAATGTCTGCTAAATATCCTACTTCCAAAGTCAAAGGAACATAGTTCTGTTTATAAAGACATACATCTTGAAACCTAGAAATTCTATCTTGATCTCTTGCATTATGCAGCTGTTTCTCTTATACTCATGTAGACTGATGGGCTTGACTACCCCTTCCTTCCAAATACAGCTAGCTACCTTTCTTTCTCATTGATAGACCCAGTATTTAAATAGTTTATGGTTTACCATTAAGATTTTACAAGCAGGTTATCTGTCATTGTTTTAACAGGACGTTCCAAGATATTTAAGAGCATGGAGAGTTAAAGAAGATAGTGCACTGCACTTTGCTAAACAACTATGTTGCTATAAATACTTGTCATACCTTAGATCAAACAGATCTCTATTGAAAAGCTGCCCTGGTATTATATTCTAAATCTGAATCATTTCAGTCCAATATGAAAAAATATAAGAAGACAGATTGAAAAAAATTGCTGGATAGCAGGTGAAGTCTTTGATGAAATATATTATATTTACTGGTACATTGTTTAAATGTACACATGCAAATGTACATATAGTTAATTCACACAAAACCTATCCTAGCGGGAAGAAAGTTCTCTTCTTTATTCAGATAACGGCACCCTCAACCAATTTTTGCAAAACCAACAAATATTTGATGCCCTGAAAAGCAAATATGTGTCAACTATTGGTCATGACTACACGAGACGTTAATAAATGGCAGCGAAAACTGTTCAGAAATCATTCCCATTGGTTTAAAAGATCTGGTCTAGATTAGAACAACTATTTTCTTAAACCTTTTTAAAGTAGATTTCTGTGAATAATTTCAGCGTTAAAGCAGAAATCCAGATTCCATAAGAAGAAAGACCAAACTTGCTCCAAACTATTGAAGGTTCACAAAGCAATCCATTTAACACAATCTCCCCCACCTCAATCCCTACCTCCCAATTAATTCAAAATGATCTAGATATAAGAGATCCACATAAGTAAAATCTACAATGTACCTTCACCTCTCTCGTTAAAAGGCAGATACACATCTATTAATGCAAGTCAAAAGATTAAAGCAACTTACCTTTGACTGATGCTGAATATGTGGAAATGATGCATGGGAAAAGCACAGTAAGAAGAACCATGGCTGGCTCACAAATTATCATATTGGGAATAATGTATGGAAATTGTAAAGTGAACTGCTCTGATTGAAATGAAATCTACAAAGAAGTCTTCTATCTGCCACAATGGTGTTTATCTAGATGTAGTAAGAGTCAGATTCCAAATTCCACACTTGGGTTCTAAGTTCATTAAAGGGCTTTCTAGTTAATTATTGAAAACTGAGGTAATTTGTGTTTAAGTATTTTATTCTTTTCTTAAGCTTTCATTACTACATGCTAAAAGATGTATAAAATGTTAGCCAGTGTATTATATGTGTGTTTGCCCAATTTCCTTTAAACTTCGTAAATGCAATGGGAATTACTGCAGAAGACATATAATGGATAAATCTCATGAAAAAATAGTCTTTTAAATATTTGCACTGTGTGGTATTATCTATTTAAGAACTTTAAAACATACTTTGTCCTTCCTATGTTTTTGCCCCTAAATGCTTTTATCATGCCACTGTCTTACTCCTGATTTTTAACAGAAAACAGACACTTTGAAAAACTGTTTTCACATGTTTGCAGCATTCATGGAACAAATTATAGTCAGAGTGCACTCTATTTAATTCTAACAACTGCACAGAGTTGCTATGAGTCAGGAAGTATAAACATTTTATCATTATGGTCAGCCAGATGTTTAGGTCAGATTTGGCATTTTTATCCATCTGTTAAGTCTTTCCCAAGGACCTGGGATTGGCACACGTTATTGATTGGTGGCATTAAAGGTATTGCAGCAGGATGTAAGCTGTTCCAAGTAAAACTGCCTTATTATTATTTGTTCACAACAATGTGAAGTTGCAGCTGCCATTTTTTTAGTTGGTGTTGGCACTGAGTTCTTCCCAAGAATTTAGGATTACAGGTAGTCCTTGACTTAAGATCACAATTGAACCATATTTTTTTATTGCTAAGCAAGACAGTTGTTAAGTGGGTTTTGCCCCATTTTAAACAGTTCTTGCCGCAGTTAAGTGAATCACTGCAGTTAAGTTAGTATTGCAGATGTAAAGCGAATCTGGTGTCCCCCATGACTTTGCTTGTCAGAAGGTCGCAAAAGGTGATCATGTGACCCCAGGACACTGCAACCATCATAAATATGAATAAGTTGTCAATCATCCTAATTTTAATCACACGATCATAGCGATGCTACAATGATCGTAAGCATGAAAAACATTCATAAGTCACATTTGTAACTTTGTTGTTACTACGATCACTAAACAAATAGTTGCAAGTCGAGGACTATCTGTATTATGGTTCATCATTGCACAGTCAGCCGGATATTCAGACTGGATCTGACATTTTTATCCATCTATCGAGTCCTTCCCAAGGACCTGGGATAGGCATATATTCATGTATTATTGTGTTGGGTGTATTGTCACAAAATGTGTTAAGTTGGGTGAATGAGGACGCAGCAAGCCAGGCAGTGAGTGACAACAGCTCTTTATTGTAGGGTGAGAACCCAGCGACTGACCAGGGGGAACAGTTCCCTTTATATACCTTGCAGCTGTGGTGGTCAGCCAATCAGCTGACGGTCAGCTAATTCAAACTGCCCGCCCAAAATCTACATACATAACAGAATGTAATTTCTTCCAAGTAAAGCTGCCTACTGAAGTAGAAAAGCCTCTGGTTTGGTCCAGCATTACTCAAGCCAAACCTCTTTCTAGTCCAATCAGGTTTTTCACATTGATCAATAGCTAGAAGAAAATTCAAAATATGATATTGGGGGGGGGGGGGGTTGAGAGAACCGTTTTCCCATCCGATTGTTTATAACAACTCATATCCGGAGGCATAATAAATGCCATCTTTAGATTTTCCAGGACATTTCTAATTTAGTTCTGAGTTGGAAGATATTGTAGCTTCTATTAATTCAAAGATAAATTAGAATGCATTATTCCAGGGAACATCAAAGTGTCTTTTGAGAACAAACAGATTCCTATTTCCAGGATTCATACAAATGGTACTGTTCTCTTTGACCTAAACAAGCATTTCCTTTCAATACATTTTATTTTAGTCTTGCTGTCCACCGTTCCAGGGTTAAAGTCCCATCACCGTCATAAATTTCCAGAGTCCAGGCCATAAAACTTCTTCCATTATCATGTAATGAAGATAATTACGATTTCTTTGACCAAACTGTTTTTTTTTTAAAAAAAACCCAAGTCTTATTCTGCTCTTTTCACAAGCCCCATTTGAATGCTTAGTGGGGGAAATGTCATTTATAAACTTGTCCTGTATATACTACCATCAATACAAAACAGTTTGGCAATTACTTTCCAGCCAAACAAGAAAAAAGCTAGTGCCGAAAAGAAAATTACTATGCATTACAGTAATAAAAGTGTGGGTAATATTTCTTGTCAGGAACATATCACTTTGGACATGCCAACAGGCATGGACCTTTTCAAACATACACTCACACATTTCTCTTCTTTGCCCTTTTGCTTCTGTCCCAATGACCCTGTGCCAATCATTGCTGTCCATTGGCAGAAACCACGTTGTTTAATTTCCTGCTATAAATAGCATTAGCATTCTCATCAGTCACCCACTAAAAGTCAGAGCTCACATGTTTTGTGACAGAGGCCTCTGCATGGCCACAGGCCATTGATTAATTCAATTTAAGATGTAATCTTTTTGATTGCAACTATCAGTAAACTGTCACGACCATTTATAGTAATCCGGCAATTGCAATGTATTTTTTTACAATAATATCCTTTAGTCCCCAAAGATCCGATGATTAAAAATGTGATGTGTCATGCTGAGTTCTATAAGAAACCTATCCAAATATCAGCTCGCTATGTAGCAATATTTTCTATGAAGGTGTATTTTATATTATTAATTTTCGTCTTCAATCTGCTTCTGCAGCCTGTGAAATAAGCTAAATCCTCTTCGTTGAGAATATTTGAATGGGACAGATATCTTGTGGCTTTCTAGTCAGACATTAATGCTGCAGATTCAAAAGCCAGAAGGCATTTTTGAACTCCGCTGAAGTTGAACTATCTATTGTCCATTTAGTGTCTTATCAACTATGTAGATCAAAAGCACGTGCACTAAATCACATCTGGATTATTGAACCAGATGTGAAATACTTCTTCAGCTCCCGCGGACAAACGTTTGTAGGTCAATAATTTAAAAGGCACTACGGTCCTTTTTTAAAATGAAAATGATTTAACACCCTCCCAAAAGACAAATCACAGTATTAAAAAACGCAAAATCGAGTCAGGGAGGAGTTTTCCCACCACAACCCCGCCTATTAAGTCACGAGAGTGAGACATTGCGTCATTAGTCCGCGTCGAAAGGTGCCACTGCGGTCTTGGGCGTCAGCGGCGCATGCGGACGGAAGGGCTAGCCCGGCTTCCTGATCCCTTCGGCGGTGGCCGTTGCTCCTGGTTCGTGCACTGGGCTGCGAGGTAAGATAGATAGAGAGAAAACCCTTCCTCCTAGCTCGGTCGGTGGGGAAGTCACGTTTCTCCTCAGCCTTCCTCTCCCAACGGTTTTCACAGTCGAGCCCGATTTTGCCCAGCTTAGCGGTACCTGGCAGCCATGTTGGCTGGGGCACGACGGGAGTTGTAGTCCCGCCCTGCTTCCAAAGACTCCGTGCAGGGCCAGGTTGACTCTTTTAGCACAGTGACGGGGGTCCTCAAACTCGGCAGCTTTAAGACTTATGGACTTCAACTCCCAGAATTCTCCAGCTATGCTATGGTGGCTGGCTGGCTGGAGCTATGCTGGCTGGAGCATTCTGGGAGTTGAAGTCCACAAGTCTTAAAGCTGCCAAGTTTGGGGACCTCTATTTTAGCATCTTCTCCTCCTCAAGGCCCATCCGCTTCGGAGCAAGTCTGTTAGAAATGCATTAAGCCTGTTACGAAGGTCCTAAAAGAAGGAAAAAGCCGCTCAAGTTAATTGAGGCGCCTTCTGGCACCTCAGGCATGGGCCCTTCTGTCGTGTGACGAGGCTCTCTGGGCAAAATGTGCGCCCTCAGATCCGTGAAACCTTGAACTGAAAGGAGTGAAAGGAGCCTATACCCACCCAGCAAACTGCGGGGCCCAGAAATCCGAATTAAGAGCATTGAGAAAGTGGTGGAAAGCAAAAAAAATAGCTCGCAAAAGAAACGACGTGGCTGAAAAGTCCTTTTTTTCCAAGTCGGTGCCTTCCAAATTTGTTGGACCGACACTTCTGACTGAAAATTCTGGATCTTTTATTCCAACAAATGCATCTCTAAATTATTCGGTTCTCTCCTCATCCATGCAATTCTCCCTCTTTATGCCAGTGTAATTTATACCACTTTATGAATTATTACTGTGATTTGTTTTTCAGAATAATATTCAGGATGTAATAACATGAAAGCACATTTTGAAACCAATATTTAAAATAATAGAACCAGGGCATCTTGTTTCATTTCTGTCTCTCTGATTATTTTAGTCTTTTGAGGATTCCATCCCTTTCTTCGTGTCTAATTCAATAATAACCCACATAGCTGAGCCTGGCATGTCTTTTGGCATTCACAACTCAGATTAATTTCTATGGATCTTTCGAGGCATAAAAACATCCTGCCTTTAACCATTAAAAACTTTTGAAACTTTCAGAGTTCAATGGGTAACGCTCATCATTTGAAATGGAAACAAAGGGACTTAAAGCATCTGTCCTTCCAACTTCATCTCTTAAATATATGTTAGAATTAGAAGACCCAGGATTCCTAAGTAAAAAAAGGATAAAATTGTGAGCATCCTTAGGCTGCTGTTGCTTTTGTTAAAATGACATAACTAGTATTTTACCACATTTTACCATTCTTTCCCTTTCCCTGCCCCCCTCTCCCAATGTAGAAGGGTGGGGTTTGATGCTTCTGTTAGACCTACAAGATTGACTCCCAGACACTGCTGGGGAAAATTGAAAGTCATGGTTTCTTGCAATTTAAATTGTTTCAAGAAAATATATTCCCTTAAGGCAATGGAATAAACTATGGATTTATATCCTATTATTGCCAGTTTGACGCAAAGCATTTGAAAGAGGTTCTTACATTTGCACACCATCTTTGAAAGCTACCCCTGGTTGACTGCATGCTTGTGTAGCCATCCAGGAGAGGTAATTCTTTTGCATTTTTCAATATTGCCAAGTACCTTTTTCTAAGGCTTTCAACAGATTTTTTTTTTTTTTTTGAAATTTGGGGATTTTTCCATTTCATTGAGTTTATTATAAAATGTCAAGACTATATTTTGCAACCGTATAAACTCTTCACTATTATTTTCTTTACTGATATTTAATCAAATGGTTTGTGATTTTTCTAGTAAATGTAATAAAATGGAGACATAATCCAGATAATTTTTAAACTGAAAATGAAATAATGACTATTATATTGTTGCAAAATAGAATGTATGATATATCAGAGTAACTAACATCTGTGACTTTCTTGTTTTATTACATCCCTCAAAATACTGTATCAGCCTTGGGCCATATGCTTATTTCAATCACAAATGTCTTGAATTTGTACTAGTTCTTGTTTATTGGCATTTTATATGTTTATGTATGCATTTTAAATTATGAAATAAGGATTTTTTTTCCTTCATAATTTGTATGTTAGGCAGAGAATCATTATATTCAACTGCTTTAGACAAGAGTTTTAAAAATATATTTTAGGCACAATTTTTAAATAATATTCTGACTTGAGGTTTCTAATAATCAAATTGGTGTTTTTTTTCTTTGAAGCTCATGTCTTCAAGAATGCCACCAGAAAACATTAAAACAACCAATGTTACTGATACAGAGGAAAAGGTGAAGTGCAATGTTGATAAGGTAGAAATTAAAGACTTGCCACTGGAAAAGATGGAGAATATTGAAACGATGTCAAAAAGACAAAGAAAGAAACTAATAAAGCAGAAACAATGGGAAGAACAAAGAGTCTTGCGCAAGTATGCTTTGTTTCTTATAAAAAGAATGGATTTTGTGATTAGGCACCTCTGGGCTGATTTATTTTATTGCTCCCCAGTTTCTTCCATGAAAAAGTTCAGAACTAAGCCTGAGGATTATATGAGCTCATCCTGTACTTTTCTCTGCTTCCTTTATACTGGAGAGGAGTGAACAAATGTGTAATCTCTCTCATCCTGTGTGATGAAAGACTTCTAGGAAACTCTTATGACCTATCTGATTTCACACTGTATAAGTGGTCTCTTATTGGACAAATGAAATAATAGGTTATATATAAATACCTACAAATCTTTTTGTTTTCTTCTGGCCTTCCTTTCCACATTTCAAACATGCTTTTTCTCTTCATGACTCATTAGTCATTATCCTTGTTTTCTGCTTGAGAATCATATGCCAGCATCCAACATTTAAAACAACAATATGGAAGAATAGTTTATAGTTTATGATATACCACTGAGTAATATAGTAATGTTTTATTTCCATTTCAGGCAAAAACGTAAAGAAAAACGCTTGAAAAGAAAAATGGAGCGCCAGTCTCAGCTGGAATCAAACAGTGAAGGAAGTGTCAGGAAACGTATGCGTAGGGATATTGTTCCTAGTGCACTTCGGCTTATAATAGACTGCAGTTTTGACAATTTAATGGAATTAAAGGTAAATGGAAGTGTTATTTGAGAAGCAATTCCAAAATTGATGGGTGGATTGATTGATTGATTGAAAGATTATATCAAGTCGTTGCAATCATTTACATTTTGTAGGTATTCTCCAAAATTCCCAAGATGTAGATAATCTGCAGTTAATGACTGCAGACTGTGACTGTTTGAAATTACAGTGATGTTTTAAGCTGGCAGGGAAGCTTGTAAATTGTTCCCACCACTTTTTTCCCCTGAGAAATTCTGCTACAGAGCTCATGCTCTGTTAGAGTGAGGTCAGGCCTCACCCCTTCTCCCACCCAACCATACATGCACCTTGCAGCAGCCCCAGGCACTTGGACCTTGCACCAGCATCTCCTCCTCTCTCCAGCTCACAGGCATTTGTGCTTTGCATCACCAATCTCTCTTCAGCTCCCCCACATTCGCACCTTCCAACAGCACACTCTTCCCAACCTGCATGCAATCACAGCAGCTCTCCTCCCCACCCAACATGCACCCACATCTACAGACCCTATCCTAAGCCTATGCACACTCATGCCTAACAGCAGCATCCCGTCCCCAGCTGGCTTGCACTTCACAGCATCATCTCATCCCCATCCCATAAGCACTTATTGCAGTACCCTTCCATCTTGCCTCACTCTGTATTACTCGCCCTCCTTCCTCCTGGGGACTTGAGACTTCCTGCCGGCTTCTACACTGACTTTGGGGGAAGCTCGTTGCAGCCATGAGAATGAGAATGAGATGTTCTCATTTAATGACCCATGACCCTCGCTTAACAAAGGTAATAAGGACGCTAGGATTGCTGTCGCTAAGAGATGCAGACATGTGACATTGCACTTTGGGGCCACATTGCTTAGCAATGGAAATTAACATCTAAACTGAATTCGTTCAAAAGAATTTTTGGAAAATGTTAACAACTTGAGAAATTAATGTAGAATTAATGAATGAATAGGACCAAAGAAATAAAGTTTAACCTAGTACAAAATGTATGGTACATTTTTATGTGTATGCCTTTGAGTCAGCATTAACTCTTCACAACTGCCTGGACTAGTCCCTGCAGTTGCCTTAACAAGATTTTTGGAAATGTCTTGCCCAACCGTGGTCTTCTGTTTTCTAGCCTGATTCCTTAACCATGTGACCAGACTGGCTCTCATATGTTAGTGTTACTTGACAAACATTACCAATATTCCCAATAGGTTTAGAAAAATTGGTTTCACGCTTTTGTAAATTGCTTGCATAGTTTAATTTTAGGAATATTAATTTTCATTTTAATTGCATAATTTTATTACATTTTACTAATATTTTACTAATAAATTGAATTTAAAATTAGACAAGTCCCAGAAAGAATTATGCATCACTATTAATATTTCGAAGCCATAACACACTTGGCCATGTATACAGCATTGCTGCCCAGATATCTTTAATCAGGTTGTGGGCTTCATCTGAATGATTTTTAGAGTGATGAGCTAGTAAAAAGAAAGAGTGAGAGCTCAGAAAACCTCTATACTTTTAGTATGCTTTCTTCAGGTACATGTTTTAGAAGTAATTTCTGTTGGTTAAAAGCTTCCTTTCTTTCTCTTTAGCGTCTCTCTGAATCTCTTGGTTAAAGCATTTTGTGGTGCTTTCTCTGAAGAACAGTATAAAAACAAATTGTATTATATACAGGATGTCAAGAAACTTCACAAGCAAATTCAGAGGTGTTATGCAGAAAATCGTAAAGCACTTCATCCTGTTCAGGTATGTCAGTCCAAGTAACCTCCAAATATCCTTCTTTGATGACTTTTAATATAACATAATGATTATTATACTTGCATTTTTAGCATACATAAAAATAATTTAAAGATTTTTAGATACTGGTCTAGAAATGTGACAATACAAATGTCCACATGTGTCTAAATATAGTTGCCATACCTATAGTGAGTTTACACATGCTGTGGATAATTTAAAGTACTGATTGCCATGGGGTTTTTTTTCTGCTACAAAATGTCTTGGATAACAATGCACACATACATAGAAAAGGAGCAAGAAGCAGTAAGGAAAAGATGTGAATGCATTGAGATAAGAAAAAGAATATGAAGTGTGGCTAAAGATAGTTTATAGCAGTCCATTTAGTATATCTCTCCATATCTTTCTACTGCTTGCAAGTCATCCTTGTAAGCCATCCACCACATCCTTACACCAACTCAGACATTGCCTTTTGCTCTTTAAACATCTCTCGGAGGTCTTTGTCAGCTCCATCCAGCCACAACTTTGTCTTCTCCTTTCTATCAGGCCATTCATTCTTCCTTCATATATTTGTTTTGAGATTCCATCTTCATTCATTCCCTCTTTGTGACAAAACATCTTCATGTATACACTAAATAAGGCTAACACCATATTTAATCACTATATTAACTTTAATATAAAACACAGCAACTGCTCAACAAAGCACAGACCCTATCTAGGCACCTAAATGACATGACACCTCATACAGATACACTGCAAGTTTCATGGAAAAGGGATTTCACTGAGAAGCTTGGGGTTTTTTTTTCACAAGTTGTACCTGAGAAACTGTTTTGCACATGAGATTAGTGAATGCCATAATGGTTATAAAAACTTTATAAACAATTGGTAGGGATGTGTCATGGCAGAACCCAGGATACATATCTGTTGTCACAAGGAGCATTGCATGTATGCTACGTTTAACAGAGTAATAATGTTTAATTAAGTTTGTACTATTTACACTGGCTTTCAACTCCTCCTTCTTGGGGATCCCTTACAGATATAGCATATTTAGTGTAGCATCAATTTTTCATTTCTCTTTTCCCTGTTGACAAAATGTTTATTATGGTCCCATACTTTTAATTTCATCTATAATCTTATCTAACTTTTCCCACACATTATTTGGGTCTTTATGTAACACTACAGAATCACCTAAAGTGTGTACAAAAAGCATCCCTTTAGACTTCCAGCTCTTAAGTGATTATCCTGTTTGAGGTGAAACTAAAATGTGTAAAATATGAAATGGTGGAAAAGAGTATTTGGTTGTATAATCTTAAAAATTATCAATGAATGTTGCATGCATTTTTATTCTTTAGTTTTACTTGACCAGTCATGGAGGCCAGCTGAAGGACAACATGAATGAAACAGACAAGGGATGGATAAATTGGAAGGTGCTAGCAATTTAAATATATAATTTTAATTAACTATTACAATAAAAAAAAATTGGATCAATTTCTTACAAATGCATGAATTTGATAGGGCTTGTCTCAACATTATCAATTGTCAGATTGCTGGACTATGAACTTTGCCTTCAGTAAAATGAAACTACCAATACAGGTAGTCCTCAATTTACAATAGTTCATTTAGTGAACATTTGAAGTTACAACAGCATTGAAAATAGTGACTTATGACTGTTCTTCACATTTGCGACCATTTCCAACTTCCCTATGATCATATGATCAAAATTCAAATGCTTAGCAACTGGCATGTATTTATGAGGTTGCAGTGTCCCCAAGGTTATATTATCATGCTTTGAGACCTTCTGACAGACAGAGTTAATGGGAAATCGGATTCATTTAACAACCATGTTACTAACTTAACAACTGCAGTGATTCACAACAGGGTGGCAAGAAAGGTCATATAATGGGGCAAAATGTACTTCATCGTCTTGCTTAGCCACAGAAATTTTGGGCTCAATTATGGTCATAAGTCAAAGATTGCCTATATTTTATGATGACTGAAATGACTTACAAATAAGTGCCTTCTTCATTTAAGCTATAATCTTTCCAATATTCTATATATAGCATAGATATTAATGTTTCCAGATAAATGATAATACTTTCATTGCATTGTTAACCCTTTTCTGATAGTTACATAGTTTTTTTAGTGCAGGGATAGAATGTATACTCAAACTAGTGAAAAATCTGTGAAAAATTTAAAATAAATTTTATTTGGATTTGTGTTTATGTCTTGAAGGATATTCAAATTAAATCAACTCATTATAGTGAGTTAGTGAAAAAGGAAGATCTTGTTTACCTTACCTCAGATTCTCCAGATGTCTTGAGTGAATTAGATGAATCAAAAGCCTATGTTATTGGAGGCTTGGTTGATCACAATCATCACAAGGTAGATGATTAATTATACTGTGCATGCATACTTGAAAAAAATCACATTGAACTATTATATTGTATTATATGTTGGACGCTAGTCAGTAAACATAAATGTTTTTGAAACTGATCTAAGGGCTGACCATTCATTAGAATTAAACTACTTTAACTTATTCACAATATGCCAGCAGAGGTGGGGCAATTAGTGCTTCTGGGGAAGAGGAAACTTGGGGTTACCATTGAGGTGGCCTGTTGTCTAGAACCCATCCTATGCATGTAATAAGTGGTAGGCCCTCTTTTAATTACAGGCAAAATAGATGGACTCAGTTCTTTTACATGCCTGATACAGTATATCTGGAGCTGCTTTAATAATTGTAAAGAGATTTAAAAGCATTTTGAATTAGGCCCGAAAACCTACAAATAACCACTATGCGTTCAAAATGGATGCTATCCAAACCTGTTAGGAGCCACTACATTATGTACTAGCTGTAGTTTCTTGGATCATTTTCAAAGATGACCTAATATGAGGCGCATTGCAGTAGGCGACCAAATCAGAGCATGAGTTCCTATCATCAAGGGCATTTTGGTTCAAGTAGGATTACACTGGCACGTCAGATGGAGCTGGGTGAAAGGCTTTCTGGCCATGGTTTCCACCCTTTTTGTCCTGGAAGTAAAGCCTGAAGTCACAGCAAACTCCTTCAGGGAATATAGTCCCTTCCACTGTGCCTACCAGAATTATTGACAAACCAGCAGTTCCAGCTTCTTGGGATTTAAACTGAGATCGTTTTTCCCCATCTAGATTCTCAAACTGCCAGGCATCAGAACTTAGGAGTTCTATGGCATCTCTAGTTAAAGCTGGGGAGGGGATGTTAGGAGCATATTAGTGATATCTTAGCCCAAACTTCTGAACGATCTCCCTAGGGTTTTCATGCACCTTTAAATAATATGGAGACCACTGAGCCCAGAGCCACCTGCACTAACTTCTCAGGGATTTATCTCTCTAAAATCACCAGCAGGAACTATTCACTCAAATAAAAGGATCCATACCATTCCATAAGTAAATGAAAATTCTGTAGATACTGTCACGGTACAAATCTTTATTATGGTCATAGGACAGCATATTGTCACAACACATCTATGCTCCGTAACACAAATACAGCATATCAGCAACGCATTTGTGCGGTTAGTATTTCATCCAGTACTCATTCTGTTATTTTAATCATGTTTATTGTATTACTAGCATTAAAAATAAATGCCAAAGGAATTTAGTGTCTAATAAAAGTGTCTAATAAAACTGTTTATAGCATATATAGGCATTAGTTTACAGGAAAATCTGTAGAACGTGTAAATACGGCAAGCTGTTGAATGGTTGGTATGTCTATTATCATTGGTCATCATCGTACTGTTTCTTTAAAAAGCTTGTATAATTTTTATGGGTTTCTGATGATCTGCCTTCATGTCACAGTCTAGGGATAATATTTTTTTTAGCTTCACCAGCTGTTATTTGTTAATATGGGTAGCTTTGGGACATTATTGAAAATATGAGTCCAATATTTGGGGAAATGAGGTTATAGCATAGAGTGGATTTGACAAACACAACAAATTTGTGCACAATTTAAGAAAAAAAGCCAGTATTGTAATTAAATTTTTGAGCTGTTTCTCTCCATATCAGCTCTGATAACTGATTCAGTTCATTAAAAAACTGTTTATTTTGGTGAATACATAATCAGTTAATTGGTTAACTTTGTATACAAGCCAGTCATTTCTCAGCATTTTAGGTTATATATAATAGCTTAATAATTGGTATCTTTTATAAATCAATGTTCTATAATATGAAACATCTGTAAAACATGCTGTAAGGCTGTGTGATGCATATGTTTTATTATGCAAAAATAAGGTGAATTCAGTATAAATAAATTACCTTATAATCTCAGGCAATATAAATTAATAATAAATAGTCATTTTCTTTATTTTGCTTACAGGGAATTACATACAAAAGAGCAAAAGAACAAGGTATAAGCCATGCACAGCTCCCCCTAGGAAACTTTGTGAAAATGAATAGCAGGAAAGTTCTGGCAGTCAATCATGGTAAGAATACATTTTATTTTTTTCCCTTTATTTTTGATTCTACCTTTTGTAAATGAACTTTTTATGTTTTATAATGTCAGAAGCAATTACCATTTCTAGTAGTGATTTCTGATAAATACTGAATATTTTGAAAAGCACTTAATTTCTACAGCAGACAGTTGTCTAGTTCTCAAAATCCTGGAGAACAGTTATCTACCTTTGTGTATTATCAATGTAATAGATTAAATAGCCACTGTGTATCAGTTAATTACTTAATGAATGAATAAATGAATTTTATTCACAATACACACCTGTTTAACATATTTTCTTAGTTGTTCCATCACATTTTTCTGTTAGTAAACAGTTCAAATCACAGTAACGATAACAGGAACAGGGAAGCTACAGAAGTACTCCCAAACCAGGAAAAAATGCAGTACAACATACCAGAAGAAAGTTTTGATGCTACAGATATTTTGCTGACAGAGTAGAAATCAGGAAAATGCTTGGGTATACATGAAGCAGTTATTTTTATTTACATACTCACAGAAATAATGCAGTGCGTTTCCACCCTGCCCTCAGTTATCCATTAGCTATAGTGATCATATCTCAAACAGATTTCCAGAGTAATCTGTTTTCTCAATTCCCTATAACACACAGGCTACAAGTTCAGTTAGACGTTAAAAAATGGAATTGATTTTGATGAGTCTATTTTTCTTATTTGCAGCCTAGATTAATTGCAATATATCCCTTTTAGAACTATGTTTTCATCTGCTTTTAAACATCATTATAGATGTGTGATTTAAAATGTTTGTCATATAGAATTTAGGGAGAAAAACATTAAAAAATAGTTACTTCTCCCACAGGAACAATTGCAAGTTGACTTCTTTTCTATTTAATAATTATTAGTAACAATATATAAGTCAAATTATATGTGCAAAATAAGACTGTTTTGTGGTTACTGCAGAAGCTTCAAATAATGTTTTAATACCTTTATTATCTAATTTTCTTGCCTTATCAAATATTTCCTTTTTAAGTGGTTTTCTTTTTCTCATAGTATTTGAAATCATCTTGGCATATCTGGAAAAGAAGAACTGGGAAGAAGCCTTTTTTACTATTTTGCCACAACGAAAAGGGGCCAAACTGCTGCATGAGGCAACCGAGGTGACCATTGCCTCCCCTTGCAAGCAGCAAGAGACAGGAATTATTCAAGATGAAGTCTCTGAAAGGCGCTAAATGTCAGTGAAAACGCTACTCATGAAACGAGACAGAAAGCTTCCAACTTTGGAATTTATGAAATGATGCTATACCTCCTCTCTTGGTTTCAAGCACTAGATTTTTATTACCAAGTTTAAGCTGTAAAATTAAACTCATAAAATATTTAATAGCATTTAAATATGCAAAAAAAATGTTGAAGGAGCTTAGATTTCCAAGGATGCCAATATTTATTTTCCTTCTTAATCTTTTATTTAATATTTCCTGAAGACTATTTGTTTTTTATTCTGAACCTCACAGCAGAATTTTAATTGTAATACAGTAAACATTCACGTGGCTGAAATATGTATTGAAACTCAAGTATAACATTTTCTTCTTTATAATGTTCTTTGCTTCATGTTTGTAATATTTGAGATTTTTCCTTAGTAAAGGCAAGACATGACAAGATCCAACTGCAACTAGAATTGTAGATTAGGAAGGTGAAGAGTAATTTTGCATTTTATTAAGGCTTTTTGTTTTAATCTAAATCCTCTTGATTCCTGTGCTTGTAGAAACAGGACAGAAATTTATTTTACATTTCAGTTTTGCTGAACCCAACTACAAGTTTTCATCGTGGGCATGCTTAGTAATTTCTGCAGTAAGAATGAAAATGAAGGCGTATCGTCAGAAACATAACCTATACAGCAGCTTTTCATTACACTACCGACATTGTCTAAAACAGTATAAGGAGTTAACATTGTATATGTTCCTCCCCCAACCAAGGCTCAGGTACAAAGAAGCTAGGCTTTCACAACTCCTGTGTTGCAAATGAAAACAAGAAGAGGTGCCACCCCAGGTTCACTGAAAGATTTTTTTTTAATAGTTACAGTTCTTCAGTGACCATATTAAAATTGTTGAATGTCCAGAAAGGCATATTTCCTATGTGCTATAATGTTACATGACATGATGAAAAAATCTGCTTCAAAGTTACTTAGTTTTCAGAAGTTTGAAATGTTTTAGACAAAGTAAGGAACTTTCATATGATTGAAGAAGTTAAGCAAATATCAAAATTAGAAGCTAATTAGAATTAAGTTTTGTTGTGGGGGATCATTTCAAAAAGCTGATCAAATAAATTGTGTGAATGGTGTAACATGCTTTTAAACTTGAATTCTTTTTTGCTCATCTTATTCAATGTTATGTGAAATTTAAAATAACAAATGTTATCTATCTATCTATACACACACACACATACACACACAAAGAGAGATTGCCAGTAAATAGTATTCAAAGTTGATCAAAGTTGTTTAATCTGTTGAATTAATTGTCCCATGTAGTTGAACTGTTTCTACATATTTTAGTCTTTTTTTAAGTTCTTTCACTGAAGTGAAATGACTGGAGGTTTATAAAATTAAATGTGCTGTTTGAATAATAGATTTTAGCAGAAAAATGTTACATGTTATACTGGATTCCTTCAGTGTTTTTATTTTATTTGTTGTTCATTTAACTCAAATGCAGCTTGGTATATATAAGCAAATCTAGATTCTAAAACCAAATGGCTTTCCTCTAGAAGCAATAAGAAGGAAAGAAAATGGAATGGAAATACGGTATGCAAAACCTGTGGTTGGATGTACTATTTAAACCTCGAAGAAGCTATTTAAATCTAAATTGACTATCAGAAGGTTACCACTATTTTTCCTATCATACAGGAAGTATGATAGGAAAAATCCAATCTCAAAAACTAGAAACTGGAAAACCATGAGTTATAGTCCTGTCTTAGGCATGAAAGACAACTGCGATGTGGCGTTCCCATGTAACACCTCTCCTGCGCGAGCTGCACTGGCTCCCGGTGGTCTTCCGGGTGCGCTTCAAGGTTTTGGTTATCACCTTTAGAGCGCTCCATGGCTTAGGACTTGGTTATTTACGGGACCACCTGCTGCCACCAATAGCTTCCCACCGGCCAGTACGCTGTCATAGAGAGGGGCTCCTCCGGGTGCCATTGGCCAAACAATGTTTGCCCCCCTTCTCTGTGGGGGCACCTACTATCTGGAATGAGCTCCCCCCGGAGATCCGGAGGATCCCGGATCTGCGCACCTTCCATCGCGCTCTCAAGACTTTTTTATTCCATCAAGCCGGCCTGGCCTAAATCTTTCCCCTTTAAAATGTAAATTTTAATTTGTTTTTAAAATTATTGGGTGTTTTAAATTTGTCTTGGCCAAATTGTTTAATTCGGTTTTATTCTGTTTTTAAATTTTGTATTTATGTGTTTTATTCTGTGGCTGTTCACCGCCCTGAGTCCTTCGGGAGTAGGGCGGTATACAAATCCAATAAATGAAATGAAGAATGAAATGAAACTGGGTGATTTTGGGCCAGCCACTTTTTCTCAAACCATGTCACAGGACTGCTGTGGGAAAATAGGAGGAGGAAGAAATATTAGATATGTTCACTGCCTTGAGTTATTTATAAAACTAATAAAGTGGGAAATAGAAAATATCAGACCTTTTGGATAGCATAAACAATGTTTTCTGGAAGAACAAGAATGAACATCTTCCTGTCTAAAAAAAAAAATGGTGCTGAAAGTTTATTACCAATAAATTTATTTTGGTGCTCCAATGAATTGGCAAAATGAGCCATTTTCCAATTTTGTCTCTTTCAGGTGTCATGTTTTCTGTAGTTTTCTGTTTTAAATTTACCTTTATTAGAGGTAGTCATTAATGGTTGTCATTAGATCAAAATACTATATATCGAAACACTTTCCGTTTCTATTTTGTGAATAATTGTTTTTTTCAGCAACAATTTTATCATGTATTTCTCTCATAATACTGTGAAAGTTTGCTATCTTTTGCAGCAACTAATCTCCAGTAACATTTTTAGTAGTTCCCTAGAATAAATTGTATAAATACATGCCTGGGAATATTTGGTAGCTGTCTGAAGACTTTTATGAAGTGTTTGACATGGATATATGACTGTTTAAAGTAGCCTATTTGACTTTTTTCAGTAGACCGAGACACACAGGATCCTGAAGACTGCAGACTCAGCTGTTAATGTCTGGGGAAAATTTGGAGGAGGCCTATAACACTTTATTATAGTACAGTGAAACATAACCACCACACTAGAATAGACATGGGTATAGCTCTCATTTCTATCTCACAGCTTGTTTCGGTTCTGCTACTTTTGGTGGAGAACTAAAGTAAGCGAAGGAGCAGGTGTCCATGCATATTGGATGGAAGGGGAACTGGAGGACACGGGCATTAATTTTCTTCATACAGCGTTAGGCTAGAATGAATAAATCACTGCTCATTACTTGGGACAGAGGCCTTTGATATTAACTGGGAGTAAATTTTTCCATTCCTCCATGCAGATTTATTTTCTGCATGGAGGAATATTTATTCCTCCATGCAGTTGTATGATGCTTTTCCAGTTGTATGATGCTTTGACTTGTCCATTCCAGAATTACCTTTTTTCTCTTTTAGCTATTTCTTGTGAATATACTGGAACATTTAGGGTGTCAGGGTTCTGAAGCTGAAGCTCCAAGATGGCTTTGGTCAGGTCAGCTTCAGGGTTTATTTATTTATTTATTTATTTATTTATTTAATTTCTATACCGCCTTTCTCCCGTAGGACTCAAGGCGGTGACATAGGGTCAATGTCATGTTGTAAGATCCACTTTTAATTGAGCGTCTGCCTTTTCACATGGTCTCATACTATCTTCAAGTACTCTCTGGTACAATGAAGAATTCATAGGGCATTTTATAATAATGGGCTGCCGGGTCCTTATGCAGCAAAGCAATCCCAAACCATTCATTTCTTTATTTGTATCCTGCCTTTGTTATTTTTTACAAATAAGGCAGCAAACATATCCAACACACCTCCTATTTTCTCCAGAACAACAACCCTGTGAGATGTGCCGGGCTGCGAGTGAGTGATTGGCTCCAAGGTCACCCAGTTGGCTTTCATGGCTAAGGCGGGACTAGAACTTGAGGTCTCCCACTTTAGACTTAACTTTATTGTCACTTTGAATGTACAGTAATCGGCTACATTAAAATGAAATTTTGTTGCATACAGCTCTCAAAGGGTCCCCACCTCTTAATATACACTACATAAACATGACTAAATAAATAGAAAATTATGCATGTCTATATATGCACATGCACACATTCTGCATTACTGCCAAGCAAGCTATATGGATGAGTCCCTGAAGACAATGTCAAAATCAATTTGAAGATTTTAGTAAAGGTAAAGGTCAAGGTTCCCCTCGCATGTATGTGCTAGTCTTTCCCAAATCTAGGGGCGGTTTCAGAAACACTGTTTCAAAGCTGAAGAGCCAGCGCTGTCCGAAGATGTCTCCATGGTCATGTGGCCAGCATGACTCAATGCCAAAGGCAAACGGAACGCTGTTATCTTCCCACCAAAGGTGGTCCCTATTTTTCTACTTGCATTTTTTATGTGCTTTCGAACTGCCAGGTTGGCAGAAGCTGGGACAAGTAACGGGAGCTCACCCCGTTACGCAGCACTAGGGATTTGAACTGCTGAACTTTTGATCGACAAGCTCAGCATCTTAGCCACTGAGCCACCGTGCCCCTTTAAGATTTATTATTGACTGCCTAAAGCTCATTTTATATTCCAGTATTGCACTGATACTCCTCTTACACAAATAAGGATTCAGAATGATGCTTTGGGATACGAGGAGCTTAACTAGAATTTGAAAGTAACAATTATTCTCCCTATCCCATGATATGCTTTTTCAGAAGCCATAATCCCTTTGAGTATGAAATTTCTGCAGTGTTGATTTGGATTTCTCCACAGATACTTATACAATCTGATTTAGTAAGAAGACTCTTAAAATTCTCTCTCCTAAGCTACCTTTCATCCCCTAAACTGTGTGCAGCATACAACCCTTGAGATCCACCCAGCCCCTCCAGAAAAAAGCTAGAGATGTTCATGCCACATCTGTATATTCCATTTTGGGGTGGTTGATATGCTATTATGGGCATATTGAAACCTATCATTTATTAAGATAGCTTTAAGCCAGCATCAATATTCTTCCAGAGAATTCTGGAAAGGAGAACGAATAAGCATGCAATTGTTGACTTATTATTGTTGAAATCTAAGAGTTAAAATCTAAAAGTTAAAACGACATTATCTTTAGATGAAGAAAAATGTTTCTTGGATTAGTAGAAAACAATTTTAAATGATCAAAACAGAAGATAATTTAAGTTGTTAAATCCAGACTAGTTTCTTTCTTGGAGTTAATCCTCAATGAAAAGCACATTTCAAATTCTGAAAGTTATAAGTAAGTGAATTACTTCTGACATAATGGAAATGTTAGTTATGTCTTCTACAAACTTCAAACATCAGTTGTGAACTCTTACAAAGACGAATAAAATGTATTTAGCATTTTCATTACTGGTTCACTGTATTAATGTTCAAGATTTGGGCTTAGATCAGGAGGTCACTGTCAGAGGTTCACTACACGCTACCTTCCAAGAAAATACCGTGCTCGTTTTCAAAGACTCTCGGGACAGGAACAGGTGTGAAGAATTCCTCCTGAATTAAATTTTTCTAAGGCGAGACTTGCGGTATAACAAATGAGTGCTGTTTTGGGTCGAGAAAGAAGACTGAGGGCCACTTAAGTGTTTGGTGGAGCTGTTGGGAAGATCCTCCTCATTTCCATCAATTTTCCCTCTCTTTGCAAATAAATTACTTTTTTCTGAATCTGAAAGAAATTTTCAGAAAACACTAGTTTTAAGAACTGGGATTTTCTTGTCTACACATCTAATGAAAAATCTGCCTTAATTAATGCACTGCATAAGCAGTTATACATATGTCATTATGCAGACTCCAGATAGCAGCCTGCCCTTGTTTTCTTCAGTATTCAAAATTTAAAATATGTATGAGTTAATTTTTTAGGACCAAAATATATACCTACCTGGTCTTGATACTTTACTGGCTAGCGATCCTTGGCTTGAAGTCCTAAGTGGAAGTAAGATTGTTTAACCATTCTGTACAAATCTAATATTAAATTTAGTGTGACTTTAATTTAAAAAAAGGATTCTAGGAAAAAAATTAATATAAATAAATATTAATATTAATTAATATAAATAAATTGAAGTTGAGTAGAAAGATCTGTATCCTTTTAATGTGTAAAGTAGTCTTCTCTTAGATATTCACTGATGAGAGATTGTCCTCTTGTTATTTGCTATTTGATTTCAGAAACTGAAATCAAATTACCAGCAGACCGAATTTTGGTGCCTTTTAATCCATTTCACCATGCCTACAGAAAATTCCCAAATGGTATTTCCTACTAATATAAATAAGGTGCCCCTCAACATTGAACTGTATCACCAAACTAATAATACAGTATTGCAATGCTGTATTTAAAATATATAGAGAAGCCACAATCACTTGAAAGCAGTTGTAGGTACATAGGGTTAATATCTACATAATGAGTTGACCCACGCACTATAAATTATATAACTCTCATCCTGAAAAGTTGTTGTTGTGTAAACTTGATTAAGTAAACTTAATTAATAAAAACACTACTACACTGCTAACAAAATATTATTTACATTTTCATGGACAATCTAACTCCAGCTGCTTTTTGAATACAAAAATGACAAAAACAGCATCACTTTGCAAACTCATCCCCTTTGGGACATCATGATAGATTATCAAAGGGGGCAGAACATGGAATGAAGCAAGGTGGCATTATACACATTGGGAAAGTCACAATATATTTTCTTTTTGCTTGTGCACACTTCTTGGAGAAGGAATCATGAGTTTACCCATAGTAGGTAATTAATGTAAGATTGCAGTAAAACCACTGATGGTGTCAAAATTACTTGTCTTGAAATACAACTGCTCAAAAAATAAAGGGAACACAAGCAGAAGACATCCAAGATCTGAATGAAGGAAATAGCCTTATTAAATACTTTGTTCGTTACATACAGTAGTTTATACACTGCTCAAACAAATAAAGGGAACACAAAATTGCTGTATGTAACAAACAAAGTATTTAATAAGGTTATTTCCTTCATTCAGATCTCGGATGTCTTCTGCTTGTGTTCCCTTAATTTTTTTGAGCAGTATATTATCAACCCAAATCAATCCATTGTAGGATGAAGGCCTTTTCGTTGAAGGTTAAGGACTATGATCTAGCACAGGGGTCTCCAACCGTGGCAGTTTTAAGCCTGGAGGAGTTCAACTCCCAGAATTCCCCAGCTAGCAGAGCTCTGCTGGCTGGGGAATTCTGGGAGTTGAAGTCCTCCAGGCTTAAAGTTGCCAAAATTGGAAAGCCCTGATCTAGCACACTCAGCCAATGCAGGCTAACAGATAGATGTTTTTTGACTTTCCAGTCTAGGGAAAAGACTTAAAACTCTCAAGTCATTCTTGAGAGAGAATCATTGGCCCAAAGTCACCCAGCCAGGTTCAACCTAAGGGAAGATTGGGACTTAGACCTTCCCATTCCACTCGCTATTGTCTTTCTCTTAAAATAAAAAACTATTAAGATGGTCAGCTGTTAAATTTTATTTGCAGGAGTCCAGAGAAGCTTCAGATAAACAGTCCCAAAGGTGCTTTTTCAAGAGGCAACTGAACTTTCTGGTTTTACTTTGACGACGTTTTGCTTCTCATCCAAGAAGCTTCTTCAGTTCTGAATGTCTTCAAAGAAAAAACAGAAAGTCCATTTGCCTCTTGAAAAAGCACCTTTGGGACAACCATAACCTGGATGACAGAATCTCCACAGACATTCAGATGAACAGGTTACAATAGGTGCTTCCATGTGCAAACTCCATTCCTTGTGCACTTTTTGCGAGTTTACCTGATACGGCTACCTTCATTAGGTGTTCCTTTTTGCCCTCTCAGCAAAGCCTGTATGTTTGGAATGTCATTTTCAATCCGGGCCGCTGGCCTATAATACAACAGATCGCGGCTTGTCATATCGGAGCGTATGAAATTGGATACAAACTCTTTCTCTGAAATACAAAAGATATAGGGGCACTTTAAAAGGTAAGTTTTGAAACTTACTTTTTTGGCTCAGCAGTGAGCAATCTGCTCATGTTTACATTTCACTCATGTACGCTTTTGTGACTGAGAGTGTGGTGGGTACATGAAAAGGGCTGGTTAAGAGCCACAGCCAGTGTGGCAAATTCTGTTTCCCTCTCTTTGTAGCTCAAGGACGCTTCTTTCATTCTCTTTCAAAATTAGGGAGTATTCCAGACACATGTAATCTAGAGAATTTTCCTAGAAATAATATTTCAGGCTCTTCCTCTGCCTGCACATAATTGTGCTTCAATATGTAGTTGTCTATTACAGGGGTGTCAAACTCAAGGCCCAGGGGATGGATCCGGCCTGTGGGGTGCTTAGATCAGGCCCGCAGAGCTGCCAAGGACCGGCCTGCAGTGCCTCTGCCAGCAAAAACGGAGCTCGGGAGGACTGGGTGTGTCCCTCCGAAGCTCCGTTTTCGCTGGCAGAGGGTTGCAGGAAGCCGTCCCAGCCGAAAACGGAGCTCAGGAGCCCATTTTCAATGGCAGAGTGCTCGGGCCACCACAGGCGCACCCAACACAAGTGATGTCGAAATGGCCCCCCTGCCCACCCTGGCCCCCCAAGGTCAAACACAACCCTGATGTGGCCCTCAATGAAATTGAGTTTGACACCCCTGCTGTATTACATCAGATCTGTTTCTATATCTAGTTGATATGACTTAAAAGGATGTAAGACTGATAATCATCCTGTCTAAATGAAATAAGTATGCTGATTCTTCTCATTTAGTAGACTGAAAATAAAAGAAACGGCTGCTTTAACAGTCACATTAACTTTAATGAGCCCTCTCATTAAAGCAGCAGTTAGCAGTAAACAACATATTTAGGGTCATGTAAAAGCCTGAAAACTGGTATGTGTCTTTAAGGAATAGCAAAGCCTTCAAAAGCACTTCTTCCAAATACTTTTCAAAGTGTACTGTGCACTTAAAAGAAGTGTGATAACTGATACAACAAGCAAAACAAAACACATTGTGTGCAACTATAGCATGCATTCTCTTACCTTTCACACTTGCCTTGGATAACCAACTTTGAATCCCTCCAATGGTATCTGTCTGTAAAATGTCACAGAGTTTTTCTAGGACCTAGAATCAAGATGGTCATATTAGGTAGTAGTTTTGATTGTCTTGTGTACAACTATACTTATCTTTTTAATCTTCCAGCTCAATGACTGATTTTTAAAAAATCAGACAGTATTGCGAAAAAGATATCAATGTTTTTCTTTTTAGAACTCTATTGATTTTTTCCCCTGACTCGGTTTCTACTGAGCCAGCCAAACATTAGTTGAAATTATATACAAATGCTGTATGTAAAATTTAAAATAATTTAACCTTCATAATGTGTAACACATAACACCACGCTTGCAATATTTCAATTTTCTAAGATTTCCAGATTTCTAAATTGGTAGAAAAAGCAGGTATTTTGGAGAAGGACATAACAGTAAAAATACAATTTATTTTTACATAGAACCTTAAACAAACTTTAATGTTGTCACTGAGAATAGGGAAGACAATGCCTTTGAATTTGGCAAAGACAATACAACATTTTCCTGCACCTAGGCAAAATTGCAAAAGGCAGTTTCTAGTGGATTCTGAATTTTTAAAAACTTATGTGGAGTCTGATGGAAAGAATAGGGACACCCAGCCTGAAAAGATCTAGCTAATCATTTTTTTTAAAAAAGTGTGTGTGTGTGTGTGTGTGTGTGTGTGTGCCTTTGAGCCATTTTTTTACTCCTGGAAATTGCCCAGACTAGACCTTGTAGTTTCTTGGCAAAATTTCAGAAGTAGTTTGCCATTGCCTGCTTCCTAAGGCTGAGAGAGAGTGACTGATTTTGTATCTAAGGAAGGATTAGATCTCACAAAACTGAAGAAGCTTCTTGAATGAGAAGCGAAACGTCTTCAAGGAAAAACCAGGAAGTCCAGTTGCCTCTTGAAAAAGCACCTTTGGGACAACCATGACCCGGATGACTGCGAATCTCCATAGACATTAGATCTCACAGTTCCTGTTTCTAGCTGGTGTAATCTTTATTCTTTATTGCCATTTAGTAATCATCCACATTTTTGCTACTGAAATATAGTAGCCTCAAAAGGAAAATCCCAACAGTATTGGGTGCTATTGACTAAGTAATACAATATTAATACAGGTGGTTCTTGTTTAACAACCATTCTTTCAATGACTATTTGAACTTGTGACACGGTTCAACAAGTGATACAGATAACAGGTTGACAGGTTTAATAAAGTTGGAAGGGACCTTGCAGGTCATTGAGTCCAACTCCAGCCCAAGCAGGAGACCTTACAACTGCGTCTACTTAGGATCGAACTCATAACCTCCTGATTGTGAGGCAAGAGCTCCACCTCTAGGCTTGCAACCGGCCCTTGAAGTTTCAGCCATCACAATGCCCTGGTAATTACATGATCATAATCTAGGCGCTCTACAACTGCCCCAGATTTCTGACTGTAGGAATGTTCCCTCACTCACAGGACTGCCATTTATCCTTGCTGTCTTCCCGCAATCAAAGTCAATGGGGAAGGCAGCAGGAAATCAGCAGTCTTCATGTGAAGTTCTCACTTAATGACTTGCATAGATTCACTTAATGAAGACATTGACTAGAGACTGCCAGAACTCACTTCATACTCTATGATCACATCACTTAGTGATGAAATTCCAGACCCAATTCCAGTTGTTAAGCAAAATTACCTGTAACGTTTATGTTTTAATACATATATATGTTTATTTTCTATTATTGTAAAAACTGCCCAGAGTTACCCTGAGGTAAGATGGGTAGCTAATAAAATAAACAAGCAAACAAATCTTAGTTGGATTTTGTATACCCCTTTGGTTCCATCAGCAGCACTTTCTCTGTTTCAGCCTCCCTTGGGATGGGTATCCTTCATTCATGTGGAGTTAAAATTCTTCCAGCATGACCACTGGTGAGTTTTGACAGTTTAAATCTATGTAAATGAAGGACACCATGGCTGGGGAAAACTGTCCTGAGAAATGTATGGGTTTTAAAGAAGTTTAAACATTTATCTACATTCAATACTCAATAATTTCATAAACCATCTGCATGTTTTTACTATTAGTTTCAATTAAGTAGCGACAACGCAATTCAAAGAAAAATAAGGTTACTGCAAAATACATCTTGGTATGTTAAGAGGGAAATTACTATATAATCCAGTGTTTCACAGGAATATTCCTTCAGTCTTATCTTTTAAACATCATTCCCCTTTGGCCAACATATTTTAACTTATCTTAACTTACAATATATAGAAGAACCACTTACTGATCGTATCTTACTTTTATTTCTTGATCCAGATAGCTTGGGGTATAATTCATATTTTCCCTGAAATTTTCTTTATGATGCACTCTCTGAAGAGGGAAAAGATGGAGGTCCTGAGAAGTCCTAGTTTGTGGACGGTCTCCTAAGTATTTTGTCAGAGGTTCATCCTGATGATCAAGCATTATACAAAGAGAGACAGCAAATATAGATGAAAGAAAAAAGAAATGCATCTGCGAATTTGCTATACGTTTGTTCTGGTGTAGTATTGTATGGGGAAAGAGGAATATCTGAGGGGAGATCTTACTAGATTTCAAGCCTACCAGTCAAGCTAGAGAATTTTTCCCTCTTGTTCCATTCTTCCATCCTGGGAAGATGTGGCCTCAACTTCAGAGCTACCTGACAGAAATTTGTCTTGGAGACCAAGAAATTACCTCTATGCTCCTTGGTGAAATTAGTCTACTAAACACATCAATTACTAGAGAAGTCTATAAGTACACCCTCATTTCTACGATTATACAAACTCCATAGATACTGGTGTTTGTGTGTGTGTGTATGTACACGCACATTTCTGTGCTTTTGAGTTAGTGTGAAAACTTGGTGACTGCTTGGACAAGTCCCTTCAGTTTTCTAAGAAAGATTTCAGAAGTGATTTGCCATTGTTTATTTTCTATACAGTAGTGGCCAAAATTGTGGAAACCTGTTGGGAAAAGTATATTTTCTAAAACTAGCTAATAACACCACATTTTTTTGGAATAATACCATAAAATTATATATCAATCAAAAGATAATTTAATCAAGAATGTAATGCAATAACTTTTATGAAGGATTTGCTATTAGAATAACAGTTACAGTATAAAGAAGAAAAATGAAACATGTAGAAAAAACAAGATATACAAAATTATCACCATAGAAAAAACAAGATAATCAAAAATTATCACGTCAGTTATACAAAAAGATATACAAAAATTATCACGTTAGTTGGGTAACCTTTAGCATGAATTATGGCCTTCTAATGTCTTCCCATGGAGTGAACCAAGTCTTTTAGTTCTGCAGCTGTTATAATGTGAAACTAAGATTGACATCTATTAACTGGGATTTATTGCTGGGTCGCTTCTGACTAACAAGTTTCTTTAGTCGGCTCCATAGATTTTCAATTTCCAATTCAATGGGTTAAGGTGTGGGCTATTCCCAGGCCATTCCAGTAGTGGAATATGATAATCTTGAAACTCCAAAAAAAAGTGGTGTTATTAACCATCAAACCTCAAAAATACATTTTTCCCAAAAGATTTCCACAATTTTGGCCGCTGCTGTAGCTGAGAGACTAACTACCCAAAGGTTACCCAGCTGGTTTCATCCCTAAAGTGGGATTAGAACTCATGTTGTCTGAATTTCTAGCCCAGGGGTGTCAAACTCAAGGCCCGTGGGCCGAATCCGGCCCATGGAGTGCTTAGATCTTGCCTGCGGGGCCACCCTGGAAACAGCGAAAGACTGGCCCGCGATGCCAGAGAAAATGGAGCTCATATATGATATGCCTCCTGTAGCCCTCTGCCAGTGAAAACAGAACTCGGGCCACCACAGGCGCCCCCAACACAAGTTACACACCCACCCAACCCCCCAAGGTCAAACACAACCCTGATGCGGCCCTCAGTGAAATCGAGTTTAATACCCCTGTTCTAGCCTAATTAACCACTATACCAAACTGGGTCTCCCACAGTTATTACATCAATGTAATTTTTAAAAAAATTATCTCTTTCCCCAATCATTTCTATAGCATAGAAGCATTGCTGAAATTAGACAATTTGGGTGGGCGGATCATCAGGCACTAATAATTATATGCAACCCAAGACAAGAAGTCCTGATTAGTTTAATTATACAGGTAAACGGTTTCCCGGTAAGCCATTATAATGGAGGCAGAGGACTCTTCACCTTTTTCCTTAAGAGAGGAGTGTTTCTTGCTTGATTTCCCAGCTCTGCACGTTCATCTTTAGCAAGATCTGGAATATAATGAAAGTTCCTAAAACACTGAAGTTGGAGTTTAAAAGGATGAACCGCTAATTATACTCCTATTGAAAAATTCAACAATGTGTTATATTTTTATTAATTTGGGGATCGGGAAATAGATGCCCAAATTCAAATGTGCAATATTGTAGTGATAGTAACACATATATGGTAGTGAATACACCTTTTTTGCAAACCATTCACAATCGTCTGCTGTCACTCACCACAACACAGACTAGTTGAAACACAAAGTAAAGGGTGGTATGCAGGTCCTGTTTTTAAGCTGGCCTTTTAGTTATTATTATTATTTATTTATTTGTCAAGTATGTATTAGATAATATATATATAAGTATAAGCATGAATTGAATACATAAAATGAATACAAATAAAGGGGACATTAGGACAGGGACGTTAGGCACGCTGGTGCTCTTATGCATGCCCCTTACAGACCTCTTAGGAATGGGATGAGGTCAACAGTAGACCGTCTTAGGTTAAAATTTTGGGGGTTTGGGGAAGAAACCACAGAGTCAGGTAGTGCATTCTAGGCATTGACCACTCTGTTGCTGAAGTCATATTTTCTGCAATTGAGTTTGAGTGGTTCACTTTAAGTTTGTGCCTATTGTGTGCTCGTGTATTGTTGTGGTTGAAGCTGAAGTAGTCATTGACAGGCAGGACATTGTAGCAGATAATTTTATGAGCTATGCTTAGGTCATACTGAAGTTGGCATAGTTCTAAGTTTTCTAAGCCCAGAATTTCAAGTCTGGTGGCATAAGGTATTTTGTTGCGAGCAGAGGAGTGGAGGACTCTTCCTGTAAAATATTTCTGGACACACTCAATTGTATTAATGTCCGATATGCAGTGCAGGTTCCAGACAGATGAACTGTATTCGAGAATTGGTCTAGCAAATGTTTTGTATGCTCTGGTTACTAGTATAATATTATCGGAGAAGAAGCTATACAAGATTAGGTTTACAACTCTTAATGCCTTTTTGGCAAAATTGTTACAGTGGGCTTTGGCACTTAGATCATTAGATATGAGTACTCCAAGGTCCTTGACAGAGTGAGGGTTCTTTGTCTCTTATATATCCTTAGGATCTCCAGTTATAAACCACCAAGGAGTAATAGAGACCTCATTCCAACTAGATCTGATCTAGATACTGGTCAGCCATTCATTTCTCCTGAAAGCGTGGAAAAAATTAATACAGATGTCAAAATCTAAGATGAAATAGGAAAAATTCAGATTTTAATCTTGCACGGAAGGATTCAAAGCTCAACGACTTTGCAGTCATGCACACTACTTACGTGGAAGAGTTGTTCCGACTACCTCTGGTATCAATGCTGGCAAAGTATTATTGGAAAAATTCTTATCTGCTGCGGTTCCAAGATGCCTGTAAGGTGGGCCGTATGCTGGGCCTGGCATGATGAAATGTCCGTCATTGTACTCTCGGTCCCGAACAAAGCAGACAGGCGCATCATTTAATCCTGAGTAAGAAAACGAGCCTTTAATATTTTCTCAGGCAAATAATTGAATTTGTTACAATGGAGAGGCAATCCTTTGGGGCCACTGAGCATATTAGGAATTTTAAGAATATGCTGTGGTTGCTGTCATGTTTGCCTGGAGAGGATGGGCCAACTCACCACAGCCAACTTGCCATGGGACGATTCAACAATTCAATTTAATTATTTAAAATAATTTCAAAATGTTTTAATTTTTGTCATTCACATTTCATTTTGTCCCTCCTTTTGCATCCTTTCTTTAATAGTTCTATTCCACCATTTCTTCGATATTAGTATAACTGTTGACCTGCGGTGAGTTGTTCCACCACAAATTGACCACAGTGAGTTGGCCACAATGAGTTGCCTATGGCACGTTATCCTAAACGCTTCATGGATGCTAAATAGTCACGATGCAAACAATAAATTTGTTAAGGATATTGTTGAGTTACACCCGAAGTTGTGGTTTATAAAGCAGAGTACCGTTAGAGTTTTACGCATGGAAACGTTTTGAGAGTAATTGTGAATAACATACAGACAAACTGGGTTTTATAGTATTTTACTTTTAGGGAAAAGCAAAATCATAGTCCTTTAACAATCCAAGTCTTAGCCATATAAAGTGCAATATAAGATCAATCCAGGGATATAAAATCTTCTTACCAGTTTGTAGAAAAATACAAGGAACAATCAGGAAAAATATAAAAACAGTTCAATAAATATCAGAAAGCAGTAAATAAATAATCATGATCAAACCATTGACCATAGAGAGATCAAAAAGAGTTACAGCGTAGCAGCAGGTAAAAATGGTGTAGTGTCCACACTCACCATAATTTAGCTCTCTTTAAATACATTGGCTACAGAGCTCAGCCAATCAGGATGTAGAATGACTCAGCACAGTTCTTAAAGCTACATAATACATTCTCATAATATAAACATACAATGTTGGCTTATATATTTCCTGGCCAACCAATTAGGCAATAACCATTTCCTAACAAAAATATTAGAATGCAAACTAGTGAGGTTGCCCCCTGCCACTTCTTCCCATCTCTACTATTCTAACCTGACTACCATTTTCCTGGAGAATAACAGAAAAACAAACAAACGAAAAAGCTACGAAAAAAGCTACAGAAAAACAAGGCAAGAGAGCTATTATCCATTTTTATTTTCTTACAATGCCTCTGAGAGATATAGGCGGTTCAGAGGTGTCAACAAAGGCAAATTTGGAAAGTTGCACCTTGTTTTGCAAATCTGTAATTACAGTAAAGACCATTTTCAATTCATTTTTTAAAAAAATGTAACTTAAGTAGGGTAAGAGCAGTGGTGAAATCCGAACTGGTTTGCTGGATTTCCTGCTTTCTAGCAAAGCTAAACTGTGCTGCACAACTGATCCCCCCTGCTGTTCTACTTACCTTCCCAAGCCTCCTTTTGGTACATGCTGCACGCACGCACATGTGGAGTACGCGCCAAAAGGAGGCTTGGGAAGGTAAGTAGAATAGTAAGGGGGGGGGAATCAGCTGTGACGCACGGTTTAGCTTTGCTAGAAAGCAGGATTTCCTGCTTTCTAGCAAAGCTAAACCACACTGCACAGCTGATCTTCGGACATACTGGTTCGCAGGAACCGGTAGCATTTCACCCCTGGGTAAGAGGTCTGCCAGTTGCCATGGGCTTTGTGTTGTTGACAAAAATGTATAAACACAATGGGAACCTTGTCTTGAATTTTGTTTTTAAACAGGCACATACATATAGTTATGCAACACACGGAGCTGGTTCATACCTAAGTGTTCTTTGCATGACTGTACAATCATATAATTTTGCATGGATAAATGAGCCAGCATAGGTTAATCATCTCAGAGGAATACTTTCTATATTAAATGCTGTTGTTCCAGATGTAAACTCACCCAAACATATCATTAACTCTGTTGAAGAGTTTCATGTTTGACTTCAGTCAGTGGGAAAACACTGATATCAATCATTTCAGGGACTAATAGTGATCATGATGTAATGCAGGGGTATCAAACTCACGTTGTCATGATGGCATCATGTGACGTATCAGGATTTTTTCCCCCTTCACTAAGCCAGGCGTGGGAGTGGCCAGCACATGATGCATCTGGCCTGCGGGCCACGAGTTTGACAGCCCTGATGTAATGCTTCAGTGGCCAACATACTTTTCCATTTATGAATATACATTTATGACAAAATCTCATAAAAGGACAAAGGGTCAGTTTAGTGAACTCCAGTATGCTGAAATACCCATTTATTGATCCATTAACTGACTAATAGTGATTTGCTGCATCAAACTTAATTTTCATTTCAGAGTTCATGAGTTACTTATTGCTAATGAACCTGAAATGTCAAATATTTCTCAAGTTATGGATCAAAGCCAATTATATAAACCCCATGTTATGATTTGTAAATCACAGTTTATGATTTGGAGTGAAGATGATCTCAGAGCAGCTAGTAAAAAAAAAGCATGCTTAAAACAAACCATAGTTTAATACAATATCTAGCTTCATTGTTATTAACATCTGCTGTGCTTTCTTAGGCATGTGAGTTTTTTAAAAAAATAATTGTCTTTTACATAGTTGATTTTTACCATATTGTTATATGCTGCATCATCAGTTTAGTATGAGATGTGTAATAGAATAGAATAGAATAGAATAGAATAGAATAGAATAGAATAGAATAGAATAGAATAGAATAGATTTTTTATTGGCTAAGTGTGATTGGACACACAAGGAAATTGTCTTGGTGCATATGCTCTCAGTGTACATAAAAGAAAAGATATGTTCATCAAGAATCATAAGATACAATACTTAACGATAGTCATAGGGTACAAATAAGCAATCAAATCATATTAGGAAACAGTCAATTTAAACCGTAAGGATACAAGCAACTAAGTTACAGTCATATAGTCATAAGCAGGAGGAGATGGGTGATGGGAACGATGAGAAGATTAATAGTAGTGCAGATTTAGCAAATAGTTTGACAGTGTTGAGGGAATTATTTGTTTAGCAGAGTGATGGCATTCGGGGAAAAACTGTTCTTGTGTCTAGTTGTTCTGGTATGCAGTGCTCTATAATGTCGTTTTGAGGGTAGGAGTTGAAACAGTTTATGTCCAGGATGTGAGGGGCCTGTAAATATTTTCACAGCCCTCTTTTTGACTCGTGCAGTATACAGGTTCTCAGTGGAAGGCAGGTTGGTAGCAATTGTTTTTTCCATATAACCATATAAAATTAACAAATCCAGTGGTTGAATAAATTCAGACAATTCAAGAAAACATAAATGGGAATGGAGTTATGATACAATTAGCCACATGGGATGTGGGGCACAAAGGAGCCTTACCTTTAATGTGACATACATTTTTGGGATGTGGGGAGTGTCGACAAACAAAATAAGTTCCTCCTCTTTGAAAGGGCTCATTTGAACTTTGCCTGGCGGTTCCTTTGTAGCTCAGTTGAAGCTCAGGCTGTTGTCGGAAATTGATATTCATTTTAAGGCTGGGCTTTTGTCCATGCAGTTATTCATGGGGCAAGGAGTAGCTACAGCATCTTCTCGATGGAACTTTCATGCTGGACACAGAGAGGAATAAAGAATCATATATATCAAACTAATAAACATTCATATACCTCAAGGTATCATAATATTATGGGATGGAGGTTGATAAAACCAACTAACCAAAACCAAAACATCCTAAGCAAACCAAAAGACTCAGCAACCCCAGAAGCAAAAACAGGAGGCATCTCCAACATACAATGTAAGGACTGTAACAACCAGTGGTGGGTTTCCCCCGATTCAGACCAGTTCGCAAGAACCGATAGTAAAACTGGCGGGAGGCCCCACCCACCGCCCTGGATGTTGTCATCAGCGATCTGCACATGCGCAGAAGCAAGGTGAACGCGCGAGTGAAGCGAGCACGCTCATGCAATCCCATTGCGAACTGGTAGTAAAGGTAAGTAGAACCCACCCCTGGTAACAACCACTGTGTAGGACAAACAGGCAGAAGATTGAAAGAACACATCCATGAAGACTAACTAGCAGTCAGAAGATATGAAGAAAATTCTTTAATTTCACAACATCTAGAGAAATTTAACCATAGTGTCAATGGGGAAAATGTGAGAATCCTAGACCAGGCTAAGTCCAAAAATGCCAGGGAATTCACGACTTTTTTCCCCCTTCGCTAAACCGGGTGTGGGCGTGGCCAATGCGTGGCAGCCCTGCTCTACAGCTTTGCATACCAGAGGGATCCACCATGTCTAAATCCACCCCCATAGCTATCTTCACTGTACTTAAACGTCAAGCTGAAACAATATTAGAAATCAGCAGTCCTTACCAAACTACATAATATAAGCAAAATACCTTTCATATATCTAGCGGAATGTGGGGCTTAGGAAGTCTCTCTTACTCTACTGCTTCTTGCACTTCTTCAGTCAAGTCAAATGGTTTTCTTTTCTGATTTTGAATTGTTCTTCTCCGAAGAGGCAAAGCAATTTTTGCAATACATTTACGCCCTTGTCTCAAGCAATTGGATAAGCTTTTCAACCTATATTTTGCTTTCTTTGTTCTTGACTTCCCTTAACAACAGTAGAGACACAACAGCTTTGGACTGGAACCCAAGAATTTTTTTAACCCCAGCATTCTGTGCACATCACTTCTTTTATGACATCTTGCTACCATATACAGACATAAGTAATCCCATGGTTTCTTGTACACTGTACTGTAAGCAGAAAATGTGGTAAAATGCAGGGCTTACTCCTGGAAGCATAAATTATTTATTCAGTTCATCAGCTTCACTTAACAATAAAATAGATGCCAAAAATAAAGCTGCCAGAACCCTTTTCCAAATAAGGAGTGAAGTTGGTGATAGGATGATCATCAAGTGAAAATCCCGACTTGCTAAATTATGAGTATTCATAATTTTATATAGCCTTGTACTAAGAATTATTCAAACTCACTTCCATGGATCTCATATGGAGCTTGGGACTCCCCAGGAAGTTGTCAGCAACTTAGATAAAGATCACAATTTCCTTTTAACCTTGTCCAGATTAGCAGAGAGAAAACTGGAAGGCCCTCAATATTTACTCTGGGCTTTGTTCCTCATTCTGCTTTTCCAAACAGAACCCTGCCACTTTTCTTAGGTGTGATACACCTGGGGCTAATTAGAGATCATATAAATTCATTAATCACCTTGGGGTCATGGCACTGCAATGTTTGAGGACCCAATCCATCTTTGATCTTTATGTGTTCTTCCTTATCTGAGAATTCCCAGAAGATGTCACAAATCTCTTCTTGCCTCATCTAAAATTCAAAGAAAAATTCATTTAGCATCTCTTTGCAGGGGTAAAGAAAATTCCATTGCTTGGTGTAGGAAACCCATGGCGATGCTGTAAGCCAGTCTACCACTAGATGGTGCAATTTCATATTTTGCAAATATTCCAGAGATAACCTGGTCATCATTTTTGATTCAGTGACAGTGCATTTTTCATCAAACGCTGCAATCAATTTTCTGCCAATTCTCCACAGTTTTCGCTGTAAAAACTTACTTGGTCCCAGCTGATGTAGGAGGATACATTAGTGCTATATATTATCATATAAAATCAGAGACGTCACCCTGCCAACAAAAGTGTGTATCGTCAAGGCTATGGTTTTCCCAGTTGCAATGTATGGCTGCGAACGTTAGACCATAAGAAAGGATGAGCGCCAAAAAATTGAGATCTTTGAACTATGGTGCTGGAGAAGACTCCTGCGAGTCCCTTGGACTGCAAGGCATTTAAACCAGTCAGTCCTAGAGGAGATCAACCCTGACTGCTCTTTAGAAGGCCAGATCCTGAAGATGAAACTCAAATACTTTGGCCACCTAATGAGAAGGAAGGACTCACTGGAGAAGAACCTAATGCTGGGAAAGATTGAGGGCAAAAGAAGAAGGGGACGACAGAGAATGAGGTGGCTGGATGGAGTCACTGAAGCAGTAGGCGTGAGCTTAAATGGATTCCAGAGGATGGTAGCGGACAGGAAGGCCTGGAGGAACGTTGTCCATGGGGTCGCGATGGGTCAGACACGACTTTGTAACTAACAACAACAAATTCCAGTAGAATCTTAATCTCATAGCAAAGTCCTCATATGCAAAACTGATTTAACTTGCCCATGGATTTCCTTTTATCTACCCAGCAAGTTTGTTTTTCAGCTAATACTGTGTGCCCAATAAACAAACACATACACTCTATATATTCAACACTCACAAAGACCTTATTATTACAAGATCAGAGTACCGCAATATTCTATATCCTGCATGAAAGATCCCAACGTATTGCCATGGATATGCTTGCTTCTAACTGGACTGATAACTGTGTATTAAACATGAAGCCTGCCCAGATCAGGTTATTCAAGAATGCACCCTGGTAACACTGGATATAGTTCAAGATAAAGGTGTGTTGAGTTCTTAATCTATTAACAATGCTACCTAGGTTTTGGTTGGGAGAAACTTTTGAAAAGCTTCTTTCATATGGACAGATGTGCGAGAGGTTCTGCTTAGCAAAATAGATTTTGTTTCCTTGACTTTTGAATGCAACATTCTCAGCTCATTAGCCTTTTACCATTGACCAGGTGGGCTGCAATATACCGTAGTTGGTTTTGCTGCTGTCATGAATTAATGCTACCTAAGCTGTGTCAATGAGTTCTTTTATACCTAAATTGCTTTTTCAATGCTATTCTTTCTGAATCTTGTTTTGGAGGACTAGCTGGACCAAATCAGGCAATGGCTGGGTTTGGATATTCTACAATATGTTGTGGCTACCTAAGCACTCCTCTGGGTAACCACTAAATGCATATCAGTGATGCTTCAGCAAATGGATTTAGAGGAGATGAATGGATAGTGTTGCATTGAGCCAATCTTTTTCCAAGGAGGCAACCTTTAATCTTACATTCTTGCTTTACTTATTTGCCATGAGGTTTGACTAGGACCTCTTGTACTTAGGAAAGTTTAGGAATGGGGACCTGCCCTGCTCTTGGATGCTGCAGGCATGCCTTCTCCTCATCACTGGTCACTGATCTTCAGGGCTGTCACCTTTTGGCAGGGAGGAATCCAGGCAAGCAGTTGTCTCTTTTATTTCTTGCCAAACCTCCCAAATCCTGGCATACGATTCCTGGGCAGGCAGTCAGGGCTTGGAAGAACGATAAGAAAAGTATCTGTATTACAAGGAGAAGAGAGTCTTTAACCATCAGTTTTCCTATGCCACAGAGAGATACTTTGGCTTTGGAGTGTTCTCGGGAGAAGGGATGATATCTATATCTGCTACTCCCAATATCTCTGCCCTCCACATGGTCCTAGAAGGCCAAGCACAGCAGAACATGGTCAGCAAGCTAAGTGGGCACATTTTCCAGGGCATAATTAACCACCACCTACTACCAGGTGCTAAAGATATTAAAACACTGGGGGGAAGGCCGCCATTTTGCTGAGTGGGACTAGTAGTTGGAGATTCCTTTCTACCTCTTAATGCCTGGAATGCCCTGTGGTTTCATCCCCAAACCCCCATAACTTTAACCTTAGACTGCCTACTGTTGACCTCACCTCATTCCTAAGAGGTCTGTAAGGGGTGTGCATAAGCACACCAACGTGCCTACTGCCCCTATCCTACTGTCCCCATTTATTCGTATCCATTTCCTGTATTCATAATCATGTCATGTTTATACTTATATCTTATACATGCTTGACAAATAAAATAAATAAATAAAATAAATAAATACCTTCCTTCTGGTAGAAGAAGGGAAGCAAAGAAAGAGGTTCCTCAGCTGCTACCCTCTGCAGACAGAGGAGTGAACAACCATTACTCCTTAAAGAAGAAAAAGAGGGATCAGGTCAGAGGTGGTATTCAGCCGGTTCGGACTGGTTCACCCGAACCGGTAGTGGAAATCGTCCCAGCTCTATGCCATCCTATTTAGGCACATTTTTTAGGCCAGGTGCATGCGCGGAAGGTGTACACACCAGCAAAGCACATGCGCGGAAGCCCGGGTGTGTGCGTGGAAAGGGCCCGTGCGAGTGAAGCGAGCAATCACATTTGTGAACCGGTAGGGAAAGTAAGTGAATACCACCCCTGGATCAGGTCTTTTGCTTCCAGGAGGAAGAAATGGGAGCGAAAGCTTCTCTTGCGCCAGTTCTCCAAGGCCATAAAGTGACCACTCTGTGAGACTGGAGAACTGACAGCAAGAGACAGCAAGTGAGTCTTTTGATGTGACTTTTGGAAGATGCCCCACCTACTTTTTTTCCTCCCACCCACCTTGGCCTCTTTTCTGCTTCACTGTCGAGGAAGAACAGGGCGTGAAAGAGTGGTTAGCAAGTCCTTAAACCAGCATATTTTTCTGCTAGTTCCTGTACTGGGTAACATTAGTTGAGTGTTGACTGCAATGAGCACTGAATTGAATCAGTTTAATCCAATACAACAATGGATTTACCTTGAGCTAAATCTAACCTCTTAGATTAGGCTGAATGGCTGAGTGTCGATTGCCCTTGGTATTTCTTCAATCCCCTGTAGCTGCAACTGATCTAATAAATCATGTTACAACTGGTCAGAACAAGAATCTTTCATGTTTTTCTTCCTGCTTGTCCTTTACATTTCATTATAGAGATATAGATATTTTAATTTATTAAGCATTATGTAAGCAACAAGGACTGTGTCAATATTGCAGGCTGCTGTAAGTTACAAAAGCATTTACACAAGGAAAAAAAAACAAATAGAAACTATTGCATAAGCAGATCAGGAAAAAAAATTGCTATTACTAAGTGCTGGGGACTGTAGCTTAAGAAATAGAAGTAACATTTGCCTATAGTTCTGTGAACTACAGCAGGGGTCTCCAATCTTGGCAACTTTAGATAGAATTCTGAGAGTTGAAGTCCGCCAGGGTTTAAGGTTGCCAAGGTTGGAGACCTCTGAACTACAATGCAAAAGAAAAGAAACATTTTATTTACAAGTTGATTAACTGTATAATTTATTGCTTAATCAGTACCTATCATTTCTTAAAGTGACATACAGAGGTCAGCATTTCAGATTTTTAAAAAGAAAGAAAGAAAGAAAGAAAGAAAAAAAGAAGGAAAGAAAGAAAGAAAGAAAGAAAGAAAGAAAGAAAGAAAAGAAAAAAGGAATGTTAAGAAGATGCTCCCCAAATAGAAGTCTTTTAGATGTATTAGGATGAAGGATAAGAAATCAAACACTTTCTGTTTTCCTCCCTTGACTCAGGGGATTCATAAAAAGGAAGATTGGTAGAATCATCCTATATATATTTGTGTTTCTGGGTGTGTACATACAAATACCCAGTTTTATCTGTATTTCTCTAAAGTTTGCAACTTTGTCTAATAGACATATTTTTGCAGATTCTTTCCTCTCTCCCTCCTTTCTTTTTTGTATTTAAAATTTGAACTGACATCCAGTAGTTTACAGTGTATCCATAAAAGAATATAAATACCCATGGTATTTGGTAAAAATCAACAAATAAAAAGATCTAAATAATCTACACATAAATTCAGGTAATAACTGATGGCATTAATTCTCATCCCTAAATTTTGCTGAAATAGCTCAATGTTTGATAACTTAAAGCCCAAAGTATGAGA